CATGGATTTGACGGAGGAGAAGGGGACATTTATCGCGTTGTCTTTGAAGACTGAGCGGACGGCGTTGGATTCGGTTTTGTCGTTTTCTTGGGTGGATGTGCCGTGGGCGTTGATCCAGTGGACGAGGGGTCGTCCGTTGTCGTCGAGGTCAGCGGGGTTGATCCCAGCTTGGTCGAGCGCCATTTGCATCGCTCCAGCGCCGCCTTGTCCGTCGGGGTGGATGTCGGTGATGCGGTACGCGTCGGCGGTGGATCCGAATCCGGAGACTTCGGCGAGGATGTTGGCGCCGCGTGCTTTGGCGCTTGCGAGGGATTCGAGGATGACGATTCCCGCGCCTTCTCCCATGACGAATCCGTTTCGGGAGACATCGAACGGTCGCGAAGCGGTAGAGGGGTCGTCTCGGCGTGTGGACATCGCGGTGAGGCGGATGAATCCAGTGATCCCGAGTGTGTGGATCATGGAGTGTGCGCCGCCGGCGATCATGATGTCGGCGTCACCTTGTCGGATGAGTTCGGCGGCTTCGCCGATCGCTTGGGTTGATGCGGCGCATGCGGTCATGCAGTTGAGATTTGGACCTTGCGCGTTGAATCGTTTGGCGAGGTGGAGCGCGGTGAGCTGGGGTTCTTGTTCGAGCTCTGGCGCCGGGGTCATTCCTTGGTAGGCGACATCGGCCCAGGTCTTGGGGTTGAAGGCGCGCGCGTCGTGGTCCCACGCGGCGACGTTGGCGGCCATGTATGGTTCATAGTCGAGGACACCTTCTCCGGCGCCGAGGTAGACACCGATGCGTGTTGGATCGATGGGGTTGGTATCAAGTCCTGATTGTTTGAACGCGTTGTGGCACGCGGCGAGCGTGAACTGTGTGGAGCGACCTGCGGTGTCGTGGATGCCGTTGGAATCATCGAAGAAGTCTGAGAGATTGAAGTCGCTGACTTCTGCGGCGAAGTTGGTTGCGAAAGTCGAGGCGTCGAAGTGTGTGATGGGCGCGACGGCGCTCTCTGCGTTGAGGAGGCGAGTCCAGACCGAATCGATGTCGTGTCCGAGAGGCGTGACCCAGCCGGCGCCGGTGACGACGACGCGTTGTTCGTCTGGAAGGTTGTTGGTGGTGTTTGGCATAGGTGAGTTTAGGTCGCTGCGATTGGGGGCGGGGAAGTAAAAAAGCGGGCGTTTGCCCGCTTGTGGAATGGATATGGGTGTTTAATTATTCCTCGTCGTCATCGTAGTCGTCGTCATCATCTTCATCGTCGTCGCTGCGGAGGGCGTCGGGATTGAGGACGCGGACGAGGCCGTCTTTGAGTCGGCGTTGTCCGAAGTTGATGATGAGGCCGAGCTCGAGGTCCGCGGCGCGGAGTGCGTTGCGGTCTGAACCGGTGACATCGTGGTAGTCTGCTTTGATGTTGAGGAAGAATCGGTCTTCGATGAAGAAATCGGTTTCGACTGAACCGATGACTTCTTCGTCAAACTCGACTTCAACCTTGTGATCAGTTGTGTGGGCGACTTCTTCGATGGTGAGTTCTTTGATGAGTGCTTTCTTGTAGATCTCGAGTGGGTATCCAGGTCCGAGTTCTTTGTGGACTTCGATCGCGCAGCCGATCAGGCGGCGCGATGATTCGGTGAGCGCTGGGTCGAGGTCCGACAGTGGTGTCGAGCGTCCGCGACGACGTTCTTGTGTGTTGTGATGCGTCATAATAAATAATGTCCCTTCTCGAGCATTAAGAAATTTGTAGCGGCTTAGATACAGCGCGCCGTTTCCGAACAAGTTTGTTCGGGGATGTGTTGCTTCGAGATCATTGCATCACAAACGACTGATGACAAGCGCGGCGCATTGTCCAGCGAGTGAACTTGTGCAGATTAAGACATGATGAAGATCGGCGTTCTTATCTGGGCAAAAAAACCCAGGGTCGCTGAGTGTTGTTGTGTTCGCGGGAAGATGCTGATGATAAATCATCAATGCACCGGAAGCGGTCATGATTCCTGCATGCGCCGACAGTGTGTTCCCGATTCGGTTACATAGATTGACGAGTGGGACTGTTTGTGCGTGATCGCCGAGTGCTTCTCTCAATGCGTTTGCTTCGCGTGTGTCGAGTTGAGTTTGTCCAATACCAAGCGGGAGTACGGCGTCGAGATCGCTTGGTTGGATCCCCGCTTGCTTGAGTGCTGCGGTGATTGCGCGGCTCATTGCTTCATCGGTGGTAGGGGGTGATTCGTTGAATATCGGGAGTGGCGGGTTGAGTGATTGGGCAGAGCCGAAACCTGAGATACGAGCGTATGTACGCGCGCCTCTGGATTTTGCGTGTGCTTCTTCTTCGACGACAAGCATGCCTCCGGCTTCACCCATGATGGAGCCTTGCGATGAGGATTCGAACGGCTTGATCGCTTGGGTTGGGTCTAGGTCGGGTTGGTCTTTGAGATTAGCAAGGCGTCCGGCGTAGTCCCAGCGGAGGAGTCCGAGGGGGTTGAGTCTTGATTCGGCGCCGCCTGTGAGACACATGTCCGCGGCGTCGCGCTGGATGACGCGTGCGGATTCGATGATGGAGAGCAGAGCTCCGGCTTCGGCGCCCATGATGGTGTTGGATGGTCCCTTGAGCCCGTGGATGATCGTGACATGACACGCGAGCATGTTGGGGAGGTACTTGAGGAGCCAGAGTGGGGGGAGGTTGTTCATTCCGGCATCAGCGCCGTCTTCGGTTCCCCAGTTTTGTGTGTTGAAAGTTCCTGACTCGTCGGTTGCGGTGACGACGGCACGCGACATTTCGGCGGTATCAGCAGCGATGAGTCCGGCACCGATTTGGCAACCGGTGCGGATGGGATTGATCTGGAAGCCATCCACAGAATCGATTTCTTCTTCAGATGATCCTGAAGTGAGTAATCCAGCATCATCTGCGGCAATCTTTGCGGCAATGACGGCGAGTTCTGTGTCGCGTGCCATGACCTTGGTGGCTTTGCGATACGACTTCGGGACCCAATCGCGGACTTTGGCTTCGACTTGTCCGGCAAATGGGCACGAAAATCCCGATGCATCGAAGGTGTCGATGGGTGTAATCGAGGCGGTACCTTGGGTGAGGGCATCCCAGAAGGAATCAGCAGAGTCGGCGATGGAGCAGAGTGGTCCCATGCCGGTGATGACGACGGATCTGTTCATAGGGGATGATACCTTACTGATCGGTTAGGACGATACCAGAGCGATTTATTGATGCGGTTCTCGGCACGAAATGCGTGCAATTGCGGCATTGTGTTGATACAGTGGGGGTGGACTTTACTCTGCACGAGGCTCGGCGTGTGGACTACTGGGACAGACTACAAGCACCGGCGGGTTTGCTCGCTCTCTGCCGATGAGGTGATTGAATATGAAGTTCACTGAGGATCGCGACTCTCTGATGCTTGTCCGTTTCGTGCGGATCGGATTTGTTGGTCTCATGCTGATCGTGATGATGCTCTATGTGCTGAGCATTAATCAAGCGGATGGCGACTTTGAGCTTGGGTTCGCGAAGCGGTGGTGGATCCCGGTTCTGACAGCGTTGGTCTTGTCTGGGGTTTTCCTCGCGGTGGATATGCTGACGCCTCGCAAGAAGATAGCGACAATCACGGGCGTGGTGTTCGGTCTGATGGCGGGTTTGATCACGACCTGGGTCTTGTCGATGATGATTGATCTGGTGATGCAGACTTGGGATCTGCAGTCCAGTGCGATCGTGTCGGCGATCAAGGTGTTGCTTGGTGTGTCGCTCTCGTTCCTTGGGATCACAACTGTGTTGCAGACGCAAGACGAGTTCCGATTGGTGATTCCATATGTTGAGTTCGCGAAACAGATCCGCGGACCTCGTCCGCTCCTGTTGGACACTTCGGTGCTGGTCGATGCTCGGATTGTTGATATCGCGGCGACTGGACTTATTCAACAAGCGGTGGTGATTCCCGAGTTTGTGCTTGAAGAGTTGCAGACGATGGCGGATTCACGCGATCGGATGAAGCGGAGCAAGGGACGGCGCGGGCTCGATATGGTCAGCAAGCTTCAGCGGATGGGGTCGGTCGATGTCGTGATCGATAACACACGCGTACAGAAGAAGGCGGTGGATCTGGCACTTGTTGAGCTTGCTGAGCAGCTCAAGGGGATGCTGGTGACACTGGACACGGGATTGTCGCGGATTGCATCGATCCAGAAGATCCCAGTCTTAGACATTCATGATCTGAGCAATGCGCTTAAGCCGACGGTGATTCCTGGGAAGCTGATCCGAGTGGATCTGATTAAGCCGGGCGAACAGCAGGGTCAAGCGGTGGGGTATCTCGAAGATGGAACGATGGTGGTCGCGGAGGACGGGCATCCGTTTATCGGCGAGACCAGAGATCTTGTGATCACCAGCTCGATGCAGACGGCGGCGGGGCGTTTGCTCTTTGCACGTGTGGACATGGCGGATCCTTCCTATGAGGGAGAGCTGCCTGGTGATCCGGGGTTTGCGCATGGGCATGGTCATCGTGGAGCATCGGAAGTGAATGAATCTGGAGATGATCAGGTCGCGTCCGATGCGAGCGGTGACGAGGTCACGCCATCGAGTGTGAAGCCTGCAGAGATCCGTGGGCCGAGGGTGGTGGGCAATCCGCACGCGAAGGGGACGGCTCGGAATCCAAGGCGCTGATCGAAGCGTTACACTGGTTCTATGCATATCCGAGCGCGTATGAGTCAGAACACGGCACCTGTTGGTGTCGAAGGCGAGCTCCCGAACTACACAACATTGAGTCGAACGACGATCGGAGGATGGTCTGCGATTTTGTTCGGCGCGCTCACGATCGGGATGAGTGTGTACATCGGTTTTGCGGTGCTTGGGATTGTTGGTGGGACGAAGCACGCGCCGGATTGGGTGTTGTGGTTGTGTGGTTTGGTGTTCGGCATCGGTGGGGTGATGCTGAGTGTGTATGGGGTTGTTGATCTCATCATTGCGCGTCGATCAGCGCGTGATGCGATGCTGCATCCTGAGGATCCTTGGCGTGCAGATTATGTGTGGTCATCAGCGATGGGGAAGCCTGGTATGAAGAGCCGGGAGTCGGGGTGGTGGGTGATGTCGATTCTTGGGATGCTGATTGTGGTGTGCTTCACCATGGTTTCCACTTGGGTCTCGATGACTGGTCCCGGCGGGTTTGTGGGGGTGTTCCTCTGGTTCATGAGCGCTGTGATGTACTTGTGTTTCTTGTTGTTTGGGTGGGTGTTCGTGAAGCAGGTGCTCGCGGCGTTTCGGTACGGGACGCCGAGGGTGGTGTATGAGACGATGCCGATCCGCGCAGGAGAGATGCTCAATGGTCGCGTGTTGTGTCCTCGTGGTTTCGGGGCGCTGGATCGTGTGACGATCACACTGAGGCATGTGATTGAGCGCTATGAGCGTGTGCCTTCGTCATCTGGGAAGCAGAAGAGCAAGATTCGGTGCAGAGGGATCGCGACAGACCAATGGGTGATCGAGGATGTGATGAAGGAGCTCGGGGATGGATCGGGACAAGGGGAACTCCCTGTGGTGTTTTTGATCCCAGAGGATGCGGAGGACACGCGGGCGTCGGCGCGTCCGGCTCGATACTGGGATTTGGAGGTGCGCGGTGAGGCGAAGGGGGTGGACTTTGTGCATCGATTCGCGGTGCCCGTGTATTCTTCGTGAGCGATGATCTGGGTTGGTGGATTGGTGGGTCTAGGATGGGGTCTTGTGCCGCGTTTTGTAGTGTGGCGATCTTGGCGGCACCTCTTGGGTAGGGACTGATTGACATGGATAGCTTGTATTCGAGGATCGCTACTCCGGCGGGTCTGGGACGATTCTCTGCGAAGGGTTTTTGGGGGAGCGGGATCAAGACCGAGGTGTTGTCGGGATTGACGGTGGCGCTGGCGCTGGTTCCCGAGGCGGTCGCGTTTGCGATCATCGCGAACGTGAATCCGCTGGTTGGGTTGTATGCCGCGTTTATGGTGGGATTGCTCGCGTCGATCTTTGGGGGTCGTCCTGGGATGATCTCGGGCGCGACGGGCGCGATGGCGGTGGTCATGGTGCATCTGGTGTCTGAGCACGGCGTGGAGTATCTGTTTGCGGCGGTCGTGCTGACGGGGTTGATCCAGATCAGTGTGGGCGTACTGCGTCTTGGGAAGTTCATCCGCATTGTGCCTCATCCGGTGATGCTTGGGTTTGTGAACGGGCTTGCGATTGTGATTTTCCTGGCGCAGCTGTCGCAGTTCAAGGTGACTGGTGAGGATGGTCAGTCGCAGTGGATGAGCGGGACTCCGATGCTGGTGTTCTGTGGGTTCATCGCGCTGACGATGGGGATCATGTTCTTTCTTCCGAAGCTGACCAAGGCGTTCCCTTCGGCGCTTGCGGGGATCTTGGTCGTGTCGGTGCTGGTGATCGGTTTGAAGATTGATACGAAGACGGTGGGGGACATCGCGTCGATCAAGGGCGGGTTCCCGGCGTTCAAGCCTTTGACGGTTCCGATGAACTTCGAGACGCTTGGGATTATCCTGCCGTATGGGTTTATCCTCGCGGCGATCGGGTTGATCGAGTCGCTGCTGACAATGACGCTGATCGATGAGATGACGGACACGCGTGGACGCGGGAATCGGGAGTGCGTGGGGCAGGGGATTGCAAACTCGGTCTGCGGCTTGTTCGGCGGGATGGGCGGCTGCGCGATGATCGGTCAGAGCATGATCAACATCAACTCTGGTGGACGCGGACGCTTGTCAGGGATCAGCGCGGCGATCTTCCTGCTGTGCTTTATCTTGTTTGGGTCGGGGCTGATCGAGAAGATCCCGATGGCGGCGCTGGTGGGGGTGATGTTTATGGTGGTGATCGCGACGTTTGAATGGTCGAGCTTCCGGATTCTCAAGAAGACGCCTCCGAAGGATGCGTTTGTGCTGATTTTGGTTTCGGGGGTGACGGTGATGACCGACCTTGCGATCGCGGTGGTTGTCGGTGTGATTGTGTCGGCGCTGATCTTTGCGTGGGAACATGCGCGGCATATCCATGTTGTTGTGCGTGATGACGAGGATGGATCGCGGACCTATGAGCTCAATGGGCCGTTGTTCTTTGGGTGCATCCATGAGTTTCGCGACTTCTTTGATCCGGCGAACGATCCCGATGATGTGGTGATCGAGTTCCTGAACTCGCGCGTGGTGGATCACTCGGCGATCGAGGCGATTGATGCTTTGGCGGAGAAATATCGCAAGGCGGGGAAGACGCTGCACCTTCGGCATCTGAGCGAGGACTGTCGATTGCTGCTGCATAAGGCGGGGGATATGGTGGAGGTCAATGTGCTTGAGGATCCGCATTACTCGGTGGCGGATGATGAGCTTGGGTGAGTGTTTACATTGGTAGCATTCTAATTCACGTAAACAGATCACATTAAGAAGCAGTTCGTTGGCTGCTTGTTCAGCAGCTCTAGAAAATATGTTGTAAGGTATTCAAATAGACCTCTGAGTGTCAGAGGGCGTTGTTATTGTGTCCTGAACTGATTTGTTCTGAAATGGAGAGCAATGTGAAAAATTATCAATCATGTTTTATGAGCATTATGCTATCGGCACTCGCAACCAGTGTATGTGCGGCACCTGATCCGCAGGAGATTGGGCATTTGAATGGGACTCCTACGCCGGAACATCCGCTCAATGGGGTTGGTATTTTAGATGCGCGGGTGGACCCGGCGTACTTTGATACATTTATGGGGGGCATTCTGAAGCCGTTTAATGGAGATGAGAATGCAGCAGAAAGACTCAAAAAGACTACAGAACAAAATTTTGGTCATTCCGCAGCGATGGGAGACTTCGACGGTGATGGTTACATGGATCTTGTGATCTGCGGCGAATATAGCCCAAACTGGAAAGAACAACCTGGTTGGGCAGCAACCTCCCCTTACTATCCTACTCCTTCGGATGGAGCGCTTGATGTTCCGCGTTGGGGCGCGGGCGTGGTGTGTGTGATTTATGGCCCCTCGGAGAACTGGGAAAAATTCCTGTCATACAGATCTACAGGTTCAGATTTGTGGAATGGGATGAGTAACGACCCAACTTACTTTAACGCTTTTGACTTGCAAGGCGTTTTGCGTTATCTGAAAGATAGTGATGAAAATGGCATTGTTGGAGATGCCACTGAAGAGAGTGAACTTGAGAATCCACGTGACAGAATTCCTGCATTGGTTATTTACGGCAGAAACGGCATCAGATCCGCGAAACCAACTGGGACCGATCCTTACTTTGTGGATAATGACGATGATTACAAAGTCTTGAGTGCTGGGTCTACAACTGCGAGTTGGACCCATGGGGGGCAATCGACAGTCGATGGGTTTTCCATTGGGCTCAATTATGTGACAGGTCCTTGGAATGATGTGATCGATGACAGCATCACTGGAGACTTACTCGGGTACTCGGTCTCATTTCTCGGTGATGTGGACGGCTATCCCGGTGATGAGCTCATCATTGGAGCGCCCCAGATGAATGTAGACGGGAAGGCTGTCGAACACGATGGCAATACGAGTAATCTTGATGTCCTTCTCGGTTCCAGCCAGTTTGGTGGGGCGATCATGTTGTTTGGTTCACGATACGACCCGTTAGGCGACCAACCAATCAGCGGTCGAATTACCGGCGTGTATGATCTCGATGATATCACACTGACTGGTAAGGACGGAACCAACGATGTGCCTGCGGGTGTGAAGTTTATCGGTGCGACCTGGCACGACAAGGTCGGTCAGGATGTCCGAAATGGTTCACTGCCCACGACTGCTGAGTGTGGCACATACCCAGAAAGTACTGTTGTACCGGTCATGGATGTGAACGGTGATTTTCACGCTGATATTCTGATCGGTGCGCAGTCGTTCGATTCCGGTGATCACCCGAACTACAACCCAGGCGATCCGAATACAACGGATGCGGCGTACATGAATGTCTCAACAGGAATTGCCAACGATCCTGCTGGGCGCGCGAATGGGATTGGTGCGTGCTACATCATCTATGGAGCACCTCGATCAGAGTGGACACAAGATGTATATGAACTGCCCAATGACTTGATCGCGAACAATCTTCCGGAAGACGGTGCGGTCATTTATGGGAGCGGCAACTATACCTACCTTGGGTATTGTGGTTTCGGCGGTGACTTTGATGGCAATGGATGTTCAGATGTCATCATCGGAACGCCTCACGAGGATGCGCCGAACGGCGATGTCAATCGGAGCAATGTTGGAGCGGCTTATGTTGTCTTCGGATCAAAGACAAATCCTCCTGTCGGTGAGTATTTCACCAGCATGAATACCAACGGCGAATCTTTCACGGGCTCTCTTTCATCAGCGGTCAACAAACCGATCTGGAGACAGACATTCGTTGATGCTGTCGATTCAGAAACAGAGAATTGTAGAATAACAAGAACACGACCTCGTGCACTGAAGATTCGTGGATCTGTCAATACGCCGCTGGATTACAATGAGAATCAGGCGTATGACCCGAATGCCACGGATGACTGGGACTCTTCATTTATGTTGCCTGGTGATACGAAGACTCAGCCTGATATAGTTGACGATTTTCAAGTCGGTGCAGAGTTTGGTTGGACGGTAATGGCCGCCGGTGATGTCGATGGTGACGGTAAGACAGATATTCTTGTGGGCGCACCGGACTTTTTTATTGGGGACAACAACGACAATGATGTGCAGGAGCGCGATAATTTGATCAATCTTGGGCACGATACACACGGTCGTGTCTACCTTATTTACGGCTTTGATCCTTCACACCCTTGTGATATCAAATCTGGTCCGTGCCTAACTTTCCCAGAGTATGGTCCAAATCTTGATACTGAGTACTTAGTTGAAGTTGACGATCTATTGGTGGCCAATACATCGGTCACAGGAAACATACAAGCGGCAAAAATCAGGGGTGAACTCAAGGGCGACAACTTCGGTTGGCATGTCTTCTGCGCGGGTGACCTGAACGCGGATGGGCATGCTGATTTTGTCATAGGTGCCAATGAAGCGGATTATATGGACAACAACTCGAATCTTCGGAAGACCGTTGGTGCCGCGTATGTGATCTACGGGGATGATCGTGTCAATCTCAGCGGTGAGTTGAGCGCTCGCGATATCGGCGATTCAATCATGGGTGCGAAACTTTATGGTGATTCTGCATGGTCAGATTTACCGCACTTTGCAGAGCCAGGTCCCGGCGACAAGCCACGGGCTGGCGTGTGGGTGTCTGGTGGACAAGACCTTGACGGTGATGGCTATCCTGATCTAGTCGTGTGTAGCGAGGGCGCGACCATGCCATTCAATTATGACAATGACCAGTCCCCTGCGAGAAGTGTGGGTGCGGTGTTTATCATCTATGGCGGAAACATCATGCAGCAATGTGACTTTGATATGTCCGAAAGTTTGGATTGTCTAGATCTAGCTATGTTCATGAGCGACCCTAAAGATCTGAATCATGATGGGGTTGCTGACCCGTCCATGACCGGTCCTGACTATGCGGTGCTTGAGTCGTTTATTTCCGGCGGCTGTCCTTGATTGATCATTCAATCTAGAGCTTATATTTAAACAGCCGCGTGGGAACACGCGGCTGTTTGTTATACGATCGCGTTCAACGCCAAGATAAGCTGGTCCACATGTTCCTTCGTATGTGCGGCGGACATTTGGATTCGGAGTCTTGCTTCGCCTTCGGGGACGACGGGGTAGCCGAAGCCGATGACGAAGATGTTGTGGTCGAGGAGTTTTTTGGACATCGCGATCGCGGTCGCGGTTTCCCCCACGATGATGGGGCAGATCGCGGTGGGGGATTCGAGGACCTCGAACTTGGTCTTCGCTTTGATCTGCTCGCGGCAGTACTGCGTGACCTCGCGGAGGTGCTCGACGCGCTGGGGCTCGTTCATGAGCGTGCGGATCGCGGTGTTGGCGCTGGCGGCGACGGTGACTGGGAGGGCGTTAGAAAAGAGTGTTGGTCGGCCTCGCTGGATGATGAGGTCGATGAGGTCTTTGGATCCGGCGATGAAACCTCCGGCGCCGCCTCCGAGTGCTTTGCCGAGCGTGCCGGTGAAGATGTCGATTTGGGATTTGCCGTTTTCGTCGATCATGTTGTAGTGTTCGTGCGTACCTCGTCCGGTTTTGCCCATGACGCCGTGGCCGTGGGAGTCGTCGACGCAGAGGTACGCGCCATACTCGTCGCAGAGTTTTCGTAGAGCGGGGAGGTTGGCGATGTCGCCTTCCATGGAGAAGACGCCGTCGGTGATGAGCCAGATCTGGCCGGTGACATCGGGGTCGTTCTTGGCGCGTTTGAGGACTTCTCGGCAGGAGTCCATGTCGGAGTGTTTGTAGACGGCTTTCTTGACGCCTTTCTTGATGACTGGGGTGAGGCGCATGGAGTCGATGATGCACGCGTGGTTGAGTTCGTCGGAGATGATGATGTCTCCGGCTTCGCAGCAGGTGGGGAAGAGCGCTTCGGTCGCGTTCCAGCAGGAGACGAAGGTGTAGGAAGATTCGGTGCCCATGTACTCTGCGATGGTTTGTTCGAGCGTGTGGTGCGGGGAGAAGGTGCCGCAGATGAAGCGGACGGACGCGGTGCCGGCGCCGTAGGTTTTCAATGCTTCGATGCCTGAGGCGACGACATCGGGGTGGTTCGCGAGCCCGAGGTAGTTGTTGGAGCACATGCAGATGCGATCGTGCTTTGAGCCGTCGTCGTCGATCATGGTGACGAGGGCGTCCATCGGGGAGTCGAGGGTTTGGAGGACTTTCATCTGGCCGGTCGAGGCGAGCATGTCGAGGGTTTCTTTGGTGCGGACGGCGAAGGGTGTGGTCGTGGATGTGGTCATATGTTGGTTCCTCTCACAGAATTTATTGGATCTTAGGGGACACTTGCTCGTATAAAGTGATGAGTTTGTATTGATTAGGGGATTTGTTATGGCGCAGAGTATTCATCGGAAGGGCTTCACGGTAGTGGAGTTGTCGGCGGTAGTTTTGATCACTGGATCAGTCGGGGCGGTGCTCGCTCCGATCGGGAGTCAGGTCCAGAAGGCGAATCTGGATACCAAGTCGCAGTGGGTGCACCATGATCTTGCACGCAGACAGTTTGTGTATATGGGAGACCACAATGGTGCGTTTACTGGACCGAACACTTCTGGGGCGGAGTGGAATAGGACATTGATCCCAGCGTTTGGGAATAAGGGTTTGGAGACACTTGAGTTTGACACTGCTGGTGGAAATCCCACCACTCAAGGCGATTGGATCTCTCCATTGGTTGGCGATGCGTACGGATTCTCTCCGAATAGGGCAGAGAGGACTCAGCAACGCTTTGAAGTGGTGGCCGATCCAACCACTGATCGTATGGTTGATAACCTATACATCGAATCATTCCCTGCGGATTTAGATCAGTTTGTAACACTGTTTCAGACTTCAGGGTTTCGCCAGAGAAGCTTTTTGCAGATCAACAGCTTTACCCATTTTTCAAGTGAGCATACTCGCAGGAATGTGGTGATCGATCGCGATCAGGATCTTGGTTATATCGAGCAGTTCGCGGTCCAAAATCCGAGTGATGTGGCTCTGAGTCCGGAAGGGTATGTGCCGAACATTTCAAATGTGGGAACTCAGTTGTCAAACAAAGTGATGTTCGCTGACGGCACCCGTCACTATACGGATGGTGCTGGGTTGGATTTCAGTATTGATCTGCTTCCGTTGACAGTGTTGGATTCTGATCCTGGGCCGAGCTTCGAGCATTCTACCGCTTACGGCCGGAGCTCTTGGCAAGCTCCGAGCCAGATGAACCTTGAACTTTCATATCGCAAAAACGGTGGAGAGGGGTTCTATGTCACGATGTTCGATGGATCCCTTCAGTACATGAGTCGAGAACAGTCTTGGACCGATCCAACGCCTTGGTATCCGAGCGGGAGTGTTTGGCAGGGGAACGGGGCGACACCTGAGGCCGCGGCTTGGGTTCAGAAGAATCTGCCGGGTGGTGTGATTCATTGAGCCCGGCTCGCTTTGGTTGATACCATTGGGTGTTGAACAAGCACCAACGAAGCAAACTTGAGGGGATTCTGGAGTCGCTTTCCAAGGCGGATCGGGATCGTGTGTATGACCTTGCGCGTGAGCAGCGGTCGGCGGCGCAGAAGCGGCGGCGGTCCAAGGCGCGCGAGACGCTCGATGGTGAGCGGATCGGGGGGAAGCGTCGCGCGGATCCGTTGATTGATTGGGTGCTCCGGATCGTGGAGAAGGAGTACGGGCACGCGAAGCGCGTGCGTGAGCAGTCTCCCGATGCGGCGGATCTGCAAGAGGGTTTGGTTATTGAGTTGACGAGGCGGCGCGCGACGGTGCTGCCGAGCGGGGAGGACGATGCTGAGAAGGCGGTGTTTTGTCGACTCAGCGCGGAGCTGGCGGCGCGGCAGCAGTCGGGGATCGCGGTGGGGGATCGCGTGGTGTTTACCAAGCTCGACGCGAAGGACGACGATGAAGAGTTGTTCGAGGTCGTGAGCGTGATGGAGCGGACGAGCAAGCTGGCGCGTCCAGATGCGCACGATGTACGTCAGGAGCGGGTCGTCGCGGCGAATGTCGATGTGATCGTCGTGGTGGTTTCTGTTGTATCGCCTCCGCTTCATCCGCGGCTGATTGATCGGTACCTAGTAGCGATCGAGGCGGGTGGGTGCGAGGCGGTTATCGCGGTCAACAAGGTGGACCTGCTTGATGATTCCAATCGGGAGTCGGAGCTGAGCAAGCTGGAGCCGTATCGGGAAGCGGGGATTCCGATCGCGGTGTGTGCGGCGGTTCCGGGTGATGATTCATCGTCGCGCGTCGATGAGCTGCGGGAGTTGTTGTCTGGGAAGACGTGCGCGTTTGTGGGGCACTCTGGGGTTGGGAAGAGTTCGCTTGCCAATGCACTCGATCCGGCGCTTGGGCTGGAGACGGGTCGTGTGCGCGAGCGGGATCAGCGGGGTCGGCATACAACGACGGCGAGCTCGATGCACTTTATTGATGGCGCGGGCGGCGAGCAGATCCGCGTGATTGATACACCTGGGGTTCGGTTCTTTGGGCTTGCGGATATTTCTCCGGAAGAGCTGCGGTGGATGTTCCCTGAGTTTTTGGAGTACACGCACGACTGCAAGTTCAATGATTGCTCGCACGATCATGAGCCGGGCTGTGCGGTCGAGGCGGCGGTCAATGCGGGGGAGATTTCAGCGGTGCGCTACGAGACATATCTGCGGCTGCTTGAAGAACTCAAGACGGGTGGAAAGCCGAAAGATGTGAGTGAACGGATCCGTCCTGCGATCGAGGATGAATAGGCATCTGTTTATAGTCCGTTTGTATGCTCCAGAGATCCGTGTTGAAAAGCACTTGCATGATTGTGTGGTTCTGATACCGTATGTGTAGACCGAGTTGTTCTCGGATCAATCCCGGTCCGGGCACGCGTGTCTGGAGGGTATCAGTATGCAACGGATTCGGATCCAAGCCGGGGCTTCGCTCTTGGCGTGTTGTGCAATGGGCGCGATGGCGCAGGTTGATTTTTCGCACGAGTTGTTTTCGGTGGGTGATGTTGGATCAGCGGTGAACGCGGCTCCGGATCACGGCGGAGTGTTTAACGGCGGATCGGGGACAAATGTCTTCGTCAGTAATGCCGGGGCGCTGGGACTCAGTGCGGGTGATGCGCTCGATGCGTTGGATCGAGGGGATGTGTACATCACGGCTTCAGGTGTCGTTCAGTTTCCGTTCTTGTTTTCTCCTGATAATCCAGCGGTTGGACAAGCGGGCACGCCGATGAATGCGAACTTCCCGTTTACCGGTGCGGATATTTATGCGCTCCCATCTGGTACGACTGGTCATGTGCTCGCGTACAACGAGTCGGACATGGGGATGTTGATGTCTCCGGATGAGGCGATCGATGCGATGACTGATCCTTCTTCGATGATTGGTCAGCGGATCTATTTCTCGCTTGAGCAGGGCTCACCAACGCTTGGGATTCATGGGTGGTCGGGCGCGGATATTCTGACGGTTGTGGTTGGATCGCCGGCGACGCTGCAGCGGGCGCTGACGGCGAGTGATCTTGGTTTGATTCCGAGTGATGATGTTGACGCGTTCGCGATGTTCGGACGGAACGATGCGAACGGGAATGCGATCTTTGATGACATCAATGATTCGGCGCTGCTGTATTTTTCGGTGAGTCGCTTGAGTGTGGGCGTTCCGGGGAGTGATGTGCGGCTGCGCTCGCAGACTTCGGCGTATCACGGCGGGGATATCTATATGTCCGGTGCTTTTGGGGACAACACGCTGTTGCACGAAGCGGATCGTCGGATCCTAATGGCGCCGGGGGATGTGCTCAATGCGCTCAAGCTTGGGTCGGGTGATCCGCTTGATCCGTTCCCGATGTATGGGCCGGGATTCCCTGATCCGGCGGATGAGCCGGAGAAGCCGATGAGTTGTCCGCCGTATCGTGGGACTGGTGTGCCGATCGGGACGATCTGGGTTGAGGTGTGTGATGCAGAGGTTCCGAATATTGTGAACTGGCAGATCGAAGTGAAGATGTGCGACGGCAACGGGAACACGATGAGTGTCGTCAAGCAGGGGCGCGTCAAAGGCGCTGCGAGCAGTGATCCGCATGTGAAGGCGCAGATGATCAAGGATGCGTTTGAGAGCGTGATGCTTGATAAACCTGGTCAGATGCCTCCGGCGATTCCTGTGTTCAAGGGGTTCGCGAAGTTTGTGCCTCCGATCAATGTACCTCGTCCAGGGATTACTGGTGAGGTGTGCATGTTCGTGAATCAGGAAGTGATTGACTGTGGCTGGAATGTGGATCGGATCTGTTTCTCGTTTAGCAATTGGACGGCAAACATCATCGTGAAACCTGTGAAGGGTTGGTTCCCTGATGCGAAGCGCCGGATGAGTCTGCAGGTGAACGGCGTCGCGGATAGCGACGCGCTGCTGCGGATTAGCGCGACGGATTCAAACGGTCCGGGTGGGATCGATGTGTCGTTTGCGGTTCCTGTCGCGGCGGGGCAGGATGGGCTTTCGGCTCTGCACGAGCTTTCCAATCACATCGCGGACATGGGTGGGTTCGCGCCGGTCAGTCCTGATGGCGAGATGATCGTCGAAGCGCTCTCGATCGAACCACCAATCACTCCGGAGGGTTTGTTTGGACCTTTGGTATATGAAGCTGGCGCGATTAACAATGCGGATCTGCAGATCACTGTCGGTGCGTCTTTGGCGCGTGGTCCGAACAGTCCTTGCAGTGCTGTGGATTATGCAGAGCCTTACGGTTCATTAAACTTCCTTGATGTGTCGGCGTTTCTTGAACGCTACAGCAAGGGGATTGGTGATGCGGACCTGGTGTACGATGGCTCGTTCAACTTCTTCGATGTGAGTAAGTTCCTCGAGTTGTATGGCGAGGGGTGTCCTGGGTCTGATGGTACCAAGTAGTTTGTGGTGCTCAAAAACCAATGAGCACTGGATCCAGAAATGGTCCAGTGCTCATGGCTCGTGTGGCTTGGTGATGAAGCGGGTTACAGCATCCTGTTATGGCATGAGAGCTTGTCGATAGTCGTGGAGGTAGTCCACGATGTCGAAGAAGTTGATTCGTGAGTCGCCGTTGTGGTCTGCGCTGAGGTTGCGCGATGCGAGTGCGTTGATGAAAGTCATGACATCGTCGAACTCTACGGTGTCGTTGTTGTTGTAGTCGGCAGCAAACGCGGGGGCGCGGAAGGTGAAGATTTGATCAGATTGCAGGTTGGTGTAGGTGTTGAATGTGCCGTCGGGCCAAGCGACTTGGATGGATTCGATCATTGATTCGCTCGCGAGTCCGATGTGGGTTTCGACGGATGATGAGCCACAGTGCGAGGGATTCGCGAACATTGGGAGGATGTATTCTCTCGTAGCGGTTTTGAGTGTGACCATCGCGCCGATGCCTTGCGGTGCGAGTGAGTCGCGTGCGTAGGTGTCGAGTTTAATGCGCGCCCAGTGTGTGTCGGGTTGGGTGGTCTTTGGTGTGATGAGGTTGTTCTGGAAATATGCGTTTTGCTGATTCCAGTTGAACATCATCGCGTCGATGTCGCCGTCGTTTTCGGTATCGAGTCTGACGAGTCCTCTTCCTTGCGCGATGTCATTGATGCCGCAGGCTTGTGCGGATTCGGTGAATGAAGTGCCGTCGCCGTCATTGAGATAGAGCGTGACGGGGTCTGCGGTGAAGTCGAAGAAGTAGCCGTTTGTTTCGAGGATGTCTTTGTCACCGTCGTGATCGAAGTCGTTGATGAGTGATCCCCAACCCCAATGGCCGTCATGGCATCCGGAGATTCGTGCCATGTTTTTGTATGAGCCGTCGGGTTGCTGGATCAGGAGGATGTTTCCCGGTCCGTTGGTTGAGTCGAAAGTGATGTTAGAGAGGAAGAAATCGAGTAAGCCGTCATGATTGACATCGGCGATGTCGATCCCCATCGCATTTGCAGTTTGGACATCCTCGAGACGGTTGGTGTCGTTGGTGAAGGTGCCGTCTCTGTTGTTGGTGTAGTAGCGTGTCGTCCCGGTATCACCAACGATGATGAGTTCGGGGTATCGGTCATTGTTCATGTCGCAGAACGCTGGGAGGAATCCGGAGACTCCGATTTCTTCGACTCCGGCTTCCGCGGTGACATCGGTGAAGCGCCAGGTGTCGGTTTCGTCTGGTCCGTCGTTGCGGAACAAGCGATTGGCGGCGCGGATGGAGTTGTATGCGGTGACGAAGAGGTCGAGGTCGCCGTCGAGGTCGTAGTCACCCCACGAGGATCCGGTTCCTTCTTTTTGATTCGTTCCCGGCGTGAGGTGGTTGACACCTGCGGATTCGGCGATGTCTGTGAATGACCAGTTGCCGTGTTCGTCAGGTCCGTTGTTGCGGTAGAGTTTGAGTTTTCCTGGTTGTGGAGCGCTATCACCAGGTCCGAACGCGGTGACGAAGAGATCGAGGTAGCCGTCGTTGTTGAAGTCAGCTGTGGAGGCGCCGAAGGAGTGGTAAGGACCTGCGACTCCCCACTCTGATGCTTGGTTGGTGAAGGTGCCGTCTTGGTTATTGATGAAGAGCGAGTTGGGGTTCATCGAGCCGAGATGGAAGATGTCGTCGAATCCGTCGTTATTGAAGTCCGCGGCGACCCCGCCTGCGGTCATCGGAGAGTACAGCTGTGCAGTCGAGAGGGCGTTCTGTGAAGTGAGTCCGGCTTCGACTGTGCGTTCCACGAAGTGAAGCTTTGGACCCCCTGCAAGAGCAGCGAGTGTAAAAGTTGAGAGTGCAGATGCGAAAGCGATCGATCGAGGTGAGACCAACATACCACGAAACCTCGGCACGGACGCGACGATTCGCGCACACAGCATTCCGCTGTGATGCCGTACCACTAGACTGTTGATTCGCGAGCAAGCACACGACACTAGCTCGGATCCTTCGGCGCACAGAAATATGCGTCGAGAGGCTCAACACGGTGGGGCTGTTGGTTGTGAATGCGAGACCTTTGCATTCACGAGCCTGAAACAAATTGGCACTTCAAACACCCCCACGGCGTTCGAGTGAACATTGGGCGAGATTACCAGAATATCCTGACTCTTGCAAGACCAAAGTCAAAGATTTCGGTGCATGGAATAGTGGTCTAGTGAGTGGTTTGTGCGATACGGAGGCGTTTGTTATGGGTCATGATGAGTGGATCGCGCAGCGGGAATCTGGGATCGATGCGTTGGGAGCCGGGATCGATCGCGTTACGCAATGGGCGCAGAGCTATTTGAGATCGCTCGCTGAACGGGATGTTCGCACGAATGTCGAGTGGGGGGAGGTGTTGAAAGGGATCGAGCAATCGCCTCCGATGGAGGGGTGCTCGATTGAGTCGATTGAAGGATTGATTCAAGAAGCGGATAACGAGTTCGTGGAGCGTCTGGTGCATTGGCAATCGCCGAGGTTCTTTGCGTACTTCCCATGTAGCAGCTCGGTTCCAGCGATTTTGGGTGAGCTGATGAGCGCGGTGCTCAATGTGAACGGGATGTTGTGGTCGACTTCGCCTGCTTGCACGGAGCTTGAGGTGCGCGTGATGGACTGGTGCGCGCAGATGTTTGGACTTGATGACGGATTCCGGTTCGATCGTTCGGAGAAAGGCGGCGGATGCATCCAGGGGACTGCATCAGAAGCAGTTGTTGCGGCACTGGTCGCGGCACGGCGGCGATGCACATCACGCGGCGTTGATCGCTCGAAGGTGACTGTGTATACAAGCGATCAGGCGCACTCATCAGTGGTTAAGGCGGCGATGGTGTGTGGTCTGGCGGATCACGCTGAGGATCAAAGCCGAGTGCGTGTGATTGAAACGGATGCTGAGCTGCGCATGGATAATGTGGCGCTCAAGCGATCGATGCGTGCGGATATCGAAGCGGGATTGGTTCCGATGATGGTGGTCGCAACAGTGGGGACGACTTCGACAGGAGCGGTGGATCCGCTTGGGTCGATTGCGGATGTCATCGGAGAAGTGGGTGAGCACAAGGCGTGGTTGCATGTAGATGCGGCGTGGGCTGGAGCCGCGGCGGTGTGTCCTGAGCATCGCGCGATGATGGAAGGCGTCGAGCGTGCGGATTCGGTGTGCATCAATCCGCACAAATGGCTATTGACGAACTTTGATTGCGATCTGTTCTGGGTGCGTGATCGTGATGTGCTTGTTGATTCGATGAGTATCACTCCGGCGTATCTACGCGATAAAGCGAGTGAGAGCGGCGTGGTCGATTTTCGAGATTGGCACATCGCGCTGGGACGACGGATGCGATCGCTCAAGCTCTGGATGGTGATCCGCTGTTTTGGGATTGAAGGGTTGCGTGAGCATATCCGAGGTCATGTCCAGCTCGCACAGCGGGTCGAGCGGTGGGTGGAGCGGAATTCACGCGTGGAGCTCGCGAGTGATCGCATGCTGGGGTTGGTGTGCTTCCGTGTTCTGGGGGATACTGGTTTGACGAGCGAGTTGGTGGAGCGTGTGAATGCGCGCGGACGCGTGATGATCACGCATTCGACAGTCCCGATCGGGGAGGACAGGGCTCAGGAGTCCATTGCACGCGTGAGTGTGGGGACGCCTGGAGTGGGGGAAGCGGACATCGATACTTTGATCGAAGAACTTGAAGAGGTCCTTGATTCGTTGTGCTGAAGCGTATTTAGCGGGCGTAGACTGAGGGATGCGAATGAATCATGTACAGATTCCGGTCTTAGGTGGTATGGTGGTGGGGTGCTTGTTGATGCTCGGCGCCTGCAACAACGCGACGGTCTACAACGGGCAGAGCTATGCCTTGGGAGGGGAGGGGTTTGATACGGATCGTGAACGATTGATCGGGGTGATCCGCGAGGTGCTCACGGATCATCGCTTTGTGATTGATCGCGTCGACGCTCGGCGTGGGGTGGTCACTACGGCGTATAAGACGACTCAGGGGCTCGCGTCGCCTTGGGATGGGGAGCAGGGGTCGTTCAAGCAAGAGACTGCGGATCTGGTCAATCAGCATGAGCGCTCTGTGCGTGTTGATATCGAGAACGATGGATCGATGATGGTGTCGGTGCTTGTGCAGCGCGTGCATCGTCCGGCGTGGCGCATCGAGACAGAGAGCATCTCACGATCCACGCACGCTGTCGTAATTGATTCGCAAGGAAAGCGGCAGCCTGCTCGGATCGTGACACCGATTGGTCAGGATGGGTTGCTCGCTGAGCGGATCGGTGAGGCGATTCGGAGCAAGCTGGTTACCGGTTGAGCCGCATTGCGCGGACACGCGATTCTGGATGCGGTTCGATGAACTCGCTCGCACCTGTTTGGCGGATCAGTTCGGGATCGATCTGCGGGCTGTGCAACTGTGATGGTTTGGAATGATCCTGGTGACCAAGGGCATTGGCGATGAGTTGTCCTCGGCTTGAAGCGCCGAGCTTCTTGTGCAGGCTTTTGACATGATCATGCACAGTGTGCGGCGAGCGATCGATGGAATCAGCGATCTCTCGTACTGAGCAGCCGAGAATGAGTTGATCGAGGATGACTTGTTCTCGCTGGGTCAACCAGCAGATCGAGTTGTTGGCTTGCTCGTTGCACATCGCGGCGGCTTTGTGGTTGAGGATGCTCATCACGGATGAGAACATGTCATGATCGAGCAGGTCCGCGGAGTTTTGGTTTGGCGTAGCGATACAGATCAGCGCGAGTTGTTGGGTTTGAGTGGATTTCTGTGTGGGGCGAGCATTGATGAGAGGACAGTAGCTGACGAGTGTTTGCTGAGGTTGAGTGGACTTCCAGTGGTTGCTCGCGTCGCTGGCGTACCACTTCGGGAGCAGGATTTGAGCGTTCGAGATCAATGGTTTGCTGAGTCCTGAGTGATGGAGCTTGGAGTTCAGTGATCCGAGTTGCTCGAGTGTTGATCTGGACTCGAAGGGGTTCGTGGTCGCGGGGTGGTTGGGATTGCTCGATACGCCTGAGGCATCGGTGGATGCTCTGAGTGATTCTGTGTTGAGGTGGGCGATGATGACGGCAAACGCGGCATTGGGAGCGAGTTTGGAGAGTGCCTCGGCGGCTTGGGTTGGCCAATCGGCGGTTGGGGCGCACGGCAGAGTGGATACGGCGAAGACGCATTGAGCGAGTTTGTGAAGGTTGTCGTTCGTATTCGAAGCGTTGTGAATGTTACATTGCATGATCAGTTATCCAAGCAGGAAGAATCCTGTTCCATTGCCTATTTATCAGCGATTTAGGGCTCAGATATCGAGATCTCTTTGAGAATAGGGGCAATGACCTAAGTTTGAACGGGTGGATGGGAATACCCAGGAAATCATATTTTGAGGGTGTGTGCGTTCAAATTTGTGTGATGTGGATTGGTAAGTGTTCATTTATTTACTGAAAGATGGTTGATTGATTGTGGATTTCTGAGAAGTTCGCTGGTTTGAGCGGGTTTTTGGCGCATATTGAACAGGTCTGTACCCCAGATGGGTAGCTCGGTTACAGGCTGGTCGCGGGACCGGTCTGTATTTGTTGTTTGGGGTCAGGCAGTTTGAGGCGGGGACCGCCTTTGGAGAAGTGAATGTCCGCGATGTCTGGACAACATGGGTTTGTATTTGAGCCGATCACTTGGCAGCCAGAGGTATTGGCGCGGCTTGAGGATCGGCATCTCGTCGCGTGGGGTGATGATCTCCAAGTCCGGACTCGATTCGCTGCACAGTTCCAGCAGTTCCTCTCTGGGATGGCTGACACACAAGTTTGTGTAATACACGGTCGTTTGATTCGGTCGATCGATGATCTGTGCGATCAGCTCGAGCGTTTGATTCCGGTGGATAAGTTGAGCCGAACAGTGGATGGTCCTCGCGGGATTTCATCGCTGTTGCGTCAGCGCGGCACGATGCCTGGTCGTCGTCATGAGCGAATGCGGGTGTTCGTCTGGCACGACGCGGATCTGCTTGTGCGTCGCGATCGTGGATTATTCCAAGACATCGCTGAGGTCATGGCGGGTGTCAGCGCTGAGATGGAGTATGCCGATGATGGGTTGTTGCTGATCCAGCGGTGCGTGTATGTGGGATCTTCGCGATTGATGCGAGAAGCTCGTCGTGTTGATTCACGATTGAACTCGTGGTCGCCTGCTCCGATTGGTGAGATCCCGTTCTGGGGTTTGGTGAGTGGTCAGGTGACGCCTCGAACGGCTTTGTGCTCGATTGAGCGTTTGCTCGAGGATTCCGGTGTCTGATTCGAAAGAACAGATGGATCGGGAGTTGGCGGCTGAATGAGCCGTTTTTTTTGTGCGCTTAATTCGGGTTGATGTGGTCTGCAGGATTGCTTTGGGTGCTTAGGTGTGCATTGATACGGCATGCGGATTATCAGCGGAGAGTATCGTCGTCGTAAGTTGCATCCACTTCCCAAGGGGGTGGAGACGCGTCCGATTCCGGACATGGTGAAGGAGGCGATGTTCAATCTGCTGCGTGGTCACTTTGAGGGTGAGGGGGTGATCGATGTGTTCGCGGGCTCGGGATCGGTGGGTCTTGAGATGGCGAGTCAGGGGGCGAGCCGAGTGGTGTGCGTGGAGCGCGATCGTCGGATGGTGCGGACGCTTGAAGAGAATATCGAGATGCTGGGGTGCGGCGATCGTGTGGAGGTGGCGTGTTGTGATGCGCTTGGTCCTGCGACGCTTTCGCGTTGTCCCAAGCCGGCGCACATTGTGTTTATGGATCCGCCGTATGCGATGGTGTGGGATCCTGAGGGTTGGCCGAGGGTGAAGAAGCAGTTCGAGCGATTGATCGGGATGCTTGATGAGACGGGGTATGGGATCATTCGTACGCCTTGGCCTTTTTATCATCGCGAGCGGATTGATGAGGAGGGGGCGGGTGCGGGAACGCAGAGCGGCGGGGCTCAGTCGACGGAGTTGATCGACGGTGAGGAGATGGTCGAGCTGAGCGAGGAGGATCTGGCGGCGCTGTGGGAGCGCGAGAGCGCGGAGGTCCATGAGGGGGGGCAACCGAAGTATCGGACTTGGGATATCTCGCTTGAGATGGAGGGGGCGGAGGGACCTGAGACGCATGTGTACGGATCGACGGCGATCCATCTGTATATGCGGAAGCAGGATTGATCTATCTGGTGATTCTGGCTGGTGAAACTGGTTGAAAATGCTCAGGAAATTGATGCTTTCCGGAGTGGTGATCGCTGCATCATTGGGGGTCGATGGCGGTATATTGAAAGACCCTTGCTTTCGTGAGGAGATGTCTCGTTGAACCGGATTGGAGACGCTCGTTCGTGCGGCGGATTTGTTGTTTCATCTTGATTGTGCTTGGCGTGCTGGTTGTCTCGGCACGCGGTGATGACGAGTCTGTTCGCGTTCAGCGTGAAGTGCTCCGGTGTGGTCTTGAGGTGATTGTTTACAGCGATCCGGCTTTGGAGGACCAGACGACTCAGGTCTGGACGCGGATCGGTCGCGGCTCGATGAGTGAGCGAGACGGCGAACGCGGGGCGTCGCTGATCGCGGCTCGCGCGGCGATGCATGGTGTTGATGAGTTCTCGCGTGAAGAGATGCTCGCGATGATCGGGGTCGATCCGGAATCCGAGGGGTACATCGGTGTCGAGGATCGAGGTGGGGTGATGGTGCTCAACGGGCATGTGGCGTTCATGCTGGAGGTACAGGAATCGGGGGATGTTTCGGATGGGATCCGCGTGGCGCGCGGTTTGTTGGATGGATACTCGCCGGGGGATGAAGCGATCGGTGTCGTGCGCGAAGGGGTGCTTGAAGAACTCAAGGCAATGGAAGAAGAGCGCGGCGAGCGCTGGGCGTATATGCAGTGGCTTCCAGAGCTGCTTGATGGGAGCGGGTTTTCTCGGATGGCGATGCCGAGCCTGGACGAGTGCGCGGCGCTGGATGCGGATACTGTGCGGGCGTTTGTGGATCGTGAATGGAACGCGGGACAGTCGACGCTGTTGATTGTGGGTGATGTTGATCCGAGTGATGTCATTGCGAAAGCGAGATCAATCTTCGATGGCTGTGGTGCGGGTGAGCAGACGGCGCTGAGTTCGGTGGAGATCATCAAGCCGAGTGTCGAGGGGCGCGTGGCAACGATCGGGGTGGAGAAACTTAGCGGATCTCGGCTCGGGATGGTGTGGTTTGGTGATGAGCGTGAAGTGATCTGGGAGGATGAGGGGCATTCGCTGGCGCTGTCGATGACACTGTGCGGCGAGGCGATGCGGTATCGCGTGAATCGGATGCTCCGAGCGGAGTTTGAAGCCGTGGTCGATGCTCGTGTTGAGATGGGGATGCTGCTGGGACGCATCCCGTTTGGTCAGGTTGTCGTTGAGATGCGAGAAGGCGCTTCGGATGAATGGGACGCGGTGCTCAACGCGATGGCACGAGAGCATCAGCGGATGGTCCGCTTCGGCGTGAGCGAAGATGAGATCGCGCGAGCGCGTGAATGGCTGGATCAGCAGTGGGGGTACGAGATTGATCAGTGGGCTGGATTGACGAGTAGAGAGCGGGCGCGTTCGCTTAACTGGATGATGGCGACTGGGCGTCCGGTTGTTGAACTTGATGCGTGGATCAACGAGGGGCGCGAGCTGCTGGGCAAGGTTGATGTTGATCTTGTGAACTCGGTGGTCGATGGGGTGTTTGCAGCAGTTGAGCCCGCGGTGGTGGTTGTGCTTGATGAAGAGCAGGCGCCGAGCGAGATGGATGTGCGTGCGGTTTTGGACGGCGTTGAAGATGATGAGGTCGATCCGATTGATGGATGGATCGCGGATCTGCGTGGTCCGATTCTGAACCAATCGGTCGATGGGGGCGAGGTTGAAGAGATCAGTGTCCATCGGGAATCGGGTGTGGTCTCGGCGGTTCTCAATAATGGGGTGATGGTACGGCATCGTGAGATGGGTTCAATCCGCAGCGACGATCAGGGTGTGCGCATGGTTGTGCGGTTGGGGTTTGATGGGCTGGAAGAATCCGAGATGCACGGCGTGGGGGATGTGTTTGTCGCGGCGATCGAGCAGGGCGCGATCCGTTCGCGCACAAACGAAGAGATCCGAGCCTTGATGATCGAGCATGGGATCAGTTTGGGTGTGGAACGGCAGAGCTGGCGGATTCAGTTCCATGTCAAGGTTGATGATGCGGGTGGTCCAGAACTTGAAGCATTCGAGCGCGGTGTGGAGCTTGTGTTTGCGTATCTGACGGATCTGCGTATCGAACAGGATCTGATTGAGCAGATCGCGGAAGACGGCGCGAGAGGTGAGCGTCCGATCGGGCTTCCGATCGATGCGATGGAGTCGGGGATCGCGCAATCGCTCGGGGTCAAGTACACGCTACGCGATCCATCACGATTCGGCGATGGGGTTGAAGCGCGACGCGTACGCGAGTGGATAACGAATCAGGTTCGTGGTGATCAGATCGAGGTTGGGATTGCTGGTCCGATTGATGCGCAGAGAGCGATCGAGATTTGCGCGAGCTACCTCGGAGAGATCAAAGGCGGTCCGACACTGCGGACCGATCTTGCAGAAGGGATCCAGATCGCGGAGATCTCTGGGCAGGAGACGGTGCGTGTTGTGGATCCGCGTGGGCGTGAGGGGGTGGTGGTTGGATTCAGCGCCTGTGAGCTCGACGATCTTGATGATCTGCGCGCGCTGACGATCGCGGGGGTGGTGCTCGATGATCGGATTGAAGCGGCGGCCGCGAGTTTGGGCGCTGATGTCAGGACTTCGAGCGGGGCGTTGCTGCTTGATCTGGTTCCTGGGCGCGTGGTGATGTTTGGCAGAGCGGATTGCAAGGAAGAGTCGATCGATGATTGGGCGGCTGTGATCGACGATGAGATTGTGCGGATCGCGGAGAGCGGTATCAGCGCACAGGAAGTGCGTGAAGCGAAGGAGCGGATCGGTGGGTTGATTGATCGTGGGTTTGTGGAGTCTGAGTTCTGGGCTTCTCGTTTAGCGATGGTCAGCGAGCGTGGCGGGGATGTTGAATCGATCTGGGGGATGCCTCGCGCGTATCGCGAGCTTGATGCGGCGCAAGTGAATCGGGTGTTCAGGAAGTGGTATCGCAAGGGTGAGTTCATCCGTGTTGAGATGGTGGGGGCGCCGAGGTAATACTAAAAAACCCCGACATGAATCGAGGTCTCTGTGTGCAAGCAAGTTGTGGTTGTTTATGCTGCTTGGTTCGCTGGGGTGTTTGATGGGTTGAAACCAGCGAATGGGTTGAAGCCGAATGGTGAACCTTGGAAGTTTGGTGCGCCTGCTTCGGACTGTGCGGATTCGTTGTTCCACCAGTTGAATCCGAATGGGGTGTTGAACTGGCTACCGAACTGGTTTCCGAAGAAGGACCATGGGGTGTTGAACCAGTTCCATGCGTTGAATGGGGACCACTGGTTCCAGCCGGTGAAGGACTGTGACCATGGGGAGAAGCTGTTGAAGCCTTGGAAACCTGGGAATGACTGGCCTTGGAATCCTTGGCTCTGGAAGCCGTTGAATCCGTTGAAGAACTGGTTCCATGGGAAGGAGCCACCGAATGAGTTGGTGTTCCAGTTCCATGGGGTGGAGTTCCAGTTGTTGAACGACCATGGGGTGTTGCTGAACGAGTTCCAGTTGTTCCAGCCGTTGAAACCTTGGAAGCCTGGGAATGACTGGCCTTGGAAGCCGTTGAATGCGAATGGTGTGTTGAACATGTGTGTGATCCCTTTGGTTGGATGATCTGTTGGTGCGGCCGCGCTCGCGACCTTTGGGATGGAGATCGGCGGGGGGAGGGGGCGAGTTTGGTGGGATGTGGATTGGTGGATACAACTCAGGACGTAGTGCGGAGTTGGTGGGTTGGTCCGGCGCGTTATCTGCGCGAGACTTAAGAGCCCTCACCCCAGCCCTCTCCCCAGGGGAGAGGGAGGAAGTGAATCAGGTTCGGGTGTAGGTCGCGACGCATCCTGGTGCTTCGGTGACGCTCACTGAGTGGACCTTGGCGTGGGGGGCGAGGGCTTGGTCGAGGCGTGAGGCGAGCTCGTCGGCGATGTGTTTGGCGATGAGCTCGGCGGTGGGGTTGAGCGTGTCGAAGGGTGGGGTTTCGTTGAGGTTGTTGTTGGTGAAGGGCTGGCAGACGTCGAGGAGCTCGGCGTGGACGGTGTGGAAGTCGCAGAGGAGTCCGTCGTCGTCGAGTTGATCTCCGAGGATGGTGGCGGTGGTTTTGAAGTTGTGGCCGTGCAGGGGTTCGTGGGCACCGAGGAGTGAGAGGGCGTGGGCGGCACAGAACTCGTGGTTGACCTGGATCGTAAACATGGTGGAGTTTAGGGAAGAGATAAGGCGGAGAGTTGGGAGCCCTCACCCCGGCCCTCTCCCCGAGGGAGAGGGAGGAAGATAAGACCCCCTCCGACCGTGAAGACGCGGGCACCTCCCCCGCCCCCCAAAGTTGAGCCCGGGGGGGAGAGGGTTACTCGTTTGAATCTTGCTGGGTTGACACAGACGGGTGCGTTTTGGACCAGCTGGTGAGGGAGCGGAAGGCCATGATGGCGATGATGAGGTTGGCGACGACACCGGCGGCGGAGTGGGCGATGAGGTTGAAGGCGATCCAGCAGATGGAGGCGAGTGCGGCGAAGACGAAGCCGTCTTTGTGGTGCTTTCCGAGTCGGTACATGGAGAGGAACATGAAGACGGCGGCGGCCCAGTCGAGGCCGTAGTACGAGAAGAGGAAGTTGTGGATGGATTCAGGCATAGGGGGAAGGGTAGGGGGAGAGATGGCTAGAGTGGTGGAGTAGAAAAAGGAGTGTTTGTGATGGGTGATTCGCCGTTGATTTTGGGTGTGAGTGGGCTTCGTGGGATTGTGGGGGAGAGTCTGACTCCTGAGCTTGCGATGCGGTACGCGGCGGCGTTTGGGGAGTGGTTGTGGCAGGATCGGGAAGAGGGCGATGCGATGGTGGTCACGGTGGGTCGTGATGGTCGTCGCGGCGGAGATGTGATTGAAGAAGCGGCGGTTGAGGGGTTGCTTCGGAGTGGGTGTGATGTGATCCGAATGGGTCCGGCGACGACGCCGACGGTTGGGGTTGCGACTTCGGCGCCGTGCTGTGATGCGGGGATGGTGATCACGGCGAGTCATAATCCGGCTCAGTGGAACGGGCTCAAGTGCATCGTGCTGGATCGGGGGACGGTTGGGTCGGCGTCGCGTGCGCCGCTTGCATCGGAAGCGGCGGAGATTATCGAGCTGTTTGAGAAGATGGAGGGGGAACCTGAACAGGTGCGTGAGCGCGGGATTGTGGTGGCGCATTCGAGTGAGGTGGGTGTGCATGTTTCGTGGGCGGCGGATTCGTTTTTCCGGATTGCTGGTGAGAAGCCTGCGAAGAAGGTGGGGAAGCTTTCGGTGGTGCTGGATTCTGTGAACTGTTCTGGTTCGACGATGGCGGTGCCTTTCTTCGAGCGGATCGGTGTTCGGTTGTATCCGATCGCGTGCGATGGGTCTGGGGACTTCCCGCATACTCCTGAGCCGACGAAGGAGAACTTGTCGGGCGAGGGTGGGATGTGTGATGTGGTTCCCAGCGTTGGGGCGAGCGTGGGGTTTGCGCAGGATCCGGATGCGGATCGGCTCGCGATCGTGGACGAGCGCGGCGAGTACATCGGGGAGGAATACACGCTGGTGCTGTGCGCGATGGCGTTGATGGAGGCGCGTGGTGGTCAGGATTTGAAGAAGGGGAAGCCTGTCTTTGTGGTGAATCTTTCGACTTCGCGGATGATTGATGATGTCGCGGCTCATTACGGCGCGGAGGTGGTGCGCTCGGCGGTGGGGGAGGCGAATGTGGTGGAGCAGATGAAGGTGCTTGAGGCTCAGGGGCGGGATGTGGTGATGGGGGGTGAGGGGAACGGCGGGGTGATCTGGGCGGAGGTGACGTATGTGCGGGATTCGCTCTCGGGGATGGCGCTGGTGCTGTCGCTGATGGCGCGGACTGGGAAGTCGGTAAGTGAGCTTGTGGAGATGGTGAACTCGTTTGGGCCGACGGATGAGGTGAAGGGGAATGGGTACACGATCCTGAAGGCGAAGTCGGATCTGGCGAGCAAGGCGGACGCGGTGCCTGTGGTGAAGCATCTTGATGGGATCTACAGCGGGCAGGCGGGGTGCCGGGTGGATCTGCAGGACGGGATCCGGATTGACTGGGACGAGCGTGGGGTGTGGGCGCATGTGCGGGCGAGCAATACAGAGCCGATCATGCGGGTGATTGTGGAGGCGCCGAGCAAGGCGGAGGCGGAGCGTGTGGCGGCGGAGATTGATGGGCATATACTGGGGGCATGAGCGATATGGTGACAGACTACGAGATCGGTTCGAAGGTGCGTGTGACTCAGCAGTTGATGCTGCATGATTCTGCGGAGGTGACGAGCGTGGAGGGGGTTGTGCTGCGGGTGGGTCAGCAGAAGACGGGGTCGTGGTTTGCGCACGGGCGTGACAAGAAGCTGTGGCTTGATCGGGTTGAGCTCCGCAAGGACGACGGCGAGCTGGTGGTGGTGAATCTGGATCAGCACTCGCGGGTCGAAGTGATCGACTGAGATCGGACAGATTGAAGATTTGAAGCGGCGTTCTTGATGGAACGCCGTTTTTTGTGCGCACAGATTTGCGGTGTTATTTGGCGCCGAATCGAAAATCTCAAAAAATTTGAGGCCTTTGTTTTCAGTGCTTTGCGCGCCGGGGTGTGCGTGGGGTGACGGGGTTTGTGCGCACGCTGGTGTCCGTTGGGTCCATTGGGTGAGCGTGTGAATGGATGCACGCAGGGATGAGGAGGCGGGAATGTCTGACCAGGGATCGAGTGGGTTGTCGGGAAATGCTCAATCACGATGGGCGCTTGTGCAGGCGTTGATTGCGCAGCACGAGCACGGGGTGAAGCCTCGGCTTGAACAGTTGTGGGCGTATTACCGCAACCCACTCGAGCTGGTCGGACGCAGCGGGACTGTGCAGGGCGCGAGTCAGACGGGGTGGTATCGGATGGCGCAGGAGCGAGGTCTTCCGACACGTGTGACGGGGACGAGTCTGGATGGGGTGAGCGCTCCGAGCGGGCGGCGCGAGGTGGTGATCGAGAACGATATCGGGTGGCGCGTCGGGACGATGGTGGACTTTATGTTCGGCTCTCCGGTGCGGATCGAGTCGCTGGCGGAGGATGAGCGGGTTCAGGAAGTCATCGAGGGGATCATTGAGCGGGTGTGGGAGCACAGCGGCGGGATTGCGCTGATGCAGGACATCGCGACGCTCGGGCATGTGTACGGGTATGTGGATCTGCTGCTTCGGGTTGATGAGGACTTGCTTGTGGGCGCGGGTGTGGAAACGGTGCATGAGGCGTTTTCTATTGAGCCGATCGAGCCTCGGCGCGGGGTGGCGATTGTGAGTGATTCGGATTATCGCGAGCTTGATGGGTACGCGATTCACTTTGAGCGTGAGCTGAATGAGGTTGATGAGGGCGGGAAGAACTCGCTTCGGAATCGGTTCGGGCGTTTGGTTGGGGCTTCGCAGGAGCGATCGGCTCGCAAGCGATCGACGGTGACGGAGGTGATTGATCGCGGTGGGTGGTCGTTGTTTGAGGATGGGGAGTTTGTGTCGGGTGGATCGCGAGCGGTGCTTGGTGATGTGGTGCCGGTGGTGCATATTCAGAACATGAGTCAGCCGTTTGTGTACGCGGGCTTGGGTGAGGTTGAGGCGCTGATCCCGCTTCAGGATGAGCTCAACACGCGGCTGAGTGATCGTGCGAATCGTGTGACGCTTCAGAGTTTCAAGATGTATCTGGCGCGTGGGATCGAGGGGTTTGACGGGAGCGGGGTTGGGCCTGGGACGGTGTGGAGCACGGATAATCCTGAGGCGTCGATCGTGGGGTTTGGTGGTGATGCGAGCAGTCCGAGTGAGGACTCGCATATCGCGGAGATCCGAGAGGCAATGGACAAGATATCTGGGGTGCCTCCGCTGGCGGGGGGTGTGGTCAAGGCGAAACTTGGGAATCTGAGCAGCGCCAATGCGCTGCGCGTGACGCTGATGGGATTGATCGCGAAGACGATGCGCAAGCGCGTGACGTATGGGCGCGGGATCGAGCAGGTGAGCATGCTGGTGCTCAGGGCGCTAAACGAGGCGGGGGTCGTGCGGGTTTCTGAATCGGATCGCGGCGTGCGTGTGGTGTGGGGGGCGCTGGGTCCGATCGGGGACGAGGAGACGCTCGACGCGGCGCAGGCGAAGGTGGAGCTTGGGGTTCCTGAGGAGCAGGTGCTCGATGAGCTTGGGCTTGGTGAATCGGATCCTGGGATTGTGTGATCGATTGAAAATTGCGAAAGGAGATTGGCATGAGTTTGAAAGGTGTCGGCGGCGATCCTGTTGATCAGGGTGGGCCGGATGGAAGAGATACAGATGGCGTGGCTTTGAACGAAGAAGTGATCTGGAAAGCGCGAGCGGAGGAAGCGGAGGAGCAACTCGCGGCGTGTCAGGCGAGGGTTGGTGAGCTGGAATCGGAGCTTGCGTCGGCGAACGAGGCGCTGGTCTCGACGCAGCGGCGCGGGGAGATCGAACGCGAGCTGACGGCGGCGCGGACAGTGGATCTGGAGACGGCGTGTTTGTTGACTGAGGCGACGATCGGTGAGATGGATGAGCCGGATGTCACAGTGGCGGTGCGGGAGCTTAAGGCGCGGAAGCCGTTTTTGTTCTCGTGTCCGAAGCACGGCGTGCATGCGGGGTCGTCGATGAGTGCGCAGGCGAGTTCACAGAGCGGGGGACTTGGAGAGCTGGCGTCGAGTGCGCGGAGCAGCGGGGATCGGAACGAGTTGCTGCGGTACTTGCGTGCTCGGCGGGCGCTTTGAGTGTTGGTGGTTGAGTGATTGTTTTGGGTTGAGATAGAACAGAAGGAGAATGGGTATGGCATTTACTGGGAAGGCGAGTTATTCGGGTGGTGCGGATCTGCCGGAGCTTGTGGAGGATGTGAGCGACATCATCGGGATTGTGAGTCCGTTCGAGACGCCGCTGCTTGATCACTTGGGTGATGCGAAGCGGAGTGCGCTTTCAACAGTGCACGAGTGGATAGAGGATTCGCTGCTTGCGAACAAGGGGACGATCAATCAGACGACGTTTACTCCAGATCCGGAGTCGGCGACTGGGATTCTGGTGGATGATGCGAGTGTGTTCAAGGTCGGTGATCTGGTGCGTCCGGGTCAGAGCGGCGAGGTGATGCTCGTTGAAGCGGTGGATACTGGGAGCAATGTGCTTGGAGTTGTGCGAGGGTACGGCGCGACCACGGCGGCGACACTTGCGGACAACATGGAGCTGTTTGTGCTGGGCAATGCGGCGCTTGAGGGTGATGATGCGCCGGCGGCGCGGTTTACCAATCGCGTTCGCAAGAGCAACTTCACGCAGATCTTCACGGCGGGGATAGATGTCTCGGGATCGCTTCAGGCGTCGCGGGCGTACGGGATCAGCGATGAGGTGGATTACCAGAAGCAGGAGCGGATGCGTGAGCTGCTGAGGGATCTGGAGAACTGTGTGATCAATGGCGTCGCGCCGGCGAGTGGTATGCAGGGGTCGTCAACTGTTCGGCGTTCGATGAACGGGATCATCCAATCGATGAACACGAATCTGTTTGAGCCTGGGGTGGGAGCGATTCCGGACGGCGAGGGCGCGGGGGACGAGCTCAATGAGGCGGTGCTTAACGCGGCGCTCAAGCAGATCTGGGATCAGTCTTCTGGAGGTGTGGACACGATTGTTGTTGGCGGGGCGCAGAAGCGGAAGATCAACTCGTTTGCGAGCGGGAGCCGAGCGTATCTGCCGGATGATCAGACGTACTCGGACATGATCAGCGTGTACGAGAGCGACTTTGGCGTGTGCCGAGTGATCATGTCGCGCTGGGTCCCGACGGATTCGGTGCTGCTGCTTGATTCGTCGCGGATTTCGGTGATGCCGATGCAGGGGCGGAGTTTCCACTACAAGCCGCTGGCGGCGACGGGGGATTCGGTGTCGGGTCAGGTCATCGGAGAGTACACGATGGAGTTCAAGAACGAGAACGCGCACGGGTTGATCTCGGGGCTTGCGGTCTAAGCGATTGATTGTGATTGCGGGGTTCCGGTGGGGGCTGGAACGCTCGGGGCGCGTGGAGACGCGCGCTCCGGGTTTGATGAGTGGTTTGTAGCGGGAGGTGAGTGATGTTCGCAAAGGACAGGGATTTGTTGGTGATCGAGCCGGGGTTGTTCCGGGAGGTCAAGTGGAACGGGCAGCGGCTGCTGAGCGGGACGGGGGATCTGAGCGGATCGCTGCTGACGCTTACGAGTGGGTCGTTTATTGAGGGGGGGATCACGCAGGGGCATGTGGTGCTGATTGATTCGATCCCGATGGAGGTGGTGAGTGTTCAGAGCGCGACGACGGCGACGGTGTCGATCATGCGTGGTGATCCGGATTCGACATTTATTCCTGGGAAGTGGGTGACGGGGGTAGATGTTGAGATCTTTACGTTTGAGCCTCAGATTAGCATTGTGCATCGTCAGATTTTGGCGATGATCGGGATCGATGCGGATGATGAGTCGGGATTGGGCAGCGACGCGGTAACGAATCCAGCAGCGATGGTGGTGCTGGAAGCGCTTGGGGCGCTGCATCTGATTTACGCGTCGGCGGGGGCGCCGGGGCGCGGTGGTGAGGCGTATCTGGATCGGTCGCGGATCTATCAGCAGCGGTTCTCGATGGAGCGTGGATCGGTGGTGGCGCTGATTGATCTGGATGGGGACGGGATCGCGGAGACTCGCCGGCATCCGAACTCGTTTGTGCTGACGCGCGGCTAAGGGGGTGTGTGATGTTGATACTGAGTCCGAGCAGCGTGCGGTTTGGGGGCGAGGTGTGGAGCGATGTGTACCGCGTTGCGGTTGAGTCGCTGAGCGTGGAGCTTGTTGAGGAGTGGGGGGACGATGGTCCTTATGGAGTGTTTGTGGATTCAGCGCGGCGGAAGACTCTTGTTCGTGTGCTTCAGGATGTCGATCGCGATGAACTGAGCACGCCGGTGGTTGGATCTGAGGGATTGTTTGTTGTTGAGGTGGACCGCGGGAATGATGCTGATCGGAGTGTCGTGACTTTGAGCGGGGTTGTTGAATCGGTTTTGTATGCTTTTAGTGGATCCCGAACGACGCGTGAGGTCCGATTGGTCGCGGTGAGTTCTTCGGGCGATCAGGATCCGGTCAGTGTGAGTGGGGGTGATTAATGTCGTCGTTCAAGGGACAAAACTTGTTTGGGTCCGGACCTCATCGATTTGTGAATCGTCGGCTTGGTCGTCGTGTGGTCTCGTTGGCATCTGTGAGTGGTGATCCATCGGTACCTGGGACATTTGAGTCTGGGGACTGGGAGGTCTGGGTCGAGGTTCATGGGCGATTGGTTGCTTCGACGGATTCGTCGCTGTGGTCCAAGCGGGATGATATTCTGGATGAGGCCGAGTTTGGGGTATCGGATGGGACACTCGTGGATGAGCACGGGCACTCGTGGTCGGACATGAAGTTGTTGACATATGAAGAACAGGGACCCACGCAGCGGGGTCGCGAGGTATCGGTGAGCTACATCGCGGTCTTCGGGCGACTGACTGGTTAAGGAGTGATTATGGAGACAGAAGTGCTCACTGCGTTAACGCAGTTCGGTGTTGCGGGAATGGTCTGCGCTATGTGGCTCGTGGAACGGCGAGCATCGCTCCATCGCGAGCAGCAGATCAACGAGGCGCACGAGAAGCTGCTTAGTCAACTGGATGATCGAGCGGCGTTGATCGAAGTTGTTCGGGACAATACTCGGGCATTGACGATGCTTGAGTCCGGACAGCGTGGTCTTGTGGATGTGCTCGCCGGGAGGGGTGCGAATGGGTCGAGCGGCGCATAGACTGGGACATGCGGAAGTCCGGTCAATCAGTCATATGCAGTGGGATTACAGGGTTGTTGATGCTGTCTGGGTGTTACCAAGGCGTCAATATCCGAGAAGAGGTCACTCGAGCGGAGGACGGGATGTGGGTTCCTGGGCCGTTCGCGCCGACGGAGATGCGGATTCACCCTCTCACGCACGCGGAGGTGTATGGTGAGCAGCGCCGCTTGGTCGTGCATATGGAGATCCGAGACGGGTGGGGTGACACGATCAAAGGAGTCGGACGAGTCACAATTCGGCTTCGGAAATCTGGGGCGACGACGATCGGCGAGAGCGGTGTGAAGTGGGACATCGATCTGCGTGATCTTGCGACGAATGTGTCGTACTTTGACTCGGTGACGCGGACCTACAAGTTTGTGCTCACAGGACTCCCGGATTGGTTTGAGAGTGATGGGCGCGGGCGGATGCGTCTGACCTTCCATACGGCGCGCACCGATGGCACTATTAAAACGCTCCAGGATGACTTTGAAGTGTTGAGTGTGTCGGTTTCGGAGGAATAACTCAGTCTTCCTCGATGAGTCCGAGCTGGCGGTACTTCTCGCGATAGATGTCGCGGAGTTCGGTTTGCTTGTTGGTCAGGTCGATCGCTTTACCTTCGATGAAGGCGTGGTGGACGACGCTGGTGGTTTCGAGGATGTCGCCGTCGGTGACGATGAGCGTGGCGTGCTTGCCTTTCTCGATGGATCCGATGTGCTCGTCGACGCCGAGAATCTCAGCGGCGCTGAGGGTGATGGCGCGGAGTGCTTTGTCGTGGTCGAGGCCGTGGGCGACGGCGATCGCGGTAGCGTCTGGGAGGTTGCGTTCGTGCGCGAAGCGTGAGGCCATGGTGATGGTCCACTGGACTCCTGCTTCATCGAGCTTTTGAGGGAGTGTGTACTGCGCGTCGTAGGGCGCGTCGGCGCGTTTGGGGAAGGTGTAGGTGCCTCCGATGATGACTGGGGTGTTAGTGGAGACGAGGAGATCGGTGCAGAGGTGCGCGTCGCGTCCGCCGACGATGATTGGTTTGAGGTTGCGATCGATGGCCCAGTTGATTGAGCTGGTGATCTGATCGAAGGTGTTGGCGTTCATGAAGACTGGGTTCTGGTCCTCGCGTTCAAGAACAGTGGTGATGGCTTCGAGTCGTTGATCGACGACGTCGTGTGCTTGGTTGTAGGCGACGGCTTGGTCGAAGATCTCGTTGAGTTCGTCGAGGTTGTTCTCGCGGAGCGAGATGATGAGTCCGGCGTCGCGATCGAGCGCGAGGTCTTCGGTGGTCCATCCGTCGGTGGTGATGATGGAGGCGCGTCCTGGGATAGCGCCGCCGGAGGGGAAGACGCCGACGGTGAGGACGCCGTTGGTTCGTGCGGTTGGGATGACGACGGAGTCTGGATTCACTGCGACATACGCGCGGACCTCTGGGGTCATGGATCCGACTTCGTTGTGATCGAGCGTTGCGCGGACGGCGGAGGTTTCGATGAGTCCCAAGCGGGTGACGGAATCGATGAGTCCTGGGTAGATGTGCATCCCTGAGAGATCGATGATCTGTGTGTCAGGTGAGACGGAGAGGATGGGCATGAGTTCGTCGGCTTTCCCGACCATGCCGATCTTCCCTTCATTCATCGTGACGAGCGCGTTCTCGATGGTGCCGCCGCTGATGGTGTGTGCGGTAGCGCCGACGAGGAAGATCGGGCGGTCCTGCTCGGGTGCGGTGGGGGTGAGGTCTTGAGCGGTTGCTGTGGTTGTCAGCAGAGCGAGCGAGACGAGCGTGGTTTGGATCAATGATGTGTATTTCATAATTGGCTTTCGTATGAGTCTCTTTGGGCGATCGGATTAGTAGTCGGTGTGGTACGCGGGCATGAGCTGGTTGCAGCCGCAGTCGCCTCGCGTGTCGTGGTTGTGGAAGTCGTAGTGGTCTGGATCGTCGATCAGTTCGTCATGGTTGTGTTTCTTGGTGTCTTTCTTTTTACTGCCGGCGTGATCCTTTGTGAGGATGTGCTGGGTGAGTCGGGTGCGTTCGTTGTTGATCGCCTCGCGGTGTGCTGCATCGTCTTCGAGTGAGAAGTACTTGCGGCCGTCGATGTATGTCGCTTCGCAACGCGAGAGCGAGGAGAGCGGTGAACCGGACCAGATGACGATGTCGGCATCCTTCCCGGCTTCGAGGGTTCCGACGCGGTCGATGATGTCGAGCTGGATCGCGGGGTTGGTCGTGACGAACGCGAGGGCTTCTTGTTCGGTCATCGCGATGCCTGACGCTCGTGCGTACTTGAGTGCTTTGGCGGCTTCGACATTCATGCGGCGAGCGACGTCGTCGGAGTCGGAGTTGAATGAGGTCAGCAGTCCGACCTCGTGGTTGATCGGGCCGGCGTAGGGGATCGCGTCGGTGACTTCGACCTTGTAGGCCCACCAGTCGGAGAAAATGGACGCGCCGATGGAGTGTTCCTTGACGATCTCGGCGACCTTGTAGGTTTCGAGCCCGTGCTGGAAGGTGCCGATCTTGAATCCGAACTCTTCGGCGATGCGGCAGAGCATGAGGATCTCGTCTTGACGGTATGAGTGGCAGTGGACGAGGCGCTCTCCGGCGAGGATCTCGGCGAGTGCTTCGAGTTCGAGGTCGGTGTCGCCGGAAGGTGTTTTCATTCCACGCTCGGCGTATTCACGCGCTTTGGTGAAGCGGTCGCGCATGGTGGTCTCGACACCCATGCGTGTTTGTGGGTAGCGCGTGGTTTTGTCGTCTCCCCAGTTGGATTGTTTGACGTTTTCTCCCAGCGCGAACTTGATGCCTGGCTTCGCGTCTTCGAAGTACATGTCTTCGGGGCGGTCCATTCCCCAGCGGAGTTTGATGGTTTTGGATTGTCCACCGATGGGGTTTGCGGAGCCGTGGAGGAGCTGGGAGGTGGTGAGTCCTCCGGCGAGCTCGCGGTAGAATCCGATGTATCCGGGATCAAGCGAATCTTCGATGCGGCACTCGGAGGTCACGGCTTGCCCGGACTCGTTGACTCCGAAGCGGAAGAGTCCGGTGTGTGAGTGCGCGTCGATGAGTCCGGGGGTGACGTGCTTGCCTTGCGCGTCGATGGTGTGATCGACGGCGATGCGTGGGTAGCCTCCGGTTCCGAGCGAATGGATCTTCCCGTTGCGGATGATGATCCACGCGTCTTCGAGGATGCCTTGATCGGACTGGGTCCAGATGGTCGCGTTGGTGATGAGGACGGAGTCCTGCGGCGGGATCTCGCTCAGTGCGTAGGGACCGAACGGCGAAGGTGGCGCGTCGGGGAGTGTTTCGGTTGACTTATCGTCCTTCTTGTCGTCTTCGACTTTGGTCGCGGTGAGCTGGAAGGGCGCGTTGTCGGGGCGTGTTCCGATGCCGATGAGGGTGTCGTCGTCGCCTGGTGGGGAGAGGGCGATGGAGAATGTTCCCGGCATCCCGAATGGTTCGTGTTCGAAGGTGAACGCGAGTGTTGAGCCTTGGATCTCGGCGGTGGTGGATTCTTGTGTGATGTTGTCGGCGTCTTGGACATGCTCGATGATGGTGACGGAGTCTTTGCCGACTTTGAAGGTCAGATCGAAGCGTTCAGCGAGTGTCGCGTCCCATGTGCCTTGGAAGGTGTTCATGGTGACGGGCGCGTCGGTGATCTTCGCGGTCCAGTTGAATGGGTTCTGGTCGGCACCGAGTCCGGTTCCTCGCATAGAGCCGTCTTTGAGGAGTGTTCCCGACATGATGTAGGAACCCGATCCATCGTCATCGTCGTCGATGATGAAGGAGATCGCGTTCTCTTCGATTTCGACCTTGCGTGCTTTGTTGGTCGCGAGGTCATCGCCCTCGCCTTCGAATGCGGTGATTGAGTCGCCCTCGATGTCGATCCACATGGTGAACGGAGCGCCGACGACAGAGATCTCCCAGTATCCATCGAAGTGGGTGGGTTTGTCGTCGTTGATGTGGTGCTTGCGTCCATCGATCCATGTGTCGATGATCTGTGCTTTGGAATCGGGATCGAAGAGGTCGTCGGATGCGACGACGAGATTGGCGAGGTAGCCGTTCTTGATCTCGCCTTGGTTGTCGAGATCGAGGATGTCCGCGGCGTTGGTGGTCAGCATCGCGAGCGCGTCAGAAGCCGGGAGACCTTTTTTGATCGCTTCGTGGAGGTTGTCGTAGAACTTCTCTCCGTCGCGGAGCTTGCTGGAGGTGAGCGCGACCTTGAGTCCCGCGTTGTGGAGCCAGCGAGCGTTGGCTGGGGCGCGTTCCCAGTGCTGGAGTGTGGTGAGCGCGACATTGTCCGCGTCGTTAATCGTCCAGACCTCTGGTTCTTCTGGGAAGGTCATCGGGACGACGATTGAGTGGTTCATCTCGACGAGCGCATCGAGCCTTCGGTGTTCGCTTCCCGATCCGATGATGACGATGCTGTCGTGATCGAACTCAGCCGCGATCTTGTCAGCGAGCACGGCTTCGAGCTCGGTGCTGGTGTCATAGAAGAAGGTTGTGTCGTCCGGAGTGACCTGCGAGAGGCACGATGGGTTGGTTGCTTTGGACTTGTGGTAGTGCTCAGCGTCGAGGAAGGTCTGACGCATCAGCGAGATCACACCCATGTGGCTCGTCGGGTAGTCCGCGTCGGACCAGTTGGTGCGGTCGTACCCCATCATCTGTCCCGCGTGTGATTGATAGACGGGCGGGAGTCCGAGCGATGGGTCGTTGAAATGATCAGCAGTCGAGACCGTCGCGGTCCATCCGCGGAAGACTCCTGAGTCCGGCGCGATCATCGCGGTGGTGAATCCGTGCTTGCGGAGCGACTCGGCTTGTTTGTTTGTGAGTCCTGGTCCGATGAGCGCGTCACGCTGGGGGGTGACGAATCGGTTCCAGTGCTTGCCGCTGGAGTTTGGATCGATCGCTTGGGTGTCGACCTCGACGAACGGGTCGATGAATCCGGCGTAGATGTGGTAGGTGTCTGGGAGCTCGTGGACTTGGAATCCGGGTTTGAGTCGGATGGTGTCGGTGGACTCGACAACTCCGATGATGACGCCATCTTCGATGAGGATGCCGGGATTGGAGTCGGCGTCGTAGGTCTGGGTCGGCGAGAGGTGGATGGTCGCGCCGGTGATGAGGTGTTTGCTTGGTCGATCGACCGCCATGCCGTTGGGGCGCGGCGCGAGGGGATCGGACGCGAGTGTTGCGGTGTGGACGGATGCAGCCGCGATGAGGACGGCGGTGGAACACAGGTACGTGACAGATTTCATAGAACGAGACTCCTTGGAGATGATGGTACCGAGAAGTGGTGAGAAAGTGGCGTGATTTCTGAACGGATTCTGGGGTCAGTTGCGAATTCGCTTGCTGAAATCGGTGGTTATGAAAAAAGCCCCGCTGGTGCGGGACTTCTTAACTGCATATTCAGATGTTCGTCTTTATCGACGGCGGCGGGTCGCGAGCAGTCCTCCGAGTCCGAGCAGTGCCGCGGAGCTTGGGGATGGGACGACTTCGACCACGATCGCGGTTTCGAGCAATGGAGCGCCGGTAACCTCGGTCAGCACCATCTTGACATCGTACTCGCCGGTCGCATCTGGATCGAACGGGATGTATCCGCTTGCGTCGAGGATGAACGGGACACTGACTCCCCAGAAGCTAAATCCTGGGTTTTGGCTATCACCTCCTGCAGGGGTGGTGACCATCGCCGCAGCGAGTGCGTTGGTGATGTCGAGTGTGACCCAGCTCTGTGAACCGAATCCGGCGTCGAAATCAACCATGAGGGTCATGTGGTAGTTCGCAGGGGTCGCATCGCGCGAGAGTGCGAATCCGAAATCGATGTTCCACGAGCTGAGCCCGTCGTTGTCAGGCGAACCGGCGTTTGCGAAGAAGCGGCCGTTGCCGTCGGTGGTGAGGTCACCAACGAAGCGTTCCTTTGCTTTCAGACCGATCTCGAGTGCACCGAACGCGTCCATTCCGCGATGGATGGAGTAGTTGGTGTTCATGTTGCCGTCACCGAATGGCATCTCGGCACCGAATGCAAGGAATGACGATTCGTGATCGATCGGCACGCCGGCAAATGATGTGGTTGCGGTGATCGATGCGGCGATAACTGCAGTGCGAGTGATAAGCATGTGTTCCTCTTTCTCTCTTATGTCTGTGGGTTTCTCTCTTGTCGACGCGAACCAGCCGTTCTCTAAGCGTCTGGTCGTTCAGGTACTATAAGAGGAGTCCAAATGATGCTCAATGAGAAATCAGAAATTCACCATTTTGGACTCTGATTTAGGTGTGGTGATCCGCTACCGTTCTGTTCCACTATGTGGATCGAAATCGCACGAGGAGCTCCGAAATGCCAGATTTAGTAGCAGGAAACGCGGTCATTGGACAATCAGGCGGACCCACCGCCGTCATCAACCAATCGTTGGTTGGTGTCGTCGAAGGATTGAGAGCCGCAGGTGCCGGGACTCCGGGTAATCCGATCAAGAAAATCCTCGGCATGCGCCACGGCGTGACAGGATTGACCAACGACGATCTGTATGACCTCACGGATTATCCGCACGATCGTCTTCAACTCCTCGCGCAGACTCCAAGCGCCGGATTGGGATCGACACGCGACAAACCAGATGCGGCGTACTGCGAGCGGATCTTCGAAGCGTGTCAGCGCCACGACATTCATTACTTCTTCTACATCGGCGGGAACGATTCAAGCGATACCTGCCGAATCGTGAACGAGCTCTCGAATCAGAAGGGGTACGAGCTCCGTTGTTTTCATATCCCCAAGACGGTTGACAACGATCTGATGATCAACGACCACACGCCGGGATTCCCGAGCGCGGCGAGATTTGTTGCCAAAGCGTGCATGGCGGACTTCCTCGACAACATCTCGCTCCCCGGAATCAAGATCAATGTCATCATGGGTCGTCACGCGGGGTTCCTGACCGCTGCGAGTGCGCTGGCGCGTCGTGATGATCGTTACGAGTTTGAGGGTGCTTCGAGCGATGGTCCTCAGCTGATCTACCTTCCTGAGGTGCCGTTCGATATGGACCAGTTTGTCGAGGATGTTGCGAAGCTGTACGACAAGCGTCAACGCGTTCACATCGCGGTGAGCGAGGGCATCAGCGATAAAGACGGCAACGCAATCGGGGCGCAGCTCATCAAAGACGGGCAGGTTGACGCGCACGGCAATGTACAGCTCTCAGGTTCCGGCGCGATCGGTGATGGACTGTCCGATCTGCTCAAAGAGCGATTGACGCCTGCTGGGGGCAAAGCGCCTCGCGTCCGCGCCGACACTTTCGGTTATGTCCAGCGCTGTTTCCCGGATCAGTCCCCAGTGGATATGAAGGAAGCGCGAGGAGTGGGTCGATACGCGGCGCGTCTCGCGACGAGCGGTGATCTTGATGGTTCGGTCGCGATCATCCGGACCAGTCCGATCGGTGAGGGGCAGCCGTATGCGTGTAAGTATGAACGGATCGAACTCAGTGATGTCGCGGCAAAGACCAAGCACATGCCGTCGGAGTTCATCGATGGTCACAACAATGTGAGCCAGAAGTTCCTGGATTACTGCCGACCATTAGTTGGTGACCTGCCGTTGTACGAGCGGATTTAACTCAACGCAATCCGGTACGCTTGCACCCTTGCCTTAAAGACTCCGGCGATGATCGCGGGGTCTTTGTTGACAATCGACTCTGCAGCAGACTTTGATTCCGCTTCAAAGATCATGATCCCGACATTCGGCGGCTCTTGCGTCCGTCCCGCGAGGATGAGTGTGCCTTCTTCATGGAGCCGCTGGTAATACGCGAAGTGCTCGCTTGCGGCTTGTGCTTCCTCAAGAGTCGGATTATCAGGCATTCCGAGACGCGTCGGTTCAAGGAAGCACACAAACTGTTTTGGCTCTTTGCTCATCCTTTGATCGTACAGGGTCACAAGCTTGCATGCACAAAGATGGCAGGTCACTTGCTTCTGATCAACTCAAGGATTGTGACTTTGTTCTCGGGATCAGTATGTTGATGTTTATCGAGCCAGATTTGAGTCGCTGTGCTCGCGTTGTCGGGGTGTGTTGCGAATGAATCCATGTCGTACACGCCGTATGGGTTCCCGAATGGATTCAGTCCGCTGAGGTTTTCGATGTTACTGATCTCGTTGTAGAAGAGAAACTCGTTGGTGAACCCATGATTGTTTTCTTTGCAGAACTGGAAAAGCTCATCAGCCTGTGCTCTCATCCTTTTGAGACGGAAGGTGGTACCCCATGGTGCATAAAAGTCATGTGGTGCATATCCATCAATCGTGGATTCTGCGAGCGCTTGATCCCATTCGTCTCGAAGTAGAGAGAGGCCGAGTGTGTAGTCTCCACTGATCAGATCCTCATTGTGACCGAGTTTGTATCCGATTGTGTCGATCGGATCAGGATTGACTGCAAAGCCATCGCCTGCAATTTCTGCAAGCGTGCTGACTACAACGGCTCTGACTTTTCTCGACTGATAGAGTCTGAGTTCGGATGCGTCCAACCCAGGCTTGTAGAACGGGCAGTAGACAAGGCCGGTCTCTTTCGTGGTATCCAGAATATTCGACTGATTCACGGAACTGGATTGGAATACGAGCACGCCAAGTATGTGAAGTTCGTTATTCTCAATAGGTGGATTCTGTGTATCGTCTGCGTCTGTTCGGATTGTGAAACCGATTTCTGTATTGCTCGGGTCAGATGTCCAGAAGTTTCCAGAGGGATGCACATAGTCGACATACCCAATGGATTCGCCGGTACCTGATTCGAGCGTGACAACCGATGCGGATTTGGTTGTTCGATCTCTTGATCCGGATTGTGCTCGGACCGGGGTGAGAGTTGCTTTGATATCGTTCGAGTTGACTCTGCGATAGAAGATCCGATAAGTGATTCTGGACTGATCATTGAGTTGGAAGAGATCTGTCGGAACGAGGTACTCTGTGATTGCCTGCTCACCCTGAGGCAGCCCATTGAGTTGATAACGATGAGAGAAACTGATGTGATGGTTTGTGTTCCCGTCACCCCAGTCATCTTGAATAGCGAGCTCTCCTTGGTCGGTCCAGTTTCCGGCATTGCCGAGGGGGTTGAATCTCAAATCGAGATTGCCGTGAGGTGCAAACGGCATCAGGATTCCGAGCAGTTCGACGCCAGCTGCATCAAGAAAGTTGTCAATCGCTCCAGTGCTCCGAGCTTCTGAGGCACCCATCTGAGAATCACCATTGTCGATGATGATGACTCGTTTGTCCTCGGCATCGCGAATCGAGCTCACGCGGTCCTTGTTGTAGTTCAAGGGTGCGTTCGGTCTGATCGGACGATCGAGATAGTTCATCCACTGTTCAAAGGTGTGTGGACCTGCGATCAGAATCGAGATGAGGAGTGAGCATTGCAGGATCATGTGTACAACCTAGGGGCACTGCGTATGAGCATCACTGTTCGCACGATCGAACGCTCTGGATTATTCAATATAAACCGTTTTTGTATAGATTCAACGAAATACGGCTTTATAGCAGTTGGAATGCAGGAACCTGTAGCTTCTCTATCGGACGATATGAACAAAAAAACCCGCACCGAAGCGCAGGAAAGAGATGACGGATTCTGTGTACTGCTCAATCGCGTGTGTAGTGGATGGATCCTGAGTTGAACCACGAGCCGTCGGGCATCTTGTCGTAGAACTTGTCCGTCCAGTGATCGTTGTCGATCTTGGTCGTGACGATTTTCATCGGATTGTCACCCATCGGGGTAGTCGCGGTGCCGTGCATGACGAGGTTGCCGTCTTCGTCTTTGTTGCCGGTCATGTAAGTGATCTTGGTGGACATGGAGTCCATCCAGATGGAGCAGTACTGCTCGTGCGCATTGTCGTATCCGATGATGGAGTAGCCTTCGAATGGTTGTCCCATGAAGTCCATTTTGAAGTGTGACATCGTGTAGCGTCCATCAAGCATCTCCTTGACAACCATCGTCGCGGGACCCTCTGTTGGTGGCGCCGCGGGGTCCATCACAAAGCTGGTCTTCGCGGACCATGATCCGACGGTGGTCATCAACTCGGCGTGGTGCTCGTTGGGGGTCGAGAGCTTCATCATTCCAGCCATCATCTCCTCAGCAGACATTTGGGACATGTGATCCGCTGGGTCCTTGTCCATCATCTTGTGGTCGTGTGCTTTGTCATGATGTTTGTGTTCTGGACCGGCACCGATAATCAATGCGGCTCCAGCGGTGATGAGTGATCCTGCGGCGAATGCGATCAGCGTCGTGCGATTCATTGAGATCTCCTGTTGAAAGGTGTCGTGGTGGACGGGTGTGCTTCCGTCTCGATGCTGGTAGTTTCCCTGATCTGGAGCCGTTTGTCACGGAAATTATCGGAAAATACGAAAATTAACCGAACATACCAGCCAAATCAGTTGTCAATATAGGCAATTTGGTCTATATCTTTTTATCCATGAGTTGATAGGGGGATCGACCTAACCATATTGTGAACACATATGTCCAGTTTTATGAACAAATCGTTGTGGAGAGATTAGATGCTCGATCAAATCGTTGGAGAGAAGAAGGACGAACTTATCAAAATGCTGAGCTCGAAGCTCGGCGTGTCGGATGACCAAGCCGGTGGGTTTATATCTAAACTCATGCAGAAAATGGAGATTTTACTCGGTGAAGGGAAGCTCGATGTGGACTCGTTGCTCAAGGGTGACCTGTCCTCGCTCAAGAGCAACCTGGACCTCGACAACCTCGGCGCTTTGCTCGGCGGCGGGAAAGAGAAGGCGGAGCAAGGCATCGATGCCGTGTCGACACCGATCGCGGAACAGCTCGACAAGCTCGACGACCCAATGCAAATGCTCGGCGGCTTGCTGGGCTGAGTGACACAATAATGTCGAAGAGAACGCTCGCATCGCGCGGGCGTTTTTTATTGACTCACTCGAACACGCTCTGCGATCGTGAGTCCGAAGGATTCGAGGTGTGGGTAGGACGCTTCGGAGTTGGTGATGAGCTTGAGGTTGCTGATCCCTAGGGCGCGGAGGATCTGGGATCCGGTGCCGTATTCGACCATCTCTGGGGACAGCGCTTCGGTGACCGCGTCTTCGGTGCTGTGGTTGTGCGGGCGCGAGAGGCGTTGGGAGAGTTCGTCTCCGATGCCGTGGGGACGGAGGTAGACGATCGCGCCGCGGCCTTCGTCCTGGATCATTTGCATTGACCTGCGGAGGGTTTGACCAGTCGATGAGGTCGGATCGGGGTTGGATCCGATGTCGTCGAAGATGTCTCCGAGCAGATCACGCTTGTGGACGCGGACGAGCGTGGGCTCGCTGTTGGGGATCGGGTTGTGATACTCGTCGAGCTTCCCGACATCGCCGACAGTCAGTGCGAGGTGGGGCATCGGATCGCTCGGCGCGCGGAACGCGATGAGGTTGAACTCACCAAGCGGCGTGGTGATCGTTGAACCCTCGATCGGATCCATGCGCTCGACGATCGAGGACTTGGCGAGCCGGTACTCGATGATCTGTTTGATCGAGCACATCTTGATGGTGTGCTGCGTGCAGAACTGCGCGAGATCAGGGACGCGCATCATGCGACCCTCGGGGTGGACGATCTCGATCCCGACGCAGCCGGGGTTGAGACCAGCGAGTCGACAGAGATCGACGATGCCCTCGGTGTGTCCCACGCGGACGAGGACGCCGCCGTCGCGTGAGCGGAGCGGGTTGATGTGTCCGGGACGCACGAAGTCGTCCGGCTTGGTCGATGGGTCGATGAGCATCTGGATGGTCTTGGCGCGTTCGTGGGCGCTGACTCCGGTGGTGAAGCCGTGCTTGGGATGACCGTCAACTGAAACAGTCAACGGCGTCCCACGCGCCGAGGTGTTCACAGCGGACTGTCCATGCAGGTCCAGACGATCGCAGTCCGATTCTGGGAGCGAGACGAACATGTATCCCGATGCTTCCTTGAGCATGAACATGATCGCTTCGGGGGAGATGAACTGAGCCGGGAGGATGAGGTCACCCTCGTTCTCGCGTGATTCGTCGTCGGTGACGACGACCATGCGTCCAGCGCGGAGCTCGTCGAGGATATCCTCGATGGGAGAGAATGCGTTCTGGAGGTCAGGATCGGTCATCGCGGGGATTGTAGTGGGGGTGGTGGTCATGGGAGGGAATGGTAGAACGGGAGGGGGAGATTGGCCGTATATTTTAAGCATGACCAGAAAGCCGATTTTCATTGTTCTTTGTATCGTCCTTGTCTCAATGATCGTGGGCTATACATGGATCTCATCAATCAATGTGATACCAACAGTTCTCTATAACTTTCGGGTTCATCTAGAAACCCCAGGCGGTCCGCTCCCATTCCGAGTACAAGCGTTTCAACAGGACAATCGAGGGGAGTGGTCTGCAGTCATCACAATCGGAGAAGGTCACTTTGAAACGGGAAATCTAGAGAGAATACCAGTCGAAATGGTGGGCTCGTGGGATGACTTTGAAGTTCGTTTTCCTCACTATGACTCGGTGTTGAAGCTCAAAGATAGTTCAGGGCGCGGAGTGGGGTACACCGGCAGTTGGAGCAAGTATCGCGGAGGCGAAATTGCAACGATGAACGCATTCGCCATTCGAGGGAGTCCGCTTGAACTCTTTGATCCTATTGAGGATTTCGATTCTCGCAGCGACTTTGATGGCGAGTGGACGGTGAAGTTTGAATCGTCTGATGACAATGCGATTGCGAAGTTTGTAATTGATGAAGAGCATGCCGCTGGCACCTTCATGACCACCACCGGCGACTACCGCTTCCTCGCGGGTCGCGTAGACGGCAACCTCATGCGGCTCTCCACCTTCGACGGAGCGCACGCGTTCCTCTTCCACGCGCGCATGCAAGACGACGGCACCATCGAGGGCGACTTCTGGTCAGGAAACTGGTGGCACGAGACTTGGACCGCCGTGCGCGATGACGACGCGGCGCTCCCCGATGCGTTCGAGCAGACCACGATCGCGGACGAGGACGCGCTCGATGACATGGTATTCAAGGACCTCCAAGGCGAGCCGACGCGGGTGCTTGATGTGCTCGACGAATCGAATGCTCCGGCGCGGATCATCGAGATCTTCGGGACCTGGTGTCCCAACTGTTCTGATGCGGGGCGCGAGCTGGTTTCGCTGCGTGAGCAGTATGGGGATGATCTCGCAGTGGTCGGACTCGCGTTTGAGGTGACTGTGGATTTCGAGCGTTCGGTCCAGCAGGTCCTGCATCATCACGAGCACATCGGGACGGATTGGCCGATCCTCATCGCGGGACTGAGCGACAAGGACAAGGCGTCGCAAGCACTCCCGGTGCTCGACAAGGTCCGCTCGTACCCCACGATGATCTTCCTCGATCGCAACAACGAGGTACATGGGGTGTACTCGGGATTCAGTGGTCCCGCGACCGGGGATGCGTACATCAAACAACGCGAGCGGTTCGAGGCGTTGATCGAATCGATGATTGATTGAGATTTGTTGACAGGGATCGTGCTTTCGTGCATCATGGTTGTCATGAGAACCTTTTGCTCGATCCTGCTCGCCGTCTGTTCGTTGTTTGTCTTTATGGGTTGCGCTTCGACCCAAACGCGCGAGCACAACCCTACTTCGTATCGCGCCGAGCTTGAATCGATCCTCGAAACCGATCAGCACTACCGATCCATGATCTCGTGGGGAACGACCGATCCCGATGAACTCGCGGAGCTCGAAGCGCTCGACGACGAGGCGCACATGGCGGAGTATGTCCGGCGTAACCAGGAAGGCATCAAGCTCGATCCGGAGGTTGAAAAATCACTCTGGGAGAAGCAAACCAAGATCGATCAGCGCAACACCACGCGGTTGATGGAACTCGTCGATCAATACGGCTGGCCGACGGCTGAATCCGCGGGCGAGGACTTCCCGAGTCCCGTCCCGGTGCTGATCCACATGCCGATGGAAGACATGGACTGGGTGCTGCCAAAGCTGCTCGACGAGGTGCTCGAAGGTCGCATGGATCCGAATCCCTACGCGATGATCTACGATCGCAAGCAACAACACGACGGCAAACCCCAGCTCTACGGCAAGTCCCGCGCGTTCGATTCAAAGACACGGACCGTACTTGCTCCCGCGATCGTGAGTATTGAGGAAACTAACGCGGCGCGTGAAGCGATTGGTCTCGAGCCGTTGGAGGAGTATCGGATCACCGATGCGTCCACCGCTGCGGGACAGTGATTACAGGATCGTCCCGCTGAGCAGCAGGATCGCGACGGCAAAATAAATAGTTAATCCCGAGACATCCATCAGCGTCGCAACCAGCGGCGCTGATGATGCCGCGGGGTCGAGTCCGAGCTTGTGCATCACAAGCGGGAGCATCGATCCGATCAGCGTCCCCCAGATCACGATCACGAACACAGCTCCACCGACAGTCAGCGCGAGCTCTTGTGCGTGTTCAGTGTGCGCGAAACCGATTGCGGAGAGCATAAGCACTGTAAGCACACCCATCACGCCGAGGACGGCGCCGAGGATGAGTCCCGTCAGGATCTCCTTGCGCATGATGCGCCACCAGAGTCCAATGTGAACTTCCTCCACAGCGATCGCGCGCACGAGCAAACTCGCGGCTTGTGTCCCTGTGTTCCCTCCCGATGCGATGATGAGCGGGACAAACAACGCGAGGACGACCGCTTTATTGAGCTGCTCGTCAAAGATGCCCATCACTCCAATACTCAAGAGTTGCAGGACGAAGAGTCCGGCGAGCCAGAGACCACGCTTGCGGACCATCTCCTTGACAGAAGTGGAGGTGTATGGCGCGTGGAGCGCTTCCATACCACCTAGCTTCTGGACATCCTCGGTAAACTCTTCTTCCGCGACATCCGCGATGTCGTCGGCGGTCACAATCCCGACAAGCAGTCCGAGCGAGTCCACGACCGGGAGAGCCGTTCGGTTGTAGCGAGCCATCGCGCGGACCGCTTCTTCTCGGTCGTCCGTCGCGATGAGCGTGACGAACTGGTCATCCATGATGTCCGCGATCTTTGCTTCGGGATCCGAGAGCAGGAGTGTGCGGATGTGCAGGTCGTCGATGAGCGTGCCGTCGGGAGCGATGACATAGACCCAGTGGACGGTCTCCGCGTCTTGTCCGTAACGCCGGATGTGCTCGAGCGCGTGCGCCACAGTCCACTGCTCGCGGATGCGGACATAGTCCGGCGTCATCAGACGACCAACGGACTCTGCGTCGTAACCAAGGATCGCTTGCGTGATGCGCCGATTCTCAGGACTCAATCGAGAGATCAACGGCTGCGCGACCTCGACAGGGAGCTCATCGAGCACCGCGACACGATCGTCGGGCTCGAGACCCTCGATCACGCGTGCTGATCGCTCGTCCCCAAGCTCGTCCAGGAGTGACTCCTGCATCGGTTGCTCGAGCTCTGCGAATACATCCGACGCCATCTCTCTTGGAAGAATCCGGTACGCGATTCCCGCGGCTTCGATCTCGAGCGATTCCAGAAGGTCCGCGATATCCGCGGGTTCAAGGATCGCGAGCGCATCGCGCACCTGCCGATAATCTTTCGATTCCAGCAGTGCGATCAGCTCGGGTTCAAGGAGTTGGATCGTGGGAGATTTCACCTCGACATGGTATCAAGCCAGAGCACTTTCTGTTCGGATGCCACGATTAGAATTCATGCCGTTGGTGCTCTCGCAGGATGTCCAAATGGGAGTTATTCATTGATACGAACTCGTTCTCACTCAATCAGCGATACCGCTCAGCCGATTCAGAGACACGCGAACACATGATTCTGATGGAGTGAAACTGATGAGATCAATGATGGAAATGAATACTTTCAAAAAGCTCACAAGAGCGTTCTCGCTCATTGAACTTGTTGTGGTGATTACTGTGGTTGCGATCCTCGCGGCTATGGTGGTGCCGAAGTTCGCCACCGCTCGGTCGGACTCAGAGATCGCCGCGACGAGCGAGGATCTCCAAGCGATTGCCAATGCACTCGCGATGTATATGGCAAAGCATGGATCTTTCCCGCGCGATGTCAATCGCATGCGTGTGGTTAACGAGTTGACCCCGTACTTCAAGTCCGACAATCCGTTTGCCAAACCCACACCGATTGGTGGTGTGTACGACTACGAAGGTCCACCCAACTGGAATCCAGCGCAGATCTCGATCCGCAAGAACGGCAGCAATGTCTACACCGCGACGGAAGCTCAGCGACTCGATGAGTACATGGACAACGGCGATCTCAGTACAGGACGCATCCGCGAGCACGGCAGCCGACTCGCGCATTACTTCGATGGTCAATAAATAGACTCTGGATCATCTGTACTTGTCGTGACAATCCACGCACGACTGGTGCAAAGCATCCATGGATCGAATCGCATGATCAAATCGACCCGAGTTGATATCGCGTTCGACCTGAGCCGCGGCGTTGATGCTCGTCATCATCATCCTGCGCATGCCTTGTCCCTCTTGGGTAACGATGTCGTCCTCAAGCATCATGCGGAGCAGATCGTGGATCTGACCGCTCACGGCTGAGGGTGAGAGATCGGGGTGATCCTCTGGAGTCTTCCAGTCAGCTTCGGACATATCCCACAGTCGATCGTGGAGACGATCAACTTGCCCCATTGCATCAACGAAGTTTGAGACCGGCGCTCGTGCTGGAAGATCGTGAACACGCTCGATCAACGATTCATCAATTCTTTGAGCACTCTGAGCGGCATTCCAAAGACCAGTGTATTTGGGTGAGGTCCCGGCGGTCTGCATGAACTCCTGCGCTTGGTCATTGGTGATCAATCCAGCGCCGATCGCGCCGACGCAGAGTGCGGCAGGACCACGATGCTTGCCGTGATGACAGTGGACATAGATCGGATGCTCAAGCGTCTTGATCACCGCGGCGAGTTCGAGCGCGCGTTGATCGTCGATCCCGTCATATCCGATCGGGAGATGGACGATCCGGATCCCATACGGCTCGGCGAGCTTTGGATCCGGAGCGATCGCGTCGACGCTGACGACTGTTCGGATTCCCAGATCCGCGAGCTGCGCGTAGTGATCGCTGGTTGGGGGTTCTCCTCCAGAGTACAACCCCTCAGAGAGCAGATGGAGGTTGTGGATCGGTCCCTCTGGAAGTGTGGTAGCCGATGTTCTAGGTGCATTGCTTGAGCACGCGATGAGCAGCGTGAGAATCAAGACAATCGGGAACCAAATCAATCGGTATGGGAACATCATCGCGGAGTATATCGCGGAGAGCCGGCATACGATCGTCCATGGTCTATCGCGTCTGCAAGAGCTTCGAGATCGAGAGCGGACACATGCTCTCCAAGCATCCGGGACGATGCAAATATCCCCACGGGCATTCCCGAAGGGTTGATCTCGTCATCGCGTCTGGACATCTGGGTGATGGGGATATGGTCTGCGACTTCAAGTCCCTCAAACTCGCTGTGGAAGACTATATCGACACCTACGACCACGCATTGATGGTCAACTCGAAGGATCCGATTCTTGAGGAACTGTCCCAGGAGAATCAGAGCCGCGTGATTGTGTGCGAAGATGAAGATCCCACGACGGAAGTGCTCGCTCGGCGCATCTACGAATATGTGTCAGCACAGCTCAGCAGCGGCGGTCGCTACACAGACAAGTCGGGCAACGAGTTCGTCCTCCCGGCGGGTCTCACACTCGAACGCGTCCGCGTGACCGAGACCAGCAGTTCCTGGGCGGAATACGGGATTTCATAATCCCAACTACCCCAACGGAAGGCAATAGTCCCGGCGTCTAGGGCGTTGTTGCTGTCGAACAACCACCAAGTGGTTAGCGAAAGGAGTCTCCATATGTACAGAATCCAATCAAAGATGCGCTCATTCCGCAAGTGGTCCGCGATCCTCGCGTTGACCTCCATCGCAGGTGCCGCGTGTGCCACGGAGCTTTCCACGAACGAAGCTCCACCAACAGAATCACAGAGACACGCGATGAACATGGCGATGGACATGTCCCTCGCGTTTGAGCACGCGAGCGAGACGATCGAATCGTCAGTGGTGCACATCGTGACAGAGAGCGAAAACCGCAGAGGGTTTCGTCAACAGACAAGCGTCGGATCGGGAGTCATCGCTGATGAGCGAGGGTACATCCTGACCAACGCGCATGTGGTGGAAGCGGGGGAGTTCCTGAAAGTCCGCTTGCGTGACGGACGCGAAGTCGCGGGCGAGCTCATCGGAACATTCTCCGAAACCGATGTCGCGGTCGTCAAGATCGAAGCTGAGGGGCTCGTCTCCGCAGAGTTCGGGGATTCCGAAGCGCTGCGAGTAGGGGAGTGGGTCCTCGCGGTTGGTTCGCCGTTCGGATTTCAGCAATCCGTGACCGCCGGGATTATCAGCGCCAAGGGGCGTGGCTCGGTCAACACCAGCATGGGCAACCAAGAAAACATGCCTCAGCGTTTTCAGGAGTTCATCCAGACCGATGCCGCGATCAATCCAGGAAACTCCGGAGGGCCGCTGGTTGATCTGGATGGACGCGTGATCGGGATCAACACGGCAATCCTGTCGCGATCCGGCGGGAACAACGGCTTGGGATTCGCGATCCCGATCGATATCGCTCAAGCCGTGATGAACCGGATCATCGAGAACGGGCGCGTCGATCGTGGTTGGCTCGGCGTACAGATGGGCGGACTCGAACCAACAGTCGCGTATCAGATGGGGATCGAAGGCGGGGTTGTTCTTGATCGTGTAGTGACCGGCGGTCCCGCGGATCTTGCAGGTCTGCAGGACAACGACATTGTCGTCGCGATCGGAGGGCGCACAACAGAGAACCTGATCCGTATGGGCAACGCGATCATGCTCGCTCGTCCAGGGGTTCCGGTTGAGATCGAGTACTACCGGGACGGGGTCAAGCGATCCGCACGCGCAACGCTCCAGGATCGCGACAAACAGTTCGCGATCGCACAAGGCGGCGCGTTCATTGAAGACTTCGGGATTCTTGTGGTGCCTGACGAGGTCCGCGATGTCCGGAATCGCCGTGTGGTTTATCGCATACGAGGTTTCCGGATCCAGCAGGTGAATGACAACTCTTTCGCGGAACAGCAAGGCTTGGAGCCCGGGGATTTTTTGTACGAAGCCAACGGACGGTCATTCGAGAGTGTTGATCAGCTCAGCGACTTTTTATCCAGCGCTGATTATGAGCGTGGGGTGCGTCTCAAACTCTTCAGGGACAACGCCCGCGGATACATCGACATCACCAAGGATGATTGATCCAGACTGCTGATTCAATAGGGCGCCTTGGGTTCACAGGAGAACCCTTTCGCTTTGAGTTTCTTGATCCGTGCGAGGACTTTATTCGTCCGGATCTGGAATCCTGCTTTCATGCGCGAGCCTTGCAGTTCGGCGCGTGCTTGTCGGATCTCGGCGCTCGAAGGATCGAGCGGACAGAGAGCTTGGGCGAGCCAGAGCTGGACTCTTTTGCGTGGAGACTGTCGAGCGATCCAGTACACAAGTGTGAGGAATCCGAGGACCAGTGCGAGTGCCGCGAGGGCTGGCGCATACCACGATCCAGTCTGTGTCCACGCGTAATAGCCTCCGATTGCGACGGCGAGCGCAAAGATCGCGATCAACAATCGCGCGACTGGAGATAAGCGTTCGAATGTCTCCTCGTCATACACACGCGCAAAGCTGAAGAGCGCATGGCGGATCATCTCCTCGCGTTGTTCTGTGTTGAGTTTCTCGTCTTTGCGTGCCTGTTCCATCGCGGTGCAGTTGTCGATCCGTGTTTGCACAATCGGGAGCAGCTCGGGTTCGTAGAAATCGGCGCTCTTGGGATCAGGAAGAATCGCGATTGGACGCTCCTCGACTGGGCGCTCCACGCGACAGTCGCAGGTCATGCACGTGAGTTCATGATGCGGATGCCCGTGACGACCACGATCCATGCACATGAAGTAGCGTCGATACTCGGCTTGAGTGAGACGGAACCGCCGTTCCCGGCGACAGACGGGACAGTAGTCGGGAGTCACCCCGATCGGGCGAGTACGCAGCACCGTCGCACTGATCAGCGAGAACGGCATAACGAATTATACACGAAACCAAGAAATCGGTGGCACCAATTTCCCATCGTCAACGACCTAAAGTTCAATATGTCCGAAGCTTCTGCCAATTCCGCGATCGTCCTCCTCTCCGGAGGGCTCGATTCAACCACGGTCCTCGCGATCGCCAAGGCGCAAGGCTACGACTGCCACACACTCGCGTTCGACTACGGGCAGCGCCATCGTCACGAACTGGAAGCGAGCGAGCAGATCAGCAGATCACTGGGCGCGAGCAGTCATCGCGTGTTCCCGATCGACATCGGATCATTCGGAGGATCAGCGCTTACGGCGGACATCGAGGTCCCCAAGGGACGCGACGAAACAGAAATGACCGACATCCCGGTCACCTATGTCCCGGCGAGGAATCTGGTGTTCCTGTCCATCGCGATGGCGCTGGGAGAGACCCTTGGTGCGAAGGACTTGTTCATTGGGGTCAACGCCGTGGACTATTCGGGGTATCCCGACTGCCGACCTGAGTTTATCGAATCGTTCACGAAGACCGCAAATCTCGCGACCAAGATGGGAGTGGATGGGGACGCGATCACGATTCATACGCCTCTGATGGAACTGACCAAAGCGGAGATCATCCAGCAAGGCACAAAGCTCGGCGTGGACTACGCGATGACCCACTCGTGCTACGACCCGATCGATTCCAAAGCATGCGGCGAGTGCGATTCGTGCATCCTCCGCAAACGCGGTTTCGAGCAAGCGGGGATCGATGATCCGACGGTGTACGCATGAGTGATACGCTCCCAATATCAGAGACCTTCGTGTCCATCCAAGGCGAGGGCAAACTCACCGGCGTTCCGAGCTGGTTCTGCCGATTGTCTGGATGCAACCTGCGTTGCACTTGGTGCGACACGCCGTACGCGAGCTGGGAACCCGAGAAGACGATGCGTTCGATTGAAGAGCTCGTCGACGAAGTGGTCGCGAGCGGCGCGCAGCACGCCGTGCTGACCGGAGGCGAGCCGATGATGTTCGATGGACTCGTCGAACTCTCACAACAGCTCGCGCATCGCGGGATGCACATCACTGTAGAAACCGCGGGGACGCTGATTCTGCCAGGTCTGGTCTGCCATCTGATGTCGATCTCTCCCAAACTCAAAAACTCAACGCCCGTGGATGATCCGCGTGATCCAAGCGGGGCGTGGGCGGAGCGTCACGAACAACGCCGACTCAACTACGACACGATCAATGAACTGATCGCATCAAGCAAAGAATGTCAGCTCAAGTTCGTCGTCAGCAGTCCGGATGATCTTGAAGAGATCGAGCAGGTGCTTGAGGGGATCGTCGGATATCAACAGAGTGATGTGATGCTGATGCCGGAAGGGGTGAGCGTGCCAGAGCCGGACTCGATCCGATGGGTCGTCGATGCGTGCATGGAGCGTGGATGGAGTTATTGTCCACGCGTGCATGTCCAGTTGTTTGGGGACACGCGAGGCACTTGAGCGTAGTTATGGTTCGGTCAGTCGCGCCACTTATCGACCGCGATGCCGTGGTCAAAGGTGATGTGGGCGCTCTCTTCGATGTGCTTGTTGCTCGATCCGGAGAAGATCAGGAACAGAGAACCAGATCCATGTTCTTTGCGTGTCCAGTTCCATGTCCATGTTTCGGTGCCGTCGTCGTTGTTATTGCGTGTGGTAGGTTCGGAGAGGACCTGAAGCACCTCATCTTGCGTCGAGTCGTGGAGTTTGACGCGTGAGAGATCGCTCGGCTGGACATACGCGCCGCTGATCTTCGTACTCTTGCTCTGACTGAACAGACACCCACCCAACAGTGTTGGTGAAGCGAGGAAGATAGCGGAAACAACGACGGCTTTGAATGGGATCGACATCAAATAAACTCCAGAATGTGCTCTCGTACTTGGGGATGGTACCAGTTCAATTTCAGTCCGTCATCGTCCACGCTTCTTCGCGGCTTTGACCTTGTTTCGCTTGGTGGGTCTTGAATCGGATCGCACCGCACGATTCGGAGATGTTCGGCTTACCTGATTGGATCGCGAAGGTTGCGGTCTTGGCTTTGCTTTGGGTGTCGGACGCGGACTGATCGCATAGTTCGGTACCGGACGGTGTTTCAGGTTTGCGATCGCATGGCTCGACTCGCGAGGCCAAGATGCACTTGGATGTGAGTCATGCGATCCGGTACGAGGCGGTCGATGTTTGTACCCGTACGAACAGTGATGATGATGCTTTGATCCATGACAGCCACACGGCCAGTTCTTATGAATCGTGAATGATTTACTGATCCCGCATCCTGTCAGCAGAGGTGCGGCCGTAAACAGTGCGAGGATGAGTAGTGGTCGTTTCATAGCAAAGCCTCCAGACAAGGAATAGACAGTCTCTTGGTTCTGGAAGGAACACCGCTCGAGAAACGGACTGTTGACAGCATTCTTAAAAGAATCCGATCTATACTCACCCATGAGCAGATACGACGAGTTCCAAGCGTTCCGGACCAGTTTGAATGAGAAGATCCTCGCGCGTGGGACCAAGACCACGAAGCGCTTCTTCACGCTCGATAGCAACGCGTACGAGCCGGGCGCTCTGGACGCGAAAACCAAGGAACTGCTCGGACTCAGCGCCTCGATGGTGCTGCGCTGCGATGATTGCATCGCGTACCACATCGATCAGTCCGTCAAAGTCGGAGCGAGTGATGAGGAGTTGTTCGAGGTCTTTGATATCGCGTTGATCGTCGGCGGCTCGATCGTAATCCCCCATTTGAGGCGAGCAGTTGAGTTTTTAGAACAGTGCAGAGCACAAGAAGCTTGATAGCCCACCATTCAGTGGGGTGAATTTGCTTGTTGAGTAGTGGGTCGTCTGGTAGAGTGGTCGAAGCATCCGCAAGCACCACAGGCACCTGGAGGACATCATGCGCCCAATCACGCCAATCGCCCTGCTCGTAGCATTTGCAGGCACCGTTCACGCGAGCGAACCAGTCCAGCATCAACATTTCGAAGTCTCAGAAGACGGTCATCGACAAGTCAATCTCGAGCTCGCGCCGATCAATGAGCACACGCAAGCGCCTGCTGGATTCGCATCTGCTGATGTCCCCTTCGGAACCTCGCCGGACCTCACGATCAATCTACGCCGACAGATCGGCGGACTCGCGATCGCGGACATGAACAGCGATGGTCGCAACGACCTCGTCGCGGTGTGCTACAACACCAGCGCCTTTCCTCCGTACGACGATTGGCACGACATGATCTTCTACAACTCCGAGTCGGGGCTGGAGACGACCCCATCGTGGACCTCCGACGAGCAAACCCACACGGGCGATGTGCAGGTCGGTGATATCAACGGCGATGGCTTCATGGATGTTGTTGGTATCCACGGCGGCGTGCGCACCGACAACGTTTCGATCCACTTCGGTCTCCCAGGAGGTGGGGTCGAGACCACAGCATCGTGGACATCAAATACCAGCCCAAACGCGTGGGGGACCTCAGGCAAGCTCGCCGACATGGATAACGACGGCGACCTCGATCTCGTCACCACGAACCAGGGACTCGGAGTCAGCTCACCAACGCGTCCGATGTTTATGTTCCGCAACGATGGGACGGGTCTAGAAACCGATCCATCATGGGAATCCGCGGCATCCGAAATCTCCAACGGACTCGACACACGCGACATCACGGGAGACGGCTTCCCAGAAATCGCGGTCGCCAAATGGGTCAACTACTTCAGCGGTGTGTACTACAACACGAACGGAACTCCGGACACCAACCAGGGACTCTTCGCGTTTGGGAGTGACACGGACAAGGGTGCTGCATTCACGGATCTTGAGAACGATGGCGTCCCCGAGTTCGGATTCGGAGGCGACCCATCGACGGTCTATACGACCTTCCACGGTGCGGTCTTCGAAGTCTCGACCACCAACCCTCCATTCACAGGACCACAAGAGGTCCATTTCTTCGATGTCGATCTCGACGGCGATGACGACTTCGGAGAGATCCATTTCTCCGATGGACGCGCGCACATCTACCTCAATCGTGACGGCGTGCTCGATACCGATCCGTCGTGGACCTACGACGCTTCGCCGGTAGGGAATGCGATGGCGCTTGGGGATCTCAACGGCGATGGCCGTCCCGACCTCGCGATCGGATACTCCGGTGATCCATCCATCGTAGTGTTCTATGGACAAGCTCCCGCGTGTGCTCCGGATCTGACTGGAGAGGGTGACCTGAACTTCCTGGATGTCTCCGCGTTCCTCGCGGCCTTCGGGATGATGGATCCGATCGCGGACTTCGAACCCGATGGGGACTTTAACTTCCTCGATGTCAGCGCGTACCTTGCTTCGTTCGCGAAGGGCTGCCCATAATCATCGCATGAAGTTCACTGAAGATTCTGTAGTATTGCGCGATGGTCGAGCACTGACTATTCGGTCCATACTTCCTGAGCATGCGGAAACATACCGCGCGTACATGATGGCGCTTGCAGATGAATCGCCATGGTCGGGAACGATGGCGCACGAAGTAAAGGATGTGGATGCGCTGAAGGAGCGATTCGAGAAGGATCGTGAGAATGCAGGTGCTTGGGGAGTTGGCGCGTTTGATGACAACATGCAGTTAATCGCGGATTGCAGTTGGAACAGTATTCCATACGACAAGTTTCGTCATGTCGCAACTTTGGGAATCGGAATCCTCAAACCCTGGCGTGGGGTAGGCTTGGGAAGATCCCTCATGGATCGAGCGATCGCTGCTGCTCGAGAGAGCGAAGTAGTTCAGAAGATAGAACTCGGTGTGTTCTCAGAAAACACGATTGCACGATCATTGTACGATTCGCTTGGATTCACTATCGAGGGGTCCCGCAAGCGTGCGATCAGACAACCCGACGGGCAGTACTGCGATGATGTCGTCATGGGACTCTGGGTCGGGAACGAACTCGAATAAGAACTCATAAAGACATGGATTTTATAGGTTCCAACTCTCCGTATTGGATAGAGTTTTGTATGGATCACCTCACGCGCCGACATTTCCTCATGCGTTCCTCCGCAGTCGCGGCGGGATTCGCGGGACTCCAATCCACGCTCGCGCGTGGAGCCGTGGCGCGGATGATCTCAGACAATCCATCGCAAGCACTCGATCGATTCGGACCGATGCTCCGTGATCCTGATGGGATCCTCGATCTCCCCAAGGGATTCCACTACCGCATCATTAGCCCGATGGGTGCGGAGATGGACGACGGCTTGATCGTTCCTGGCAAGCACGATGCGATGGCGGCGTATCCATACATCAACGACGACGGCTCGACCGATCTCGATCGCTGCGTGCTCGTGCGCAATCATGAGATCGAGGATGCGCACAGAACCATCTCACCGTTTGGTCCCCAGAACGAACGACTCGACAAGGTCGACGCGTCCATGCTCTACGAACGCGGATACGGCAGACCATCACGAGGTGGATGCACCACACTCGTCTACAATCTCAAGACCAAAAAACTCGAATCGCATTGGTTGTCACTCGGCGCGACCGAACGCAACTGCGCCGGTGGGATCACGCCTTGGGGGAGTTGGATCAGCTGCGAGGAAACCGCGACGACCAAAGGCTCACGCTTCGAGCACGACCACGGCTGGTGTTTCGAGGTCCCGGTCACCAACACCCCAAAGCTCGCGGATCCGATCCCGCTCAAAGGACTCGGACGCTTCATGCACGAAGCGATCTGCATCGATCCATCGACAGGGATCGTGTACCTGACAGAGGATCGTCACGACTCGCTGCTCTACCGATTCGTCCCAGAGAGCAAACCATCCAAGGTCGGTGATCTGCATCGTCCCGGCAAGCTCCAAGCACTCCGTATTCTCGATCACGCATCGTTGGACACGCGCAACTGGGACACGGATCTCGTGAAGGTCGGAGATTCACTCGCGTGCGCCTGGATCACGATGGACGACACCGATGCGCCGAAGGATGATCTGCGTTATCGCGGATTTGCGAGCGGAGCCGCTCGCTTTGCGAGAGGTGAGGGGATGTGGTGGGGAGGTCAAGACGACGGCGCCGCATACTTCGCGTGCACCACCGGAGGACGCGCCGCGGCGGGACAGATCTGGAGACTCATCCCGAACGGCAAGAGCAAAGGCATCGACGCGCTCGAGCTCTTCATCGAACCCAACGATCCGAGCGTGCTCCAGAACGCGGACAACATCACCTTCTCGCCTTGGGGAGACATGTTCGTCTGCGAAGACGGCGAAGCGCCCCAATACCTCGTCGGCGTGCGCCCCGATGGATCGCTCTACCAGTTTGCAAAGAACACCCTCGACGGATCCGAGTTTGCGGGAGTTTGCTTCAGCCCCGACGGCTCAACGATGTTCGTCAACCACCAACAACGCGGCTGGACCCTCGCGATCACCGGGCCGTGGTCTTAGCGGCGACGATGTGATGAATAGATCAACGATGCAAGTGCAAAACTGCAGAAACCTGCAGGTGCCGGGACAGCAGTAGCAGCATGCAGGTATAGACCTTCAACTCCTTGGATCTGTCCATAGCGTTCATATAGGCCAGTTTCGAGATCGATGTTATAGATCTCACCGAATGGATCAATCGTGTAGATATCGCCATCCGATTCAAAGAGTGAAACAGCAAAGTATTGAAGAGCAAAATCAAAGGCGATGACACTCTCCGTATCCGATCCGTCTTCACTCAGTACATGTATGCGATGCTCAGAATCCATAGCGATGAATCTGCCATTGTCCAACTCATGAGCATCAAGTGCATATGTAAGATGCATGTAAGGATCAGCGAGTTGCCAACTCTCTGTTTGGGGCTCAACTGCGATTCCAACTGGGATTGCGCCTTCTCCAGGGATTACTGTCACTGTGGTTGCTCGAACTTGACCATCGGATGTTCGAACCAGTCCTGAAGAATATGGTATAAACAAACCATCCAGATCTTGAAGATCTTGTCGCGTGAAGACAGGATCAAGCTGGTGAACACTTTGGTCATACACACTCAAAGCATGATCGTGCGCGACAAAGATCTGGTTATCAGAGACAAACTCAAGCTCTATCTTTTGTTGTCGCGTACCAACGATATCAAGATCAGCTAACATCGTCGCTTCGAGCGTAGATCCGTTGATCGATAGCAGCTCCCCTTCATCAGACATGACCAAGAAGTCGGTGAGAGAACCAAGAGCCACCGAGCTTAAGGCCGATACGAACAATAAAGCATATTTTTGCATTCAAAGTCCCTTTTCCTGTACGCCGAGTATGCAGTCATATGGGTTATCTGCCAATCGAAATTTGATTTGGATCTGTTGAATTCTCAATGGTTTTGTTTGTCCGTAATGAAAAAACCGAGAGTATGCACTCTCGGTTTGGATACTGCATTGTGTATGTGAGTCATTCTGGAAGCTTATCAAGCTCCAACTGCACACGATCCACCAATCGACCCACAGTCTCAGGACCAAAGTCGAACGGCAGTCCCGCGGCATTAAACAGCTCCGGGAGCGGACGCGTGCCGCCGAGGGTCATTGCTTTCTTGTATGCCGCGAGTGCTGCTTCTTCGGATTCTTCGAGACTGGTGAGCCAGATCCCGAGCGCGCCGAGCTGTGCGATGCCGTACTCGATGTAGTAGAACGGCACACCAAAGAGATGCCCCTGGCGCTGCCAGACGAACTTGCGTTCCTCTTCGAGTCCAGTGAAATCGCAGCGGTGCCCCATGTGCCCGAAGCGCGATTCGATATCGAGCCATGCCTGAGCGCGTTCGTCGCGAGAGTGGGTCGGATTGAGGTAGACCCAGTGCTGGAACGCGTCGATCGTCGCGATCCAAGGCAGCAGCGAGATCGATCCCTCGAGCTGCTTGCGACGAGCGCGGTTCGCGTCTTCTTCGCTTGGGTAGAAGTTGTCCCAGTAAGGCATCGTCAGCAGTTCCATGCTCATCGACGCGACCTCACAGAACTCGATCGGAGCGCTGCGGTACCAGACCAACGGCTCCTGATCCGAGTACATCGAGTGGAACGCGTGCCCCGCTTCGTGGACCATCGTCTCGACATCGCGGTGCTGACCCGCCGCGTTCATAAAGATGAACGGCTTGCGCGAGCGGTCACGCATGTACTGATATCCGCCGGGAGCTTTGCCCTTGCGTGAATCGAGGTCGAGCGACGCGTTGCCGTTGTCCGTGCCATTGGTGTTGGAGCCGTCGCCCATCGTCGCGAACATCTCGCCGAGTTCAGGGCTCAGCTTGTCGAAGCTCGCTTTGGTCTTCGCGACCAGATCCGCGCCATTGGTAAACGGCTTGAGCTCTCCGCGGCTCTTTGGATCGACATTCAGGTCCCATGGACGCAGCGCATCGAGTCCGAGTTCTTTCTTGCGTGTCGCGTCGAGCTTCGCAACGAACGGCATCGCGTGCTGCTCGATCGCATCATGGAACGCGTACGCGTGCGAGGTGTCGTAATCGAAGCGGTGCTTCGCTTTGTAGATGTACTCAACAAAGTTCGCGAATCCCGCGTTCTTCGCGGCTTGGTCACGCTTGGCGACCATCTCGTCATAGATCGCGCTGATCGCTTCCTGATCCTCCAGACGACGCGACGCGACCGCTCTCCATGCGGCTTCACGCACGGAGCGGTCCGCGGACTCGGAGTACTTGCCCATCATCGGGAGTGTTTTCTCTTCGCCTTCAAACTCGACGGTCATCTTGCCGCAGATCTTGTCGTACTCCTGATCGAGCTTCGCGAGCTCGGTTTCGAGCGGGACGTTCTCATCGCGGAAGAGGTCCACATCCGCGGCGGTGTCGCGGTAGAGCACCTCGTGGTAGCCGTCGGTCTTGCTGAACTGCTCCGCGAGTTCCTTGAGCTTCTTGTCGAGGACAAACGCGACGGGTTTGAACTTGGGCGCGACGTTTTCAAGGTACGAGGTCCACGCGGCTTGCTTGGACTCGTCCGCGGTGTCGCAGGTCATGTTGATGTAGGTGTTCGCGGCGGACTCTCCGATCGCGGCTTCAAGCTCCGAGCGATCGAGCAGCCACTTCTCGTACTCCTCGGCGGAGTCGACCTCGCGATCGACGAGCGCGTTGAGGAGCGGCTCAACGACCGACCAATCGGTGCCGTTGAAGACGGCGGGGACGAAATCTGTTGCAGGCGAGGTGGTCATTTGAATGCTCCGTGTTTCTAGAATCCCGATTTTTGGCTCATCGGGGCGATTACTGGTCAGATTTATTATACTTTACAAACAGTTCCGACGCAAGGTTGCGTGCCGAAACAAATTCAGCGACCCGCCCCTCGAGCTGAGCATCGTAGACCTGATCGAGGACCTCCTTAAAGCGGGCGCCGGGCTGCTCTCCCAGCTCGATCAGGTCCTGCCCGTTGATCAGCGGCTCGGGATTGAGTCCGATGCCGTCCTGCTCCATCATCTGTATGTCATTGCAAATCGCGCCCGTCGCTTTCGCATTGATCGCTCGCGCCAGCATGATCGCGCCGCAGCAATGGTCCCGGCACGACAAGCGTTTCTTTGCTGCTGTCGAGAGTTCGGCCCATCGGTTGAGCAGGATATCCGCGATCTCGATCGTCGCGCTGAGCTGCTGCGTCTCGTCGTTGCTCAGGTCGAGGCGCTTCCGCCAATCGTGCGCCGAGGTGTCGTTGAGTCGATCGATCGCCCACGCCACGAGCGCGGTGGTCGAGTCGGCATCGGGATCGAGCTCCATCAGGATCGGGAGCTGGTCTGACTTGGACGCGCTCCCGAAGATCGCATGATCGAGCGTGAGCTGCTGCAGCAATCCCGCGGCTCGTGCGCGCGAGGGATGCCCCATCATCCGTCGAACCTCTTCCCCGATCCGCTCGACACTCACGCCGCTGAGTTCGCTCGCGTGCTGCTTGATCGCTTCGCTCGTGATCGGATCGATTTCGAGGTCATAGCGAGCCGCGAAGCGCACCGCTCGCAGGGCGCGGAGATGATCCTCTTTCAGTCGTTGATGCGGATCACCCACAGCGCGGAGGATTCTGTTCTCGATATCCGCTTTGCCGTTCACAAAGTCGATGATCTCGTCGCCGTCATCTTTGGGATCAAGGAACAACGCATTGATCGTAAAGTCGCGCCGCTGCGCGTCCATCTCCGGAGACGAGAACTCGACATGATCCGGACGACGCGCATCGGAATACGGCCCATCGGATCGGAAGGTCGCGACCTCGATCGTCGGACCAAAGTCACGCACAAGCATCACCCCAAACGACGCGCCGACCGAAGCGGTTTTCTTGAACAACCGCTGGATGTCATCCGGATGCGCGCTGGTCGCGATGTCGTAGTCCTTGGGGGTCTCTCCGAGCAGCTGATCACGCACGCATCCACCAGCGAGGTACGCGATGAATCCAGCGTCACGCAGTGCTTTGATGATCTCGATCGCGCCGTGGCGTTCAGACTGTTGCGTATGTTCGCTCATCGAATCATCCGACCTGCTCATCACGCAGCTCTCGGCTCATCAGCATCGTGATCGCATCGACCGGATCCAGATGCTCGAACAGCACTGCATGCACCGCCGCGGTGATGGGCATCTCGACCTTGTATTTCTCCGCCATCTCCATGACCGAGCTGGTCGTCGCGATCCCCTCGACGACGCACAGCGCCTCGCGGAGGTACTGGTCGAGCTTGATCCCTTTCCCGAGCGCCTCGCCGCAGGATCGGTTGCGTCCTTCTGGGGAGAAGCAAGTTGTCGCGAGGTCTCCCGCTCCTGCGATGCCGTAGAAGGTTTTGGAGCGTGCGCCCATCGCGTCACCCAGACGTGTGATCTCCGCGAGACCGCGAGCGAGCAGCGCGCTCTTCGCGTTGTATCCCGCCCCCAGTCCGTCGATGATCCCCGCCGCGATTGCGATGACGTTCTTGGTCGCGCCCGCGAGCTCGACACCGATGAGATCGGGATTGGTGTAGATCCGGAGCCAGCTCGTCGAGAAGAGTTTCTGGATCGTCTCGGAGAATCCCGGATAGTCCGACGCCGCCGCCATGGTTGCAGGGAGACACATCGCCAGTTCCGTCGCGATCGCTGGTCCCGACATGCATCCCAGTGCGCGAGGTTTGCCGTCGGGATCATCCTGCAGCACGTCCGCGATGATCTGTGTCGGACGCATCATCGTGTCGTTCTCGATTCCCTTCGCGACGGAGATCACCCCAGCGTGCGAGGGGACGTGGTCTTTGAGTCGTTCCCACGCGCCGCGGATGAACTGGACCGGGATCGCGCAGACGATGATGTCCGCGTCCCGGAGTGCTTCCTCGTCCTTCATCGCGATCCGGACGTCCTGAGCGAGCGTGAATCCTGGGAGCCGGTCAGATTTGCGCGTCTGAGAGAGATTCCCGGATTCGGTTTCGTCGTGCCCCCACATCGTGACATTGGCCCGCGGCTCGCTCCCGGCCCCCTGCGGATCGGGGCTTGTCAGGGCACCAGCACACACCAATCCCATCTGACCGATCCCGAGGATGCAGACATTGGGAACATTCTGGGATTGATTGGGGTTGTCCTGAGTCATCGGAGTCCTTCTTTATAGGATCGCGAGTGGTGGTCATGCGAACCGTCCCTGTACGATATGCGTAAGGGAATGGGCTCGATGACCCCGGAGCACTTGAATCCTACAGTATGGACCACGATTTGGGCTATTGGATTCAATCTCCCATCTCCCCACAGACTCGCATGCAGGTGTTGACCCAAAACCGGATACCTATTTCACATGAGTGACACACACACCCACACGCATTCACACGACCACAACCACGATCATGATTCCCCGGTCCAGTGCTGCTCGCACCACGACCTCCAGGGTGATCGCTGGATCTTTCTCTACCTCGCTGGAGGCGTCCTCGCGATGGTCTCCTGGATCGCCAACGCGAGCGGATCAACCAACGAACTCGTCGCGACCATCCCCGCCGTCATCGCGGCTCTGTTGCTCGGATGGAAACTCTTCTACGCGTCCTTCCGCGAAGTGCTCAACAACCAGGTCTCCTCGAGCTCGCTCGCGGCCCTCGCGATCCTCGCCGCAATGGCCGTCGGGAAATACGGCACCGCCGCGTTCCTCGCGTTCATTCTTCTTGTCGCCGACCAGATCGTGTCGCGCACCGCAGACGGCGCGAAACGCGCCATCGAGCAGCTCATCTCGCTGACCCCAGACGACGCTCGTGTCGTTGATAGCAACGGCAACGAAACGATGGTCCCTGTCGGACAAGTCCAGGTCGGACAACGCGTCCGCATCCGTCCCGGCGAGAACCTTCCGGTCGACGGCAAAGTCATCGGCGGCGAATCGACAATCAACCAAGCATCACTGACCGGTGAATCCATGCCCGTCGAAGTCCAGAACGGCTCCGCGGTCTACGCCGGTACCAGCAACCTGACGGGCGCGATCGAGATCGAGGTCACCCAGGTCGGCGCCGAGACCACCATCGGGAAGGTCTCGACGCTCATCCGCGAAGCGGAATCGACCAAGACCGAGCGTCAGCTGCTCATCGAGCAGGTCGCACGTTTCTATGTCCCAGTCGCGATCTCTGTCGCGGCGGTTGTGTTCTTCCTCTTCTCCCAGTCCGACATCCCAGCCGTGCGTGAAGGCGCGGCGCTGCGTGCTGTGACTGTGCTTGTCGTCACCTGTCCAACCGCACTGCTGCTCTCGTCACCATCGGCGATGGTCGCCGCGTTCGCGTCCGCCGCTCGATTGGGTGTGATGATCAAGCGGACGACCTACCTCGAAGCGTCCGCGAATGTCGATGCTGTCGTGATGGACAAGACCGGAACGCTCACTACTGGATCATTCGGTGTTTCGCGCCTCGCCCCAGCTCCAGGAGTCGAAGGCGCGGACCTGCTTAAAGCCGCGGCGTTCGCTGAAGCTCACTCTAACCACCCGCTCGGACTCTCCATCCTCCGCACCGCCAAACAAGCACGCATCGAGGTCGATTCCAACGGCTCATACGAAGAAACCCACGGCGCTGGTGTCAAAGCAAAGACCTCCATCGGTGAGATTACCGCTGGCCGTGGATCGTGGATCAGAGAGCTCATGCCGAGCGCCGCCGATGCGATCGCTGACATCGAGCACCGCACCGAAGGCATGTCGGGTGTCCACGTCATCAAAGACGGCGTCTACATGGGCGCGGTCGGACTCGCAGACACCCCACGTCCAAACGCAAAGGCAGTCGTCGATCGTCTCCGCGAACTGGGAATCCGCTTCGTCGCGATCTTCACCGGCGATCGTCTGAGCGTGGGTAAGCGCGTCGGACAAATCGCAGGCGTGGACAGCGTCGAAGCCGAGTGCCTCCCAGAAGAGAAGCACCAGCAGATCCGCCAGATGCGCGAAGACGGCTACCGCGTCATGATGATCGGTGACGGCATCAACGACGGCCCCGCACTCGCTGAAGCCGACGTCGGCGTCGCGATGGGTCTGTCGGGATCAGACATCGCCGCCAACTCCGCAGGCGTCGCGCTGATGACCGACGAGCTCAACCGCGTCCCGTTCCTCATGGAACTTGCTCGCAGAACCCGCGTCATCATCACGCAGAACATCGTCGTGTCCATCCTGATGGCGATCGTCGGTCTGGTACTCGCCGCTTCCGGCGCGTTCCAGGTCATCGGCGGCGAGCAACTCGGCGCTTCACTGGGTGTCGGTTTCGCGGCGTTCTTCCACTTCGTCCCCGACGTCTTCGTGATCGGAAACTCGTTCCGACTCTTCCGCTACGGCGAAGACTTCCTCGAAGCGGAAACCCTGCAGAAGGAACAAGAACAAGCCGCCCAACGCCGCGTGCGCCGCGACCAGTCGGTCCGCATCGCCGCCGAACCGGCGTGATTCAGAGATTCATGTGAATACAAAGCCCGTCGCTCGCGGCGGGTTTTTTAATTGTGTTGATTACTCGGGTTTCTTCAGCACACCCGCATTGAAGCTCCGCCCCTCGATGCGGAACTTCCGCTCAAAGTTTGTGCCGACGAGTTCGCCCTCGCCCGCCGATTCCGGCGCTTCAAACGCGCCGAACACATACGGCAGCGATTCACAGCTGTTTAAGAACTCCGCAACCTTCGGAGGTGGAGCCGGGATCTTGGGTCGTGCAAAGCTTTCGTTCGATTCAGATGATCCCGACGCCCACAGATCAAAGTGGGAGAGGTCCCAAGACCACAGCTCATCGTGATCCGTGACAACGCGGAGCTCGCCGCCCTTCTTGAGACAGCGCCAGATGTCGTACATCGTCTGATGCTGGATCACCCGCTTCTTATGGTGCTTGTTCTTCGGCCAGGGATCTGAGAAGTACAGATGCAGCACATCGATCGACTCATCGGGACAGCGCCACTGCAGGAACTGAGCCGCGTCGGAGTTGAGCACGCGCACATTGGTGTGCGTCCCCTCGTTCTCACGTTTGCGCCGGATGCGATCAGCGGTATAGCTCGCAAACTCCCCGGCCCATTCGATCCCAAGGAAGTTCGTCCCAGGCTGCAGCGACGCTTGCTGCACCAGAAACGCGCCCTTCCCCGAACCAATCTCAAGCTCAAACGGCTTGCTCGGATCCTCAAACCACTGACGCGGATCAAGACGACCCGAATGCGGATCGGTCATCACCGAGTCAGGCAGCGGCGGCATTTCCTCCGCAGAGATACCCACCACGCCGGGCGCGCTGTCAAGGGGTTTGCCGTGTCCGAGTCCGAATGACATAGGGAGAGAGTGTATGCGCGTTCCTATTGTTGAGAATGACCGATCCGCACCAAACACCCCCAGCCGCCGGAACCACCACGCTGCGCGTGAGATACGTCGAGTGCGATCCGATGGGCGTCGTCCACCATTCGAGCTATCTCCCATGGATGGAGATGGGACGCACGGAACTGCTGCGAGAAGTGGGGGAGAGCTACGCCGATCTCGAAGAAGCCGGCGTGTTCCTCGTGGTCACCAAGGTCGAGGTTAAATACCGAAGACCGATCAAGTACGACGATGTCATCGAGATCCGCACGAAGGTCGACAAAGCGAGCAAGGTCAAGCTCCACCATTCCTACGAGATCGTCCTCATCGAACGAGCCGGAAAGTCACCCGATCCCAGCGATCCCGCCGTCCCAAGCGATGGGATCTGCGCCATCGCAAGCACCGAACTCGCGTGCGTCGGCAGTGACGGAAGGCCCAAAGCGATGCCGGACTGGTTGGTTGGGTGTTGATCGTGAATTGCAAAGAGTGCGAGTACGATCTTACAAATCTCGGCGATGAACGGTATGTGCGATGCCCGGAATGCGGCGCAGAGCATGACCTCACGCATTTTCACACTTTTCCGAGTCTGAGAAATTATGCGTTAGCGATCTCTTTCGATTGGCTGAGAGGTTTGACAGTTCTTGTGCCGATTTCAATTTTTTTAGTATTGCTCGCAAAGTGGGAACACGAGCTATTCATCGTTCCCTACTTTCCAATAGTCTTCATTGGACTCATCGTGCTTGCAATCAAATCGAGAAACCGAGTGTTGAGAATTCAGAAGCTTTCATACACGGTCCCACGGCATTCGGAGCTTGTGTACAACATGTTCACTATTGTTTTGTTTTTTATTTACGGGGCTGTGCTCTTAACGCCATTGATGTTGTTGCTTGATTAATTCACAACGATTTCGGTAGCGCGTGGTGCTGTGCTTACATCAACCGCTCAATCGCCTGCGATACATTCTTCACCGCGATCAACTCCATCCCCTTCACCCTCGGCAGCTTCGATGATCCCGAGCTCGGCACGATCGCGTGCGTGTATCCCAATCGTGCCGATTCACGCAGACGCTGCTCGATCTGCGTCGCGGATCGAAGCTCGCCGCCGAGCCCGATCTCGCCGATCGCGATGGTTGTTGGGGGGAGCGAGCGTTTGTAGTGCGCTCCAGCGATCGCAAGCGCGAGCGCCAGATCACTCGCGGGCTCGATGATCTTGAGTCCGCCGACGACCGACGCGAACACATCACGATCCGCGAGGCGCAGTCCGCCGTGCTGTTCGAGAACAGCAATGAGCATCGCGAGCCGATTACTATCCAGTCCGGACGATTTCCGCTTCGCGCTCCCAACAAATCCCGTCGCCGTGAGCGCCTGGATCTCGACGCACACGCAGCGCGAGCCGTGCATCGCGGGGCAGACGATCGCGCCGGGACGGTGTTCATCACCGCCTTGGATCGCTGCGACGCTCATCCCGCCGGGGAGTTGCTGGAGTCCCTGCCCCGTCATCTCGAAGATCCCGAGTTCAAGCGTCGTCCCGAACCGGTTCTTGATCGCGCGCACGATGCGTGCGCTGTGGTACCGATCGCCTTCGAAATACAACACCGCATCGACCATGTGTTCGAGCATCCTCGGCCCCGCGAGCGTGCCTTCTTTGGTCACGTGTCCCACAAGCACAATCGAGGTCCCGGTCGCTTTCGCGAAATACACCAGCTCGCTGCAGCACCTGCGCAGTTGCGTCACCGATCCCGGCGCGGCTTCGATGTCCGACTTGTAAATCATCTGGATCGAATCGATCACGCACACATCGGGTTTGATCTGTCTCGCTTGTTCCAAGATCCGCGCGAGATTCGTATCGCTGAGCACGAAGAGTCCATCGCTCTCCGCGACCCCGAGCCGACCAGCGCGGAGCTGCACCTGCTGCGCCGATTCTTCAGATGACACATACAGCACCTTGCTCGTCCAATCCGGATTCGCTTGATCGAGCTTCACCGGCGACGCCCAAGCGCCCGCCGCTTGCAACAACAGCGTCGACTTCCCGATCCCAGGCTCACCACCTACCAGCACCACCGATCCAGGAACCAAACCGCGCTGGTCTTCGTTCCCCCCAAGCACGCGATCGAGTTCTGTGATCCCAGTAGGCAATCGCTTGGTCGGACCGCTCCCAGCTACGATCTGAGTGATCGAGGTCGCTTTGGGAGCACCGTCGCCGTCTTTGGTTTCTATCCATGATGATCCACGATGCGGATCGGACTTCGCAGACTTGTCGAACTGTGATTCTTCGAGCGAGTCCCATGTGCCGCAGTCGGGACACTTGCCCGCCCATCGGGATTGGGTGGAGCCGCAGTTGGTGCAGATGAAGATGGTTTTGGTCTTGCTCATTGACAGGATCATAGCACACGAACGGGGTCTGTTCGGTGTTTGGAAGAGCGCGTGCTGCGTAGACTTGCATAGCACATGCCCGACCCCTCTCCCACACCCAAGAACGCCGCTCCCAAGCCCAAAAAACGGCGTCGTTTGATCGCATGGCTGCTCGCGGTCCCAGTTGTGTTGGTTCTGACGGTCGGGATTCTCGCCGCGACAGGGACACTGACTGGGTTCGTCGTTCCGATCATCGAGCGCGAGACGGGTCTGGACATGACGCAGGGATCGATTGCGTTCATGCCGACGACGGAGATCGAGATCCGCGACGCCGTCTTCCGCGCGCCAGATATTGATGGGAAGGGCGGCGAACTCGTCCGCTTTGATCGCGCGACCATCGCTGTGCGCTGGTCGAAAATCTTGTCGGGAGCCGAAGCGATCAGCAGCATCACCATCGAGGTCCCACGACTGCGTGTAAGTCAGGATACCGAAACCGGCGCGGTGAACCTCGAAGCGCTCAATCTCCAAAAATCAGGCGGCGGCGGCGCAACCACTCCAGCGATTACCATCTCCGACGGCATCGTCGAGATCGGTGAGCACACCGGCGCGGACTACACGACACTGAAACAACTCTCAGTGATTGGTTCGCTTGCAACCCCCGATCGTGACGGCGTGGCACGATTCAACTTCCTCTCCACGCCGACCACGCCTTCGATGTCGTCAGACGAGGCGTTGCCCCGCGGCGATTTCATCGTTTCGGGAACGATCTCCAAAGCCGGCGTGCAAGGCGAGATGACCGGACTCACACTCGAGGATTGGCCAGCAAGTATCGTCCCGTCACGCGTGCGCGAGATCTACGAATCACTTGATCTTCGCGGCAAGCTTGCGCCCACCAAGTTCAGCGTTGACAACAGTGGTCAACCCAAGATCACCCTCACACTCGAAGGCGTTGATGTGAGTTTGCCGTTTGATCCGCCCGAAGAGTTCGCGAGTCCAGAACGCTACCTCCGTATGCGCTCGACCAAAGGGACCATCAACTTCGGATACGGCGGACTCACGGCCAATCTCACCGGAGACATCGATGAGTTGCTGTATGATGTGAGCTTCAAGCTAGACGAATACTCCATGACCAGCGCGTTTGTGTGTGATCTGCGCACCAAGTTCCGAGTCGAAGAAGGATTCCGACCGCTCCGCTTTCTCCCTGAACGCGTGACGGCGAAACTCGATCGATTCGTCGATCTTCGTGCGAATATCGACGCAACGATTAATCTATCTCGTAAGCAAAGCTCATCCAAAGACGCTCCGATCCTTGTGTCTGGGAAAGCGGTGGTCTCGAACGCTTCAGCGAAGTATTACGAGTTCATGTATCCATTCGAGGAAATCAACGGCACGATTTACTTCGAGCCAGATGGTGTGAGCTTTGATGGGATCACAGGACAGGGACCAACCGGTGCCAAACTCACCGCGAGCGGCAAGTTTGATGGACTGGGTGAGACCTCTGTTGTAGAGATCCTTGTTGATGTCAAAGATCTCCCGATCGATCAGCACCTGCTCAGTGCGATGGACAACGATCAGCGAGAACTTGTAGACACCCTCTTCTCGCGTGAGAAGTATATCAACTTAATCGAATCCGGATTCCTGCTCAGACCCAACAGCCGAGAATCGATCACAAACGAACGCAACGAACTCATCCGCGCGATCGCGTCACTTCCAGAAGAAACCCCAGAGGTCGAACGCGCTCAGCTCTCGAGCAAACTCAATGCACTCAACGCAACACTCCGCGTTCCAGAATTTGAGTTCGGCGGACTCATCGAAGTAGGTGTGATGCTCAAGCGCCATCCCGAGCGCCCAGAAGACAATCGCTGGACAACTGATATCAACGCGGTGATCCCCCAAGCGGGTATTGTGCCAAAGCAGTTCCCGCTCCCGATCATCGCGCGTGATGTCAACATTACGATCAACGACGGCACCGTGCTCCTCCAAGGCGGTCGCTACGAAGGACTCAACGGCGGATGGGCGCAGGTCGATGCGAGCTTCAAACCACAAGAAGGGTTCAAGGATCCGCAGCCGTATGTAGAGATCAAAGCGCGCAATATTCCTATTGATGATCGGCTCATCGCCGCGATTCCGGGATACTACGACTCGCAGCCTGAAGACCCATCGGAGATCACGCTGCGAAGAATCCTCGATCGCTTGCGCATGCAAGGTGTGGTCGAAGCGGATGCCCAAATCGGCCCTGGCGCTGATGGGAAGATCACATACGAGGTCCAGGCCGGCATCATCGAAGGCTCGGCGCACCCACTCACGATGGGGCTCCAACTCCAAGAGGACAACGAGCTCTCAACCGATGAACTCGGTCTTGATTCGGTCCAGCTCACCAATATGTTCGGGACCATCTATGTCACGCAGTCATTGATTGTCGTGCATGTCAACGGCGTGTTGGAGTCTCCATCTCAACCAATCCCGCCGACACCGATCGACATGACCACGCAGCTCACGCTCCCGCGCCAACCCAAGTTCGGGAATGTCAAACGCGTGGACGGCTTACTCCCATTCGAGAACGGTCCGCCTGTCTCAGGTCCCGCGCTGTACACGCGCGTGCGTTCCAATGGTCTCGTGCTTGCAACCCCAGTCGAGCACGCGATCGCGGTGCTCTCTCCAAACTTCGCGCAGCGCATCTCAGGATGGCGCGATGATTACAACCCCAATGGAGAACTCGATCTACTCACCACCATCGAGGGACGCGTCGGCGGGACACTCAACACCATCCTCCAAATCAATCAGATCAAACGCGCGCAGTTCAGTGTCGAGGATCATCAGTACCTGCTTGGGAACTCAGTGGGTCCCATCACGCTCAAACTCGGCGTCAAACCCAAAGTGGAAAGCCGAGGATTCAGCATCCCGATCAGTGTGGATGATGAACCGGTCGGGTTAGTGAGTCTCGCTGGATCCATGCGACTAGCGCGAGGTGGTCAACTCCTCGAACTCAAAGATGAACCCTCCCTCCGACTCTCCATGGACAACGGCAGACTCGGATCTCCAGGCGTCCGCGCGGTCGTCAACCGCATGGGATCAAGCAGCTCAGATCCAGATGCCGGGAACACATCCTTCTTCGAGTATTACGGCCTCGACGGGCAATTCGATATGCTCATCGACATCACACCGATCGATGGTGCCCGCATCAGCGAATCAGAATCAGGGACGCTCGGATTCCCGCCCGTAGAGATTGACGGCTCACTCACTCCGCGAACACTCTCCATGGAACGCAACGGCGATGTTCTCGAGTTCAATCAGGATCAGATCTCAGGAACCATCCGCTTCGATGGTCTCGACGGATACTTCGATCAGATCAACGCCGAAAACGACGAGTACACACTCAGTGTCGACGGCAAATGGGCCGTGACTCCAGGAAGCGGTGCTTCAGTGGACCTCGACATCGCCGCAGTCGGAGATGTCCTCCATGGACCAGTCCGTGTGATCCTCCCCGACACACTCAGCAGTGTGGTCGATCAGCTCAAGATCGAATCGAGCAGACCAATTGATCTCCAGCACCTTCGCATCATCGCAGACAAACTGGGGACAGATTCGACGACTTATCAGATCGAGGGGACCGCATCGGTTCTTGATGGGAGCGCCCTCGTCGGCGTTCCAATTACCGAACTCGATGGACGCGTGAACTTCCGCGTCGAGACAGGGATCAAATCAAACGCGGACGAGCGATCGCCGATCGAGTACCAGATCGATCTGGAAGCTTCGCAGATGCGCGCCGGATTGCTTCGCGTGCACAACGCGCAGACCACGATCCTCAACGATCCGTTCAATCCCGGCGTTGTGCTTGTCCCCGAGCTCCGAGCCGGGATGCACGGCGGGATGGTGACAGGAAACGCGCAAGTCCAACCGAATGAGAACGGCGAGCCGTACTACGCTACTGAGATCCGCACCTCAGGGGTCCGAGCAGCGCCGATCTTCGACGACATCTTCCTTCCAGTCGAAGGTCTGGAAGGTCCTCCCTCCCCCGGCTCTTCAGTGGTCCGCTCCGCATGGAATGTGGATTCGGATGTCTCGCGTGGAATCATGCACGCCGACCTTGCAATGACCGGGCCTTTAGGAGATCCGGATCAACGCGTCGGACGAGGATATGTCCGCGTGTCGGGAGGTTCGATTGTCGCGCTCCCTGGACTCATCAACCTCATCGAAGCGAGCAACCTCAAGCTCCCGACTGGATCTCGCCTCAACCTCGCGGAAGCGGAGTTCTACACCGATGGCCCAACAATCGCGTTTGAACGCCTCAGCGCGTCCTCCGACGCGATCGAGATCCTCGGATATGGGACAATGGACTGGACTTCGCGAGATATTGATCTACGCTTCCGATCACGATCGATCGAGCCGATCCCAGTCCTCTCAGGCATCATTGAGGGGCTCCGCGACGAGCTGATCACCATCAGAGTCACCGGAGCGCCGGGATCGATCAGCTACGCGCCCGAACAGTTCGGGACGACCAAGCGACTGCTTGATTCCATGTTCGGCAAGCCTGAAACCGAGCAACAACGACGACTTCGTGAAGTCGAAAGCAGAACCCGCGTGGGTTCGGGACGCCTTCGCCGCAAGCAAAGCGATCGCGTCGAAACACCAACCAGGGATGATGAATCCTCAGAGACTTCTGCGAGTGTCGAACCAACAGACGAATAAGCAACACCGATTGCAACCAATACACCAAACAGTTTGATACGAAGAACCGGGACGCATCGGGTGTCCCTAAGACAGAAAGAAAATGCGAATGAAATCAGAACCAAACCGCTCACCGGAACACAACCGAGTCGAGCTTGACCCGCCCGCGAGCACGCAACCCAAGAACGAGCAAGCTGCACCACCTGAGACTCCCTCAGTCCGTCGCGCCGATGATGGCGAAATCCAAGATCGGATCGTTGAGCTCATCGACCTCGTCGCCGGACGCACCGATGAGTACGACGCGAAGCTCGTGCGTGAGCTGATCACCGCCGGACTCAAGCTCCTCCCAGACGGCCGAGACACAGGCGAACTCAAACTCATGACCGCCGCGATGAAGGAACTCCGCTACGCGTACCGCGTGTTCGGCCAGTATCCAGAACCCCATAAGGTCACGATCTTCGGATCGGCGCGGACTCCTGAAGACCACCCCGATTACCTCGCGGCGGTTGAGTTCTCCAAACTCATGGCCGAAGCGGGATGGATGGCGATCACCGGCGCCGGAGACGGCATCATGAAAGCGGGTCACGAAGGACCCGGACGCGAATCCAGCTTTGGTGTCGCGATCCGACTCCCGTTCGAGACCAGCGCCAACACCGTCATCGCCGGAGATGAAAAACTCATCAACTTCCGCTACTTCTTCACACGCAAACTCATGTTCCTCTCCCAAGCGGAAGCGGTTGTCTGCTTCCCAGGAGGGTTCGGGACACTCGACGAATGCTTCGAAGCGCTCACACTCATCCAGACCGGAAAAGCGAGCATCGTTCCAGTCGTCTTCGTTGACGGAGATACTCAAGGCGAGCACGGCTCATACTGGGACGGATGGATCCACTACACCAAGACCCAACTCGAAACGCGAGGATGGATCAGTCCAGAAGACAACAACCTGTTCTACCACGCGAAGGACCCAAAAGACGCCGCGGATCATGTCACGAAGTTCTACTCCGTCTACCACTCATCGCGTTATGTCCGCGACGAACTCGTCATCCGAGTCAAGAAGACACTGAACGAAGATCAGCTCAGAATCCTGAACGACGAGTTTGCAGTGCTCGTCAAATCAGGCGACATCCACATGTCCGATCCGCTCCCACAAGAAAACGACCACCTCGATCTCCCGCGTGTAGTGTTCACACACACACGCCACAAGTTCGGACTGGTACGCGCCCTGATTGATCGGATTAACTCGTTCGCCGATGCATGATCGCGTCCGTTCCATCCTGATTTCTTCCGCACTCGCCGCGTGCATTGTTGCGAGTGTGTCCGCGTGCTCGATCGGAAAGAACAAGGCCGATCAATCCGACGCGCTCCAGACTGAGATCGAAGCGGATACGCGCACGCGCAACTCTGCAAGAGGTCTTCAACTCCGCGTCCTCAATGTCGATGATTCGGGAGATCGCGTTGCGCGAGCTTTTGCACGCTATATAGATAATTCCGGAACCATGCGTCCACAGGATCGTGATCGCTGGAATCAGTGGGGGTTGCGATGGGTCGTTGTCCCGCAGAGCGAACTCGATTCGATCTTGGATCAGATGGATCTCACCAATGCGATCCAGATCCGATGGATGGGAGAGTTCCCGCAATGGAGACCAATCATCCGCACAGGAGAGCTCGACAACACCAACATCCGGATAGGTGATTCATCGTTGCCCATCTACCGCACACTCGACGGCAGTCCCCGATTGCTGGCGCGCGTGTGGACCAAGCCCGAACTCACTGAAGAAGGTCTGCAATCAAAGCTGCACCTCGATCTCGCAGTCCAGCTCAAAAGAAAGAATACCGCGACCAATGTATGGATTGAACCCAAACTCCAGACAGCGATCGAGGAAGGGGCGCTGATCGAAGAGCTGACGATGAGCCAATCACTCGACGATACTTCCGCGCTTGTGCTTATTGGAGTGGATCCCAACACCACATGGGACTCAGCAAACCAGATCGTGCAAGAGGGCGACACCACTCCAAATGTCGGACCCAGCGCTCCTGGCGCTCGCACGCTCGGACAACGCATGCTCTCCACACCTGGGAGCGGATATGTCGCGCCCGGAGTCCGCTACAACCCGCCGAAGAAAGTGCTGATCGTGCTTGTTCCGAAAACGGATGACAACTACCGCATCCTCGCGCCGGCGCCGCAGCGCCGAGATGCAGGAGGATCGCCGTGACCCACCTGATCGCGATTCTGTTGTTGATTGTTGGACTTGCCGTGCTCATCATCGGCGCCGATGCACTCGTTCGCGGTGCCGCTCAGCTTGCCAAACACATGGGACTGAGCCCCTTCGCGATCGGTGTCACCGTGGTTGCGTTCGGGACCAGTGCTCCAGAGCTCTTCGCGAGTGTCGGAGCCGCGCTCCAAGGACAAACCGAGATGGCGATCGGCAATGTCGTCGGATCAAACATCGCGAACATCGCGCTCATCCTTGGAATAGGCGGGATGCTCATGCCCATCGCGATCCACCGACGCGTGCGCATGTCCGAGATCCCCATCATGGTCATCCTGACCATCATTACAATGGTCCTGCTCTTCGATCTCATGCTTTCACGAATGGAAGGTGTAGGTCTCATTGTGGGTCTGATCATGTATGTGATCTACATCATCAAAACCCACAAGGAAGACATCGAGCATGGGCTCGATGATGCCGTCGGCGCTATCAAACCTGTGTGGATCGACCTGCTCTATATCATACTCGGCTGCGTCGGACTCGGAGTAGGCGCCCGCGTCCTCGTCATCGGTGCGACCGATCTCGCTCAAGCAGTCGGGATCTCAGCAGGGATCATTGCGACCACGATCGTCGCATTCGGGACCAGCGTCCCAGAACTCGCCGCGACAATCCGCGCCGCTGCGGCAAAGCAAGCGGACATGGCGGTCGGGAACATCGTCGGATCCAATGTCTTCAACTTACTCTCTGTACTCGGAGTTACAGCGTTGGTCAAACCACTCAACATGGATCCTGCTATGAACTGGCACATATGGATCATGCTCGCCGTCGCGCTGCTTCTCATGATCTGGGCAATTGTCCGTCCGGTAATCGCCAAAGGCTTCGGTGTGCTCTTCCTCCTTGTGTATCTAGGGTATGTAATCCTTTCATACGCAGAGATTCCCGCACTTTCCTGAGGATTCCTGCACGCTCCGCGCTGTTGTGTCGATGTGATCTACTTGATCGGAGATCACCATGCTGCGCGTGCAGATGACCCAAGCCAAGCCGGGGATGGTTCTTGCTCAACCGGTGTTCCACCCGCGCTCCAATGCCGGGACGATCCTGCTGCGCGCCGAGGTCAAACTGGTCGAATCAGTCATCACACGATTGGTCGAGATGCAGATCCCTGAAATCTGGATCCAGTATCCAGGAATGGATATGGTCAGCGAGTTTGTCAGCCCCAAGATCATGGCGTCCCGCGCCGAGGTCGCGAGCGATGTTTCACAAGCATTCCTCGATGCCTCCAAAGGAGCTCACGCGAAACTCGACTTCCATCAGTACAAATCATCGATGTCCAAGCTCCTCACGAACCTCATCGATGATCCCAAGAGCGCGATTTTCATCGGAGAACTTGTCGATTCTGGAGCACCAGCAGTGCGCCACGGCGCCAATGTCGGATTCCTGAGTCTTCTCCTCGGCATGCGCCTTGGGTTCTATCTCATGCGCGAACGCAAGTATGTTCCCTCGCGCTTTGCGCGAGATGTTACAAACCTCGGAGTCGCGGGAATGCTCCACGATATCGGGATGAACTCGCTCGATGATGAGGTCATCCGGCGCTGGGCCGACAAACACGACTTCGAAGATACCGCTTGGCAAAAACATGTTGAGCTGGGATATGAGTGTGTTCGTGGAGCCCTCAACCCTTCCGCCGCCTCCGCGGTGCTCCATCACCATCAGCACTTCGACGGATCTGGATTCCCAAGACGCGAACGCAACGGGATGCCGGCAACGGGACTTGTTGGTAGTGACATCCATATCTTCTCACGCATCATCTGTGCCGCAGATCTGTTCGATCGACTGAGTCACAGCGCTTCGACGATCGGGGAAGAACCCGGGAACCCGCTCGGGAGACCAGCCGTGATGACGCTCAAAAAAATGATGGGCAAGCCCTACGGCGATTGGATCGACCCCGTCGTGTTCAAAGCGCTCCTCGCCGTGTGTCCTGCGTACCCACCTGGAACACAGGTCACGCTCAGCAATGGTGTCACAGGCGTTGTGACTGATTGGGATCCCGCAGATCCGTGCCGCCCCCAGGTCCATCAGCTCTCGCATTTCGAGGATGAAGAGTTTGGTGAGATCTATAACCTCAAGGATGACCACTCCATCACCATCGTTGAGTGTGGCGGTATTGATGTCCGAGAGCACAACTTCTTCCCGATCAGCAAGGGGCAGTTCGATCTGCGAGTCTTGCAGCGCAACCTCAGCAACGCGGCGCATATGTTCGCTCCCGACGAAGCCGCGTGAACCGAGCTACGCTTGCACATGAGCGATCTGATCTCCGCCTCCAAACGATGCCTGCTCGTCGCCGCAGCACCGCGCGAAGCACAAGCCGTGCTCGATGCGTTTGCTGTACGGCACGAGTCGATCACTCAAGCAGAGGTCATCTCGCTCGATGATCGCTTTGACCTTGTCATGAGCGGCGTAGGCAAGTCCAACGCCGCAGCATCAACCGCGATCGCATGCTCGAATCATCAGTATCATGCTGTCATATCAGTCGGGATCGCTGGCGCACTGCCCGCAGATTCTCCGCTCAGCATCGGCGCGACCCTGGTCGCATCCCGCTCCATTTTCTCAGACGAAGGCGTTGGATCACCAGACGGATTCACATCTTTGAGTAAGCTCGGATTCCCATCGTTCTCAAGCGGGGATGACTGGATCGATCATGATCTGGAACTCACTGAAGATCTATCCGAGTTCTGTGATCAATCTGGAACAGTCGCGACAGTCTCGTGGTGTTCTGGAGATGATCAATGCGCTCAAGGCGTGGTCAATCGGACCGGCGCGATCGCGGAAGCAATGGAAGGCGCCGCCGTGGCGCTCGCTGCGAAGTTGGTCAATCCACAGATCCGTACAGCTGAGCTCCGAGTGATCTCCAACACGACCGGTAATCGCGCCCAGCAGGTATGGGATCTTGATGGGGCGCTGTCCAAACTCACCGAAGTTCTCGGACGGTTGCGCTGAACTGCGGACCTACCGCTTGCCGTTTGTACCGACTGCGCGATCTGAACCCCGATCCCTCATCGCGCCATCCCTGATTCAACAGTTCCCACGCGTATACCCCCACCGATAGGCCGATTCCTGATACAGCGATCCCGATGCGTGCTCACGCTCAGGATCCAAGACGCCGGGTAGGTGGTAGGAGCAGGACGACAGGATGTCGAGAATCAGGACTCAGTAGTTATGGCAAAGCCACGCGTATTTGATCAACTCCGAACGACGCTCCAATCGATGAACTCGATGCGTCCACAAGGGAATCCACTCGCTGTGGACTTCGGGGTTTCAGCATTGCGCGTGCTCAGAGTCTCCTCCGGAGATCCCGCATCCATCCAGAGCGCCGCGCAGCTCAAGACCCCTGACGACTTGCTCGACAATCCCGCGAAGCGCATCCTCTTCCAGTTTGACGCGCTCCCCAAGCTCATCAAGAGCGGGAAGATGACCGGACTCCGAGCTGCGTGTGTGATTCCAACACAGCAGATGTCCTGCAAGCATCTTCAGATCTCTTCAGTCCCAGGAGTGTCGATGAACGACCTCGCCGCGGGACAGATGTGCGATAGACTCGGATGCGACCCCTCAGCACTAATCGTCCGCAGCTTCGAGGTCGGACCGTCCAAACAATCCAACAAACAGGAAGTCATCTGCTTCGGTGCTTCCAAGTCTTTCGTCGGACGCATGATGGACGCGATCAAACGCGCCAAGCTCGAACCAGTCGGGATCCACAACGCGTTCGAGACACTCCTGCAAGTAACACCAAAGGCAGAACACCAACAAGGCGCTTCGCTGCTGATCGATCTCGGAAGCGCCTGCACGATCGTGATGATCGTCCACAAAGGGAAGATGGTCTTCGCACGCACCATCGAGCACGGCGCGATTTCCTTCGATCAAGCGATCTGCAAGCAGTTCCGCTGCAGTGTCATGGAAGCACGCACGATGCGAGAGCGGATCAACGAGATCGCCGCCGTGACTTCAGGCGTGCAACAGAGCGCCAATCCGCATCCGAGCATGGATGATCCGGATATCTCCGAACCCATCGAGATCCTGATCGATGAGATCAACATGTGCCTGCGATACCACCGCGCCACGCTCCCCGATGTCAGCATCCAGAACGCGTACTTCGTCGGAGGCATGGCGGGACACAAAGCAATCAGCGAACACCTCGCCCGCGTGCTCAACCTCGAGACACGCGTCGTCGATCCACTGAGCACACTCGGACGCGCGGGAAAGGTTCCCGTCTCCGGCGTAGACCTGAGCAAACCACAACCCGGATGGGCAACAACCGTCGGATGCGCCCTGTCCCCGACCGACCTGTAAGGACAAGCACAAGGAGCTTCTATGCGATCACTCAACTCAAAGGACGGGGCCAGCTTCCTGCCATCGGATTATGTCCGAGGCAAAGGACAAGCTCGCGCCTCGATGTTCGCGATCCTTCTCTTCGTGCTCGTGCTCGCGGGAGTCATCGGCGCGTTCTTCGTCAATCACCAACGCTGGAACCGCGTGCGTGAAGAGCAGAAACTCGTTGCCGCCGCATTCAAAGAAGAGACCGCGAAGATCGAGCAGCTCAAGGTCCTCGAAGAACAACGCGTCGTGCTCACTGATAAAGCAGAGATCGTCACAGCACTCAAAGACCGCGTCCCACGCTCAGTGCTCATGGGAGAAATCGTCCGAGGCATCGGATCAGGGATCACACTCACAGAAATCGACCTCGAAGGTGACCGCGTGCGTCCGCCCGCACCAGCACCAAACCCAAACGGTGCGGTCAAATCCATCGGAGTCAACGGCGTGGGTTCAAGCAAAGAACAAGCACCCGCGAAGCCTAAGGTCCATCCACCCCGATTCGTATTCAAGCTTACCGTTGATGGACTCTCCGAGAACAACGACGACATCGCTGATTACCTTGTCTCACTCAAGGGATCGCCGCTACTCAAAGATGTTGAACTCCAGTACATCAACGAGACGCTGATTGATTCGGTGCAATACCGCAAGTTCCGGATCACCATGTCACTCGCGCCAGACGCGAATGCGAGCATGGTTGAGGGAACCGTAGAGATCGGGATCGAGCCGCAAGAAGTCGCGGGATCATTCGAGGACACACAGGACTAATGACCACTGATCTGTTCCACACGGATCAAAGGAGTTTCGTATGCAGTTTGGAATCCGAGAACTTGTGCTCTTCCTCACCGTCCTGCTTCTGCCGGTCGTGAGTTACCTGATGGTGTTCCGCCCGCAGAGCGCGAACATCGAGAGCGCACAAACCGAAATCGCGCACAAGCAGGAGATGCTCAGCAAGCTCCGCGCCGAGACAGCACGCAACGACGATCTGCACCTCGTCAATCAGCAGATCCTCGAGCGAATCGATTCGATGGAGTCCATGCTCCCATCGAACAAAGAAGTCGACCAGATCGTCCGTCAGGTCTCCGGACTCGCGATCGAAGCCGGACTCACCTCGCCAACACTCAAGAGCACCAAGCCGCTCGCGGCAGCTCAGTATCGCGAACAACCACTCGAGATGAGCATCGAGGGTTCGTGGTCAGGGTTCTACGCGTTCCTCATCAAGCTCGAGCAGATGCCGCGAATCACACGGATCGTGGATATGAAAATCGAAGACACCACGAGTGATGAATCCGAAATCAAAGCGAGCTTCACGCTCAGCATCTTCTTCCGCAACGAGGTGACCTCATGAGCGAGATGAATCCATTCTCACCAAACGACAACGACCAGGGTTCAGCTGAATCCAATGTCTTCCTCGACCTGAACAAGCCTGACGAAGCGACGGGTGTTCCTTCCGTGATGCCGGGGATGAGCGAGTCTGGACCATCCGGCGGCTCATCGTTCTCCCCTGGCGCAGGATCCGGAGAATCCAAGTTCAACGGACAGGTCATCCTCGCCGGACTCGTGTTCACGATCGGCGTCGGATCGATCTACGCGATGCGTTACATCGGAATGCAAGCCGGGATCAAAGAGTCCGTCGCGATGGTCGAGTACACCGCTTCGACGACCACCCCCGACTTTGTTGAGCGATTCGATGGGATTATGAGCGATCTCGAAGAAGTCTCGATCTCAGTGCAGTTCGATAACTCCACCGTGCTCCCCCAAGAACCATTCATCCTTGAAACCGAGATGGTCGCGGATGCAACTTACGAACCAAGTGCTTCGGAGACAGTTGATCCACGCGAACAGTACGCACGTATGGCGCGTCAGCGAGCCGAGATGGAACGCATGGCGCGCGAAGAGAAACTCGCTGAGTACGAGTCGATCGCGCAGGGACTCACCCTCCAGAGCTTGATCGGCGGCTCGCGTCCAGTCGCGCGTATTTCCGGCGAACCCGTCGCTGTGGGGATGATGGTCGCGGATACCTTCAAGGTCGTCTCCATCAAGGGATCGGTGGTTATCCTCGAGGTCGAAGATATCCGATACGAACTTGGACTCGGATCAAGCGCCGTGCGCATCGACTAATCACACATCAATACATCGGTAAGGACTCGGCGACATGGCAGATATTGATGACATCCTAAACGAGCTCGGCGTTGAAGGTGACGACCATCGTCCACGCCGTGCATCGCGATCCTCAAAGGGACGCGAGCAGCACCGACTCGACAAGCGAGCCGGCTCGTTCTCGCCGCTCCCTTCGATGCCATCAGGTCAGCGCCGATTCGGTCAGGAAAGCCCCAGCGTGGACGACGACCCAGCAGTCCTCGAAACCCAACTCGCCGCACCAAAGTCCAAGATCGGGAACGCCGTTCAAGAGATCTACCGCCCCGAAACCAACGGCGAGCAAGCCGAAGAAGATCAGAGTGATCTCGCTCAGCAACTCGTGGAGTCAGGAGCGGTCACTTCCGAGCAGATCACCGCGGCTCATCAGGTTATCAAACAGTCCCCAGGAACCGTCCTGATCGAGTTGCTCTTTGAGCAGGGCGCCGACGAAGAGAAAATCCAAACCATCGTCGCTCAGCGCGCCGGCGTTCGCTTTGAACGCATCGATATCGAAGCCGGACTCGACGGCGGTTTCGACGGCAAACTGCTCCAGAGACTCACCCCCGAGTTCTGTAAAGCACACCAAGTCCTCCCGCTCCGTACCGAAGGTTCGCGCGTGGTCATGGGGGTTGTTGCCCCAGACGATGTGTTCATGATCGACGAGATCTCCGCGCGACTCCGCGTTCCGAGTGTCAAGCTCGTGATGGTCACCCCAAGCGACATCCGCGCCGCGCTCGAGCTCATCGGACACGACGGCGGAGACGACATCGACCTCTCCGAAATCCTCGCGGACGTTGACGAGGGCGACGTCGAAGTCTCATCCGTTCAGCAAGCGGAAGCCGTGGACCTCGAAGCGCAAGCGGGAGAATCTCCCGTCATCCGCTACGTGAACTACATCATCCAGAACGCCGTGAAAGAAGGCGCGTCGGATATCCACATCGAGCCGGGCGAGAAGAAGATGAAAGTCCGTCTCCGTATCGACGGCGTCCTCTACGAATCTATGAACCCGCCTCCCCAAATGTCCGCGGCGATCACCTCACGCCTCAAAATCATGGCGGACCTGGACATCTCCGAACGCCGCGTCCCGCAAGACGGTCGAATCCGCTGTACCGTCCAAGGACGCAAGCTCGACCTCCGTGTCTCAACCCTCCCAACGGGCTACGGCGAAAAAGTCGTGATGCGTATCCTCGACACCAAGTCGATCAATGTGCAGCTCGAGGACCTCGGATTCGACGACCACTCCATGGAGATCTGGAAGAACCAGATCAAACAACCCCACGGCATCGTCCTCGTCACAGGTCCAACAGGTTCTGGTAAAACCACCACGCTCTACTCCTCGCTCCGTCAGATCGACAACACCAAGCTCAATGTCTCCACAGTGGAAGACCCGATCGAATACCACCTCGACGGCATCACCCAAACCCAGACGCACTCGAAGATCGACATGACCTTCGCCAAAGCACTCAAAGCACTCCTGCGTCAGGACCCCGACGTCATCATGGTGGGTGAAATCCGCGATCACGAAACAGCGCACACCGCCGTCCAAGCCGCGCTCACTGGTCACTTGGTGCTTTCCACGCTCCACACCAACGATGCGCCAAGCTCGATCACGCGTCTGGTCAACATCGGTCTCGAACCCTTCCTCGTCGGTGCCGCCGTCAACGGCGTGCTCGCTCAGCGCCTCCTCCGCCGCCTCTGTGTCCACTGCAAAAAGCAGGAAGCGCCATCAGAGGAAATGGCCGAGTTCCTCGAAATCAACGGCCTCCCAAACGATGAGATGTGGGTCCCCGAAGGATGCGACAAGTGCCGCAACACCGGATACTCCGGACGAGTCGGTATCTACGAGATGCTCGCGATCGACGATGCGCTGCGTGATGTCATCGCACGCAACCCCAATGTCTCCGAGTTCCGCAGACTCTGTCTCGAGCGTGGGATGAACTCCCTGCGCCAAGACGGCATCAACAAAGCGACCGACGGACTCACCAGCATCCAAGAAGTCCTCCGCGTCACCAGCGCTCACTGAATAAAAGTACCTAGAACAAGACAAAGTTATCCACAATATACACCTTGTTCGGTTGTTAACAGTAACTGTTTCGTTTAGCTTGAATCGAGCTATCCGAAAGTGATGACAACCGAGGGGTTCAGATGTGAGATACTTACCGAGCGTACTTTTCGTCCTTTGCTTTCTATCAAGCGTGCATAGTCAAGCTCTCGCGGCAGAAGACCAAGCTGAGCATTGGGATCGCCAACTCCTGATCGCGGATGCCGCGGAGCGTGAATACACGCTGACAAAGAATGATTGGTTGTCCTTTGACCCAATCGCAATGATCCAGTTCAGGTATGTAGCGGATGTCCAAGATCAACTCGACGGACAAGACGACAAAACGCTCGGTTTCGAGAACTCTCGAACAAGACTCGGTCTCAAAGCAAAGATTGAAGAGCACAACATCGACTTCTTTGTCTGGACAGGTCACATCGGTAACGGCACATCTCTCCTGCTCGATGCGTGGGCAAACTGGAAAGCGGATGAAAACATTTCATTCAAGTTCGGCCAGTTCAAGCTCCCAATATGGAACGAGTGGACCGTCTCAGAAACAAAGCAAACTTTCGTCGAACGCTCCATTCTTGATGGTCGATTCGCGCCACACTACGCGCAAGGGATCCAAGGCACATGGAGAGACGACAATATCAGTCTGACCGTCGTATTCTCAGACGGCATGCGAGGATGGAACCGGTTCGATCCCGGGAATCTTTGGGCCGTCACCGGTCGATTCGATTGGCTCATCCAAGGAGACTGGTCACAAAGAGCAGACTTCAATAGCTTCCGTGACGAGAGCCCATTCACAGTACTCGGAATAGCCGGACACTTTCAAGACGGCAATACCCTGACCGGTATCGGGGGCACAAATATCTACAACAACGACACACGAATCACCCAAGTCACAGCGGATTTTCAATGGGGATTCGGAGGATCTTCAATCTACGCCGCGATTATCGGGAACTACGAAGAGCAACCCGGAGCGATCGAGTACCACCAGTTCGGGGTCTTACTTCAAGGTCAAGTCTTTGTTACCGATGACATCGAGCTCTTCGCGCGATACGAGTACGGAGATCTCGACGAGCAAGCCGCCGCATTCGCTGTCGCGAACCCCGGCGCAACGATGAATGACGATCTCGCGATCCTCACTGTTGGAGCCACCAAGTTCATCGCGGGACACGCGCTCAAGTTCACCGGAGATGTCGGGTTCGCATTCGATGAGGTCAGTGGTGCATGGAGAGGCGGTGGCAGGGGTTGGCAAGGAGATGACTCCGGAGCCGGAGCGCAAGTCGTATTCAGAGCGCAGCTCCAAGCACTGTTTTAATCAATCAACACAAGAACATCGAAGACCACACCAAGACTTGCAAACAAGTATACTGAGACGATACATATAGGAGTCAGCATGTCCGAGCAAAACAAAGACCTTCGTACTTCGTACTGGAGGACGAACATCCGCTACCTCGCGATCCTCCTCTCCATCTGGTTCATCGTCAGCTACGGCTGCGGGATCCTCTTCGTCGATCAGCTCAACCAGTACCGCATCGGACAAGCGAAACTCGGATTCTGGTTCGCGCAGCAAGGATCGATCTATGTATTCGTGATCCTCATCGCCGTCTATGTCTTCCTCATGAATCGTCTCGACCGCAAGTTCGGATTCCGGGAGGAGTAAACAATGGACGCACAAACATGGACCTTCCTGATCGTCGGCCTCTCATTCGCGATCTACCTCGGCATCGCCTGGTGGAGCCGCGCCGGATCATCCTCTGAGTTTTATGTCGCTGGAGGCGGTGTCCCTCCCCTCGCCAACGGCATGGCAACCGGCGCCGACTGGATGTCCGCCGCCTCCTTCATCTCCATGGCCGGGATCATCTCCTTCGTCGGATACGACGGCTCCGTCTATCTCATGGGATGGACTGGTGGATATGTCCTCCTTGCACTCCTGCTCGCGCCGTACCTCCGCAAGTTTGGGAAGTTCACCGTCCCCGACTTCGTGGGTGATCGCTGCTACTCACAGTTCGCACGCATCATCGCCGTGATCTGCGCGATCTTTGTGAGCTTCACCTATGTCGCCGGACAGATGCGAGGGGTGGGGGTTGTGTTCTCTCAGTTCCTCAGCGTGGACATCAACCTCGGCGTCATCATCGGGATGGCAATCGTCTTCGTCTACGCCGTGCTCGGAGGCATGAAAGGCATCACCTACACGCAGGTCGCGCAGTACTGCGTCCTCATCTTCGCGTTCATGGTCCCCGCGATCTTCATGGCCATGCTCCTCACAGGGAACATCATCCCGCAGCTCGGTTTCATCGACACCCTCGGCGGAGAAGTCGGCTCACAACTCGCCGGAGGAGAAACCGTCGGGATGCTCGACAAACTCGACGCGATCAACCAAGAACTGGGGTTCAGCGCATTCACCGACGGCTCAAAGTCCACGCTCGACATCTTCATGATCACCCTCGCGCTCATGGTCGGCACCGCGGGGCTCCCCCATGTCATCATCCGCTTCTACACGGTCCCCAAAGTCCGCGACGCGCGCAAGAGCGCCTTCTACGCATTGTTCTTCATCGCAATCCTCTACACCGCCGCTCCAGCCGTCGGCGCGTTCGGACGCACGAACCTCATCGCAACCGTCAACGGCGCAAGCTACGCCGCGTCCGACACAAGCGAAGGCGACAAGGTCATCCCCGAATGGTTCAAAGAATGGGAAGACACCGGACTCCTCGCATGGACCGACAAAAACAATGATGGCAAAGTGGACTACCGCGCCGGAGATCCATTCGTAGGTAAACCAGCGTTCGCTGGATCAGCATCCGACGAATCCGCTCGCTCAATCCACGGCCATCGACTCGTCACGAACCAACCAACCGACACCGCAAACGAGCTCTATGTCGATCGCGACATCATGGTCCTCGCCAATCCACAGATCGCGAACCTCCCGAACTGGGTCATCGGACTCATCGCCGCCGGAGGCCTCGCCGCGGCGCTCTCAACCGCCGCAGGTCTGCTGCTCGTGATTTCCACAGCAGTGAGTCACGATCTGATGAAACGTGTAATCAAGCCGGACATCAGCGAGAAGAGCGAACTCTGGGTCGCTCGCGCCGCCGCGGGAGTGGGGGTGATCTGTGCCGGACTCTTCGGGATCTACCCTCCAGGATTCGTCGCGCAGGTCGTGGCCCTCGCGTTCGGCCTCGCCGCGTCGAGCTTCTTCCCGTGCATCTTGCTCGGAATCTTCTGGAAACGCGCCACGCGCGAAGGCATCGTTACCGGAATGATCTGCGGCATCGGATTCACCGCGATCTACATCACCCTCTTCCGATTCAACTGGGCAAACCCCGTCCTCTCCATGCTCACTTCATGGGAATCAGGACAAGACAAATCCGACTACTGGCTCCTGGGAATCTCCCCAGAAGGCATCGGATCCATCGGTATGCTCCTCAACTTCGCGATCGCGATCGTGATAAGCAAACTCACGCCTCCACCTCCGCAAGAGATCCAGGATCTCGTCGAGCACATCCGTGTCCCGAGTGGCGCTGGAGAAGCACACGAGATGCAGATCCCACCCCCTCAGCAAGGCGACTAAGCAATACCCGGCTATCTCAGAACACTCAAGCGCTCTTCGAACTTTCGAGGAGCGCTTTGCACATACGCTGCGAACGCATCGCGGCTTCCGACAACGGATACCGATCCTCATTGGACCGACAGATAACATGCGCGATCACGATCGCCCCCTCGATCAGCACCGTGATCTCCTCGCTCAGCTCTTCCGGATCTTCATACCCCGCCTGGGCGCACAGATCCTGAATGTACTTCGTGATCATGATCTTGTGATCCGCCGCGATCTTCCGCGCCGGCGTTTGTGCATCACAGAACTCCGCAGAGACATTGATGAACATACATCCCTGGAAGTCGTCCGCGTTGAACCACTCATCAAGAAAGTCGAAGATCGCAATGATCCGATCGCGTGGATCAGCCGAGTCACGCTCAGCACGCTTCATCAGCGCATTGCGGAACAACTCATCGCGTCGCCGCAGCGCCGCAACGATCAGCTCATCCTTGGACTTGAAGTGGTTGTAGAGCGTCATTCGACTGATGCCGCTCTCCTTGAGCACCAGATCCAATCCAGTTCCATGGAATCCATTGCGATAAAACACCCTCATCGCGGCATCAACAAGTTCTTCGCGTCTACTCGGCGGCATGTCGGACTCCATCACTGATCTATCTATACTCGATTGTACAGTCCATTTCTGCACAGACAATAAATTTTGCCCTCAAAATATACGTTTTTGAATCAAATACAGCCCCTTCGACAGATTTTTTGGCAAATTAGACATTCACGCTTGAAATATACTGACTGATCAGTAAGTATATATACGAAGCGAGGATCATGTGCGTCCTCATGACAACAATCTGGTGCACACAAAAGGAGAAACCCCATGGCACGCATCGAACCACTGACCATCGAAAACGCATCCCCAGCCGGCGCTGAAATCCTCAGCGCGATCAAAGGCAAGATCGGGATGGTCCCAAACATCTACGCTGCGATGGCGCACTCGCCCGCCGCACTGAGCGCCAAGCTCTCGTTTGACGAGGCATTCGGAAAGTCCACGCTCTCCGCAGCCGTCAAAGAGCAACTCGCGCTCGCGATTGCTGGAGCAAACAGCTGTGACTACTGCGCCTCAGCGCACACCGCCATCGGCAAGGGCGCTGGACTCGACGAGAATGAACTCGGAAGCAACCTCGCCGGCAACGCGAGCGATCCCAAGGTCCAAGCGCTGCTCACACTCGCGAAGAACATCGTCGCTACCCAAGGCAACCTCTCCGACGACCAGGTCGCCCAAGCACGTGAAGCCGGCGTGACCGACGCGGAACTCGTCGAAGTCGTCGCGACCGTCGCGATCAACATCTTCACCAACTACTTCAACCACATCGCCGCGACCGACATCGACTTCCCAGTCGTCAGCACCGAAACCGTCGCTTCGTAATCAATACACACGGAGATCCCCCTCGCTCAGAGCTCAATGCTCCCCTGAGCGAGGGGCGGTCTCATCCGATCCCATTGCAAAGGAAATGAAATGAACGCCACCCAAACCATGCTGGCGAGCGCCATCGGTGCGCTCTCAACGCTCAGCACCACCGCACTCGCTACAGAACACCAGTTCCCAACTACGCTGTCCCAAGATCAGCACACGCCACACATCCGATACAACACCGAAACCATCGAAGGACTCGAGATCTTCTACCGCGAAGCGGGAACAGTGGGGCAGCCCCAGCTCGTGCTCCTCCACGGCTTCCCAACATCGTCGCACATGTTCCGTGATCTGATCGATGATCTCAAAGACGACTTCCACATCATCGCACCGGACTATCCAGGATACGGCATGAGCTCGATGCCCAGCACCGAAGAGTTCGACTACACCTTCGACAACATCGCTCAGATCATCGACACATTGCTAGAGCGAAAGGGCTTCAACAACTATGTCCTCTATGTCATGGACTACGGCGCCCCTGTCGGATTCCGCATCGCAACAAAGCACCCCCACAGAGTCGCGGGATTCGTCGTCCAGAACGGCAACGCCTACGAGGAAGGTCTCCAGGAGTTCTGGAACCCCATCAAGCAGTACTGGAAAACAGCAGCACAAGAAGATCGCGACGCGCTCCGCGGATTGCTCACCCTCGAAGCAACCAAGTGGCAATACACCGAAGGCGTGCGCGATGAATCCATGATCTCGCCAGACAACTGGTTGGTCGTCCAGCCGCTGCTCGATCGCGAGGGAAACGACGAGATCCAGCTCGACCTGTTCTACGACTACCGCACCAATGTCCCGCTCTACCCAAGCTGGCAGCAGTACTTCCGCGAGCATCAACCCCCGATGCTAATCACCTGGGGAAAGGGAGACCACATCTTCCCCGAATCCGGAGCGCACCCATACATGCGCGACCTCCCAGATGCAGAAATGCACATCCTTGAGACCGGACACTTCGCGCTCGAAGAAGACGGCGACCTCATCGCGGATCTCATCAAAGACTTCATGAATCGTCTGAACAGCGTCACACTCGCTGATTGACTCTCTTCCTCGCTCCACGGATTGCGTCGGCGAAAGCCGGCGCGGTCCTTTTACTCTCAAGAACACTCGATCTCAATGAGGAGATGACCATGCCGTCACCTACCGATATCCGTCCGCCGTTCACCAAGCAGTCCGCGCTCGCAAAGGTCCAAGCGGCACAAGACGCGTGGAACTCACGCGATCCCAAACGCGTCGCGCTTGCGTACACCGAAGATTCTCAGTGGCGCAATCGTGATCAGTTTTTCACAGGTCGTGCCGCGATCGAATCGTTCCTTCAAGACAAATGGTCCAAAGAACTCGACTACACGCTCATGAAAGAACTCTGGTCCTTCACCGACAACCGCATCAGCGTCCGCTTCGAATACGAGTGGCGCGACGCAACCAACCAATGGTTCCGAACCCACGGCAACGAGCACTGGGAGTTCGATGAATCGGGACTCATGGCACATCGAGACATGAGCGCCAACGATGTGCCAATCGATCAAGCGGATCGACGCTACTGAGCCGGATCAACCCCTATTCCACCCAAGCAGGTCCGATTCGCATAGAATGCTCCAGCGTGGATGTCACGCGAGAGGAGCTATTCATGTCCGACAAATCAATCGAATCCGTACTGCAAGAGAATCGCGTTTTTAATCCACCAACCGCCGCTGAAGTCGGCGCCTCCGAGTGGCTCATTTCCTCGCTCGATCAGTACAAAGAAATGTACGACCGATCCATCGCGGACCCTGAATCCTTCTGGTCAGAAGTCGCCGAGGACTTCCACTGGTTCAAGCAGTGGGACACCGTCCTCGAGTGGAACGCGCCCGACGCGAAATGGTTCAATGGCGGGAAGACGAATGTCTGCTACAACTGCGTCGATCGACAAGTCGACAACGGCTTCGGAGACCAGCCCGCGATCATCTGGGAAGGTGAGCCCGTCGATGACTCAGGCGCTCCAGTCGATCAGCAAACCCTCACCTACAAAGACCTCCAGACCGAAGTCTCCAAACTCGCCAATGTCCTCAAATCCAAAGGCATCGGCAAAGGCGACATCGTCACCATCTACATGGGCATGGTCCCGCAGCTCGCGATCGCGATGCTCGCGTGCGCCCGCATCGGCGCGCCCCACTCCGTGATCTTCGGAGGTTTCAGCGCCCAAGCAATCGCCGACCGCGTCGGAGACGCAAACTCCAAGATGATCATCACCTGCGACGGATCATGGCGCCGAGGCAAGGTCGTCCCGCTCAAAGACAATGTCGACGAAGCAATCCAACTCATGCAAGACAACGGCAACCAACCCGTCGAGCATGTGCTCTGCTTCGGACGCTGCCACAACGATATCAAATGGGGAGAACTTGATCGCTGCTGGAACGAGGAGATGGAGAAAGCATCGGACGACTGTCCATGCGAAGAGCTCGACTCCGAAGATATGCTCTTCCTCCTCTATACCTCCGGATCAACCGGCAAACCCAAGGGGATCGTCCATACCAACGCGGGATACATGATCTACACCGCGCTGACCGCGAAGTACACCTTCAACCTGATCCCCGATCAGAATCAGGTCTACTGGTGCACCGCCGACTGCGGATGGATCACCGGACACTCCTACATCGTCTACGGCATCCTCCCAAACCGCGTCCCATCACTCATGTTCGAGGGAGGACCAGACTACCCAACCGCGTCGCGCTTCTGGCAGATCGTCGAGCGCCACAATGTCACACAGTTCTACACCGCGCCGACAGCAATCCGCGCGTTCATGAAGTGGGGGGACGAGCATCCCGAATCATGCGACCTCAGCTCACTCCAAGTGCTCGGCACAGTCGGCGAACCTATCAACCCCGAAGCATGGATGTGGTACCGCAACAAGATTGGTCGAGAAGTCTGTCCCATTGTGGACACCTATTGGCAAACCGAGACCGGCGGACAGATCATCACACCACTCCCAGGCGCGACCCCAACCAAGCCAGGATCTTGCACACTCCCCTTCTTCGGGATCGACGCAATCGTCTGTGATGAAGCGGGCAACGAAGCCGGAGTCAACCAAGGCGGCTTAATGGCAATCCGCAAACCTTGGCCATCCATGCTCCGAGGTGTCTACGGCGATCGTCAACGCTTCATCGACACCTACTGGTCCACCGTCGCGAAAGACGGCGAGCCCTACTACGCCGCCGGAGACAACACCCGCCGCGACGACATGGGCAACTTCTGGATCATGGGACGCACCGACGATGTCATCAATGTATCGGGACATCGACTCGGCACCATGGAAGTCGAGTCCGCGCTCGTCGCGCACGAGAGCGTCGTCGAAGCCGCCGTCGTCGGGATGCCCCACGAGATCAAAGGCACCGGCATCGCCGCGTTCGTCACCCCTGCTCCAGGGTTCGAGGGAGGCGACGAACTCATCCAAACCCTCCGCGCCCATGTCGCCGAGGAGATCGGCGCGATCGCCAAACCGGACATGATCCGCTTCACCGCCGCGCTCCCAAAGACGCGTTCAGGAAAGATCATGCGCCGCCTCCTCCGCTCAATCGCCGCTGGAGATACAGAGATCACGCAAGACATCACCACCCTCGAAGACCTCTCCGTCGTCGCGAAGCTCGCGAGCAGCGACGAGGAATAAACAGTTTTTTCGAGCACAAAACAACGATTTTGAGCGAGAATCCGCCTTTGTGGAGACTTCACACTTTCTCCTTGTATCCGATAACCAGCATCTGGTATCCTCTATAGACAACAGTTCTATCGATCTACCAAGGAGAGAGACCAATGCGTCAAACCGCAACCATCATCGCTAGCGCACTCATTGCCACTGCTGCGAACGCTGGAGTCATCGAAGTCGACTCCTTCCACCTCGGAGGGTTCTACGGCCCCGACGAGATGGGGATGCCCTCAGGAACTCCAGACAACGACATGTCGTTCCAGAACTACTTCATGGGACGCACGACCGTCGATGGATTCACAACAGAAGAACGCCGAACATTCTTCGCGTTTGACCTCTCAGGAGTCTTTGGTTCGATTGGTGAGGGCGAAACAATCGTCTCTGTGAGCTTCGAGTTCGAGCTCCTCTTCGGAGGCGTCATCGCCAACTTCACCGGAGGCGAACCAGAGCATGTCACCTTCAGCTCGACCTCCACGCCGTACGAAGCGATCGCCGATCCCGGCGCGTTTGGAGTCACGCCCGAAGAGGTCTGGGACACACTCGGCACCGGAACCCCATACGCGGGATTCGACATCATCCCCGGCGGCACCCCTCCAGGACCGCACGCTGTGGACCTCGCACCTGAAGCGATCATGGACATGGAGATGGCTGCGAGCATGGACGAAATCTTCGTGCTCTCAGGAAAGCTCGACACCTACGACCCCGCGATGGATGCGCTTTTCGAGTTTGTCTTCGGACTCAGCGACATCGTCGTCGATTCCATGCCGACCGGAATGCCTGTGCCAAAGCTGGTGATCACGACCGGACCAATCCCGTCACCATCGGCACTCGCGATCCTGGGTTTGGGTGGTCTGCTCGGAGCCAAGCGTCGCCGCTGATCAGCGCTTTGTCTCAAGCGGCTTGATCTACCGCATCACTCTCAGCAGGGCGCACAGCGAGCCTGCTCATATACCGGATCAGTGACCTGATCTTCACGGCAGTCTCACGCACCGAACATGAAGCATTGAGTGCCTGGGTTGCGTCCGCGGCCATCGATGAGAGCACTTCGTATCCGTACCCTGCACCCGATGCTCTGAGAGAGCCACACAACTTGAGCGCCACATCAAGGTCATCCGTCTTTAAGACTTCATTCAGTTGTACGGCACACTTCTTAGTGAGTTCGAGATACTTCTCGAGTGATTCAGTTGCACATTGCGCGGCAGTCAACGACGAATAGACTGGTTGTGTCCCGCAAAGCATCGAACCTTGCTCAAACACATCCCGAAGAGTGGACATCAGC